GATTGTAATGATGTTGATGTTGGTTTTGAAATAAAACCCAAAACATGTCACTCAAAGAGCACAATCCTACAGTCCTCCGCAGAATCCTCTGCCGAGTTCTCACACATGTTCCCCACACCAAGCACTGCTGCACGCATACATGTTCCTGCAGGCAGTCATAATATACGGCCAACCGTAAGGGTGCGCTCCATTTGCGCTCCGGCCCCAGCATCCGGCCGGGCCCAACTCTCCCAGCTCTCACTACATTGTCGGGTGGGGCGAGATGTCAGGTCGCTGTCTCGACCACGCGCGGCGGCACAGTGCGCAGCTTCATCCGCTGGCACTCTGTCGCCCCCGTGCACAGGCTCGGCTCCCACTCGTCCTTCACTCTCGGACTCCACGCTCCGCGGTGCGGACCAGCCTGTTCCAGCTGTTTCGCACTCGCCCTTTCGAGCGCAGCCCTCCATGGGTCGCCCCCAGTTCTCTGGTACGGGCGACGGCGGTAAGGGCGCATGCACAACCCTCAGTCGTTGCTCACGTGACCGCGCACACGCGTCCACTGTCGGAACGCGCGCACGAGTGGCGCCGCCTTTGTATCATGAGCAAATGGATTTCGGACACCATTCATTGCGGTCACACACTTCATTTTCAGGTCACTCCACCTCCCTTCAACGGGATCGTGGAGACGACGTTCACATCGCAAGTACAGTCTCAGGCCCTAGAGCTGGAGTTGCGGGAACTTCTGTCCAAGGACGCTATTTCACGAGTCCCTCGCGGACAAGAGCTCTCCGCCTTCTACTCCCGCTACTTCATAGTACCGAAGAAGTCGGGAGGAATGAGACCGATTCTCGACCTGTCCCTGTTCAACTGCTCCATAGCAGTAATGCATTTCCGCATGTTAACGATGAGACAAGTCCTGGAATATGTGCGCCCCGGGGATTGGTTCACGTCAATCGACCTGAAAGACGCATACTTCCACATACCAGTAATTCCAAATCACCGGAAGTTTCTGCGTTTTTCGTTCAAGGGAGTTCAATATCAGTTCAATCGCCTCCCTTTCGGCTACTCGCTAGCCCCGCGCACCTTCTCCAAATGTCTGGAGACCGCGCTGCAGCCACTGCGCACGGAGGGAATGAGGGTTTTATTTTACTTGGACGATCTTCTCCTGTGCGCTCGGTCCAAGGACGAGGCGTCACAGCAAACGAGGAGGTTGACAGAGCATCTGTCGACCCTGGGGTTTTCTATAAACTGGGAAAAGAGCTCCGTTCTTCCATCCCAGTCGATTGTGTATCTCGGGGTGGAGTTGGACGCCTCCCTAATGAGAGCACGTTTGTCGCCTGCAAGAGCGGCAGATCTCTCCATGGTGATCTCCCGTGTACAACCCCGCAAGATCGTGAGAGCCCTGTTAGTCATGAAACTCCTGGGCATGATGTCCGCAGCCCATTCGGTGGTGCCGCTAGGCTTGCTGCACACGAGGCGCTTGCAACATTGGTTCACCCGCCTCCGGGTGCACCCGATACGTCAGAAGAGACGTATGTTGAGGATTCCCCCTTCAGTGGGCGGGGACCTCGCTCACTGGGGGAACCCCTGCATCCTCTCACGCGGGGTTCCCATCGGACGTCCTGCGTCACACGTATCTGTGTTTACGGATGCATCACTGTCGGGGTGGGGGGGCACGTGCTTGTCCCATACGGTGGCAGATCGTTGGCCCTCCCACACGCACGAGCACATAAATGTGTTGGAGCTTATGACAGTGAGGAATGTGATCAGACACTTTGCTGCCCTTCTCGAGGGCCGTCATGTCGAAGTTCACACAGACAACCAGGTGGCGGCAGCCTACATAAATCGCCAAGGGGGAGTTCGATCCCTCCCTCTGTTGCATGTCGCCACAGATTTACTGTGTTGGACACATGTCCACCTGCTGTCCATCAGAGCCATCTACATTCCGGGGGTCCTGAATGTAGCGGCAGACATCCTGTCGAGAGGGGGACCCCGCGACTCCGACTGGCGTCTGCATCCCGCACTGATATCACAGATCTGGATCAGGTTCGGGGAACCGTCTGTGGATCTGTTTGCGGCTCGCGAAAACGCTCAGTGTCGCCTGTGGTTTTCCCTGAGTCCCCGGGACGGACCTCCGCTCGGGGCGGACGCCTTCTCACACCAGCCCTGGCCTCGAGCGCTCCTTTATGCGTTTCCACCAGTCCCTCTGATTCCCCGTCTCTTAGACCGAATTCAGTCGGAACGGCTCTCGGTGATTCTGGTGGCTCCCAGGCGCTTGTCCGCGTCATGGTTTCCGGACCTGCAAGCGCTAGTGTCCGGCTCCCCGTGGAGGCTCCCGTGGAGGGCGGACGCCCTTCTCCAGGCAGATGGAATAATCAAACATCCTCCGGAAATAGGCCAACGGTTGTGGGTCTGGCCGCTGAGCGGTCACGCTTAGAGGCTTCTGGGCTGCCGCATGATGTGGTCGCCACGATTCAGAGTGCGCGGGCGCCCTCTACCATTGCGTCTTACGCTGCTAAATGGGCAGCTTTCCAGAAATGGTGCACAGAGCGGAATGTTCAAGCGCTCTCCTGCCAGCTGGCGGATGTCCTATCGTTTCTGCAGATACTGATGGACAGGGGCCTCGCCTTCAGCACTATTAAAACATATGCTGCAGCTATCTCATCCTGTCACCAAGGGTTTGGAGATAGATCTGTTTTCAATCATCCCCTCACAAAACGTTTTCTAAAAGATGTCAGGAGGAACAGACCTGTGTCCCGCCCGCTTTTTCCCCAGTGGGATCTAACGGTGGTTCTGCACGGCTTATCCAAAGCCCCATTTGAACCCTTGGACCAGGTCTCACTCAAGTTCCTGTCACTTAAAACTGCATTGCTGCTAGCGCTAGCATCAGTTAAGAGAGTGAGTGACCTGACCGCCCTTTCAGTGGCTCCCGCATGCCTCAGGATCCGGGAAGATGGCGGGTCTGCTGTTTTATGCCCCAATCCAGCCTTTGTGCCCAAAAGCATTAATGCTTCCTTCAAATCCAGGTCAATTTCATTGGCTGGACTTTTTCCTCCTCCCCATAATTCTGAGGAGGAAGCGGCTTCTCACCTTCTCTGCTCGGTGCGCGCGCTTGTACGGTATGTGTCACGCACTTCGGAGATTCGTCGTTCACAAAACCTGTTTGTGCACTACAGGGAGTCTTCCCTTGGTCAGGCGCTGTCGACCCAGCGTCTTTCGCACTGGCTGTGTGAAGCCATTTCCCTCGCTTACACGTCATCGGGGCAGGATTCCCCTGAGGCACTCAGGGCTCACTCAGCCAGGGGGATTTCCTCTTCGATGGCGCTCCACAGTGGTGTGTCGATGGAAGACATTTGTCAGGCTGCTTCATGGGTTTCATCCTGTTCCTTTACTCGTTATTATTTACGAGATGTGTCTTCAGGTTCCATCACTCGTTCAGTGCTTGGACCCCAGCAGGCTGAATGAATGCTTATGGCACCTCATTGGCCTTGCCGAGATGGATTTCATCCTCTCGTGGATGATGTTTTTTTAGTGAGGGCCCCTCTCTTATCGTGGCTGCCTCAGTCTTTAAGCCTGGTCTGAGGCTGAACGTCCCTCACTAAAGGAGATTGATTGGGTGTGTCCATTGGTTGTGTTAACCAGTGTGGCGTAAACCCATCCAGCTGCGCTTTATTCCAATAGCAGCTCGCTTAAGGGCTAAGACTAGACGAAATAGAACGTTGGTTACGTATTGTAACCCCAGATTCTATGAGTCTAGTCGCAGCCCTTAAGCCACTTGGCCCCACTGGTTATGATGGAATAAGAGCCATTGGAGGCGAGCAGTGGGGTCACTGCGGTTATATACATGAGGGGGCCCACTATTGGTGGGCGTACATTTAAGCTCTTCATGATTGGCTGATGCGGAGATCATCCTTCCAATAGCAGCTCGCTTAAGGGCTGCGACTAGACTCATAGAATCTGGGGTTACAATACGTAACCAACGTTTCTTTTAACGTGTTTCAGTGAGAGAAAATCTGGGTCTCTCCTCTTTCTGGGGCTTGTAGAGAAGGAACAGTAACACTTACAGATAAAATGAAACCCATTCTGAAAAGCTGACAAAAATTCCCACTTTTTGAGATATAATTTGTTTTGGTAGTCCAAACGGTCTGGGGGTAGTAAAGAGTTGTTCACAGAAGATGTGAAGTTCAAAAGTTAGAGTGCGGAATTTTCAGTTTAGAGTGGTGGGAAGCATTTTTAATTTTATTTTAATATTCTCAAACAAATGAACCGTACGACCGCAAAGTTTGGAGTACAGTCAAGAATTATAGCTCAAAACAAAGGTATATTCGTTAGCTGTAAGCCAGCGTGTGTCTCATTTCAATCGGACCTTAGGTTCTCTCAGAACAACACCAGAAATGGAGTAAGGGAGGGTCACCGCTCCTATCTTTCCCCATTATAACTTTTGTGAATTTTTCTGAAAATTTCAAGTCGTACCTCAACTTCTACCTGCGATTTAAGAAAAACCCTAAAAGATATCAAAAAGCCTCTTTAATATGTTAAATAGGAAAGTCTTGTGAGTTTGTTAAACTTTGAATGAAGTCTCTAAGTTAAAGGGAACCCAATAGAGCTTTAGGTCAAAAAAGTGATAGGAATTTGCTGAAAACTGACCAATCCCATTCATTTCAATGGGGAAATTTTCTCAGAAAAAGCTTAATAACTCGAAAAATTTTAAAGATATCAATGCCAAAAGTAATGGCCGGAAAGAGCTCAACAAGCTGAACGTTTTGATATAAAATTGTTGAAATAGTTAAAAATTTGAAGGAGTTGAAAAGTGTATGGAAGCAGAATAAGAATGAAGGAAAACAGGAAAACAATGGTTTGAATTCAAACAATAAATATAAACAGGAAAACAATAGTTTGAATGCTTAACAGCATTCAAACAAATATGTCGACAAATTTGGTAGTATAGAATGAACAAAACATGTAAAACCAGATATCAAGGTTACCACACACAAATCCCTCATCGTGTTCTTTAAGGATATTTTTCTGCCAGTTCTGCCACTTTCCCCACAAGGTCTGCGGTGGTGTGATCCTCCTTATTGATGCTCATAAAGTCCAGCATCTTCTCTACGATTACTGTTACATTCTGGTCGTTAGTTATCCGAAAGAGTAGCTCCAGCGTCTGAAAGAGAACAGAAAAGTTTCCATGATGCTCTAAAGGATCTTTCTACAGCCACCCAGCCTACGGCTGCACTCTTGCACACCTCTCGCTTTATGATGACATCGGGGTGATCGAGACACTCGATAATGGTCATCTGATGCTGCAAGGCCAGTCTGGGATCCTGATGGACCACATAGGTGAGAGCCTTCAGGCCTGCAAGAACATGAGAACAATGTTTTAAATCTTGTTGTTTTTTAAATAAATGATTCATGTCAAAAACAAAGTCCTTTTTAGTGTTTCTTACCCAGATACTTTAGATTTATCCTCTGTGACAGAACAAAATTGCCGATGACCTTCGCAGCTTTTTCCAAAAGCTCAGATTTAGGATGAATTGTGTAAATGCATTTTACACACTCGTATAAAATAGCTAGAACAGGAAGAGATGTGTGAGTAGACGAAGGAATGCTTCAGTCGTTTTAATAACAATTAAACAAACCATAGGTGATGTTGTGATTCATCTCTGCTCTCCGTAAAGACTCATCCAGGATTTCATACATGACCTCACTTGTGCTGCGAGGAGCAAGGAGACCAAATTAATCACAGACATCCAGTTAAAACTGAAGACGAGGTGAGAGATGAATTACCTCTGGTCACTTTTCCCAAGTAGGGAGAGAATTCTGAGAAGCTGGATTTGAAGCCATGGAGCAGGAACACTGTGATAGTTGAAATCCATGGGAAGTTTTCCGGCCACCACTTGCTTGAGGATTGTGACAAAACTTGCGGTGAGGTCCTTGTAACTTTCTGGATTCTCCTGTAAGAAAGACACTTTTCAGCACCACAGTGGCTCAAACTGTAATATTTCTACTATTGCTGGATTGTCAGTCTGAAACACCAGCTACCTGAATCAGCTGTAGGTAGATGTGTAAAGAAGCCGACATCACACCGGGGTCTTTGTCACACAGCGCTTTACGAAACCTGTTGTGAATGTGCTGAACTTGATTTGGGGCAATCAGGTAGAATTTATACAACGCCAGGACGGCTTTTCGTCGAATGATTTCCCTACAAGTTTGTGACAACAAACACTCGTTAATCAAAAACGTTCAAGCAAGACCAAACTGAGAAATTACCTGGGAGCACATCTTACTTGGAGTGGTTGAGCTTTTCCTCCACCAGAGGAAGAATGGCAGGAATCATGTCTTTAGGGAACATCTGGCTGACAACAGTGAGAGCCATGCACACTTCAATCAGGTTTGTACTCTGGAGATCCTGCAGGTACAAAACACACTGTGTAACTTCGTTGTGACATGTTTTTGACTGATTACATCAGCGTTTATGAGCTGACCAATAATATTTTACCAAACTAAAATAGGTACTGTAGACTGGTGAAACTAGCATTCTTGTGTCTGTTTATATAAATGTTCTAATTCTGCCTCAGGGGTACTTTTCTACTGAAGTTTTATTATTAGTTTATTGGTAAGCGAGACAAGAGGACACCGCTTAAAGGTGCAGAAGGAGGTGTTTTTCTGTGGCTTTTTTCCACGTTGCTTGAATTGCTCTTCACGTGCTAAAGGCAACCGGTAAATGAAACTTTTTCCAAAAAAAAAAAAAATTTGATCACCTCTGAAACATACAATTTTGGAAAAACCTCATCCAATCATGTGAATGTCTCGTTCTTAATGACTGGGTCCATCAAACTGAGAAGCTGAATGGGAAGCGAAGCCAGAGCTGAGCTAGCAAGTTCAGAAGAAACCAAGAAAGCTGAAAACCGTCTTTTTCTTCACCATAAAAACTACACACTAATGTAGCTAGAATACTACATTGTTATACAGTTATGTAAGTGTGTCACATTAAGAATTTTGGGAGAGAAAGGGATAACAAAAATGTAAAATTGAACCCTTGGGAACAAGCACTGTGCGTTCCCATTGTGCTTAAGAAAGGGTGTTGGGTCTTTGAATTGTGTTTCTTCATCAAACAGCCTTTTCAGGTACTCTGACCCCAGCTTTAATGCGCATGACAAATAAAAGTAAAAGAAAAACAAATAACATCTTAATTGAGATTTCTCTCATCACTAAAATCATCTCGATGGAGTTGCTGACAAAAATTCTTGATCTCAAACGCTGTTTTACAGCTAATAGTTGAGTAACTGTAAGGTCACAACACAGCACCATCAGGGGGACATGCTGGCTTTCTATAATATAAAACAACAGAGCCTAATAATCTAATACATATGACAAATTCCACAATTCTTGAAATTTCTAAAAGTGTTTCTATATATAGTCAAGTTTTTAATAAAATACTGTAAAGAACAAAGACCCACCTTTAGCACTGTGTTTACCAGGAGAAGCAGCAACTCGTGGCTTTCATTCAAAAACAAGGAAACAGCAAGATAACCTGAAAAACACACAATAACCACATTCTAGGTTCTTACTGGTGCTTGGAATCATTCAGAGTGCTGAATTTTTACAAGCTATTCTAAATGATTTCAAAGTCATGAAACTGTGATGTGATTTGGTTTTAGAATAATGATATTTATTTTCATTAGAAACAGTAACTGAAATTATGTTTATATGTTCTGTTAATTCATACATGTGTAAAGAGCTGCCGTTGTACGATTCAGGAAAACCTTGAAAGTGCTTGATTTGTTCATTGGAAAAGATGAAATGACCCTGAAAAGTTGTCATTATGTTAAAAATATTTATAAATAAATTAGAAATTTCTAATAATTCAGCTTTAGACCTTGCAAATCTGTTGTGTTACATTCTTTGCAGCTTGACTATGTGCAAGTTTCATGACTATGAAATGATCTGAAGACTAGAAGAGTGTTTTAATAAAGTAAAAATGATGAAAATGGAGAAACCACACACCAACTCTCTTCTCCAGGACATTCCCTTGCTGGGCCAGTTTAATGGCATGAATATAACTGAACGTTGCCTCGTAGCCCAACATCTCACAGTAGATGGTTCTCACCATGAGCTCCTTCATCTGCCTCTGAATCAAATTATGTCCCAGAAATAAACAGATCAGCAAAGACTTTAGGTCATTTGTGTGAAAGATGATATAAGGAAACCGGAGCTGTACCATGGTGGTGTTGGGGGAGGACACCTGCTCTTTAATTGATGATAGCTCACGCTGAATTAGTTTCTCCTCCTCCTGTAAAGAAAGAAATGCAGAAAAAAGACTAATTAAATCAAATTAAAAGATAACTGCTGAGACTACGTTGTTCTGCTGTCTGTCATTCATAATAAAGGAACAAAGTGCATTCATAAGTACACATATAAGATGGAGGACTGAAGATAACTCATACAGTCAAAACTTAGGATATCATTATAAACACATGCTCAGGAATTTTTAGATAAAACTCAAACTAAATGAAAACACCTAAAAAATATAATCTATTCAGAACTATTACACATGTTTGAGGGTCTAATTTTAGCTTTAATGTTAGTTTTATTGGTAGTTTTAACCTAAACCTTGAAAGAATGGTTAAATAATTTAAAAGGTAACATAATATTTATGCACCTGAGTAAATTTTAGGATAACGAACAGAGATTCTCATGACTGTGGCTCTGTAAACAGGTGACAGCTCAGTCAGATCTCCAAGTTCAAACACTGAAAACAGGGAAAATTAAACAAGCAGAAAGAGATTTACTGTGACAAGAACTAAACTGTAATAAACAAGATGACTGAGTCGGGGTGTGTTAAAAAAAAGACTTGGAATAAAGAATCAGCTAATATTTTGATTTTTCAGATCCTTCAAGGATTAGTGTATTGGACACTTGAATAAATAACAGCTGTTTGGCCGGAAGCTACAGAAACTAAATGTTATTAAAGTGGATTTAATGTTAGTACCAGTTGCGAAGATTTCTCAATGCATTGTTTAAATTTTGCATCAATGATATGATCCCACACTAATAATACTCGGCTTATGAACGGCATCAATGGTTCTCGTCTGCAGCTCACTCTAGAAAGCCTAATTTCTGAGGTAAACACAAGCACCTGAACGCACCACAAAAAACAAGTATTTTTCTAAACCCTTTTAAAAGCTGCCTTTTAACTTCACCACAACAAGCTGCGTGTAAAATCTGCCAGAAAACGAGTCAGCACAACGAGCACATATTTCATAGGTCAGCTAAAAGGGAACATAGCAAGCTAGAGTGGCAAGGTTCAGCGCGCTTTACCGGACCAACTTACATGTTTAGATGTTAGTTCAGTAATTCCTCTAATGAGGCTTCCTAGCTTGGAGTTGGTGGATAGTTTCGCTGAGCCAGGCTGAGAGTCTAAAGAGAGGAGGCTTGGCAGAGCTGTCAGCGTCTTCTCCACAACATCGCTCATTTTAGCAGCAAAAGCAGAATTTAGAACCGGTTTTCTTCTTAAGACGAACCGATTTTAAACCATCTATATATGCACAATGAAACCGTATTACATAGTTATCTGTAAAACATCTAAATAGCTATATTAAGTAAAAAAACAACATTTGGTGTCGGCCATTATTTTTGAATGGCAGACCGGCCTGTGGCTACGTCACTTCCGTTTAGATTAAAGAAACTTTATTAACAACTTTGAACTTAAGCGTTAACAAAAAGTTCACTTTAATGTGTTTTTTTGTTTTGTTTTGTTTTTTGTTCTTGATATAAACCTTTTTGTATTGCCAGTTATACTAAATTAATATTTATTTGGAATGATTCAGGGCTTCCAACGCTTGTAGTGATAACTGTTATGGCTCTGCCCACAAGTGGGCGGTATTAGGTTATCTATTTAAGGGTGGAGGAGAGTGTTGATGAGGTGAGGTCAATGACAGACAGCTGGTGAAGAAAAGAAATAAACATCTTTTGCAAAGAACATGAAACATCGTGCTTAATTCAAGAAACATTACATGTTTCCAGGAGTAGGGTTAGCCATGGACAGTGTGAGGCCTCAGGACGCTGTTGTCCGGAGTGGAAATGTGGATTGTGAATGGTGTTCATTCAAGCAACGCTTCATGCTGTATTTGCAGGCTGTTGGACTGGATAGGAAGCCTGATGTTCGCAAGATTGCCCTGTTGCTTACAGTGGCTGGACCCCGAGCTGTGGAGGTGTTTAATACCTTTGTCTTTGAGGATGAGGAGGACCGGCACAAGTTTGTGTTGCAGAAGTTTGACGATCACTGCTCACCGAAAAAAATGAAACATTCGAGAGGTACGTGTTTCGTGCACGTTTGCAGCAGCAGGATGAAAGCTTTGATGTCTTCCCGATGGATTTGAAGTTAAAGGCAAGAACGTGCAATTTTGGAGTTCTTCAGGATTCGCTGATCACAGGTCAAGTTGTGTTTGGAATACATAAGAAAGTGAGAGAAAAGCTGCTGAGAGAGACTGACCTTACGTTGAGTAAAGCTGTGGATATTTGCCATGCGTGTGAAATAGCCCTACACCATGTGAAAACTTTTGGTGATGGAGTGAGGGAGCTGGGAACGGAGCTTGATGTTGCAGCTGTTTCATACCAACAGAAGTGCAGACAGGACAAAGCAAGATCATTTTCCTGTCCGAGATGTGCGACGCGACATGCACTGAGACAATGTCCAGCATTTGGCAAGATGTGTAACAGCTGTAAAGGACTTAATCATTTTGCCAAATATTGCTTTTCTAAAATGAAGCCTGAAAAGCATGGTCCTGTACACACTGAGGATGAAGCTTCTCTGAGTGATACTTTCTTTGTGTGCCTTGTGGAACGTGATGCTGACGTGTCTCCATCTGCTGTGACGACTGATGTAAATGTGGATGAATGGACAGTGCCACTGCTTGTGAATGGAACTGTTTTTCCTGTGAAGTTGGACACTGGGTCGAAGGCTAATTTGATAAATGAGCGTGATATTGAAGCCATGGATGTGAAACTGCTCTTTCATCCAGCATCTAGTACCCTCAAAGCCTACAATGGCCAATCCATCACCACCAAAGGCAAGTGTAATCTCACGGTACAAGTTAAAGGTAAAGAACACAACTTGATGTTTATAGTTGTGCCAGAAGGTGATTCTTTGATTGGAGATGAAGCATGTGAAAGGCTGGGTTTGGTCCAAAGAGTTTATTATGTCATCGGGGATCTGCACAGCAGCACTGAAACTATTGTTGGCCAATACCGGGATGTTTTTGAGGGTTTTGGGGCCTTGCCCTTCACATATAAAATACATCTCAAGGAAGATGCCAGACCTGTTGTTAATGCTTCTAGGCAGGTCTCGGGTGCCCTGAGGTGCAAATAGAAACAAGAACTCGACCGGATGACCCTGTCAGGAGTCATACAAAAGGTGGAGCTCCAACCGAGTGGGTTAATTCCATGGTTTGTGTCAAGAAGCCTAATGGTGACCTGAGGATCTGTATGGACCCTAAGGATTTAAATGACAACATAAAAAGGGAGCATTACTTACTTCCTACCAGAGAGGAAATTGTAAGTGAGATGTCTGGTGCAAAGTTGTTTTCCAAATTGGATGCGTCCCATGGGTTCTGGCAGATTAAGTTGGATGATGAGAGCTCTAAATATTGTACTTTTAATACTCCCTTTGGGCAGTATCAGTTTGTGAGGATGCCATTTGGAATTACATCAGCTCCTGAAGTATTTCATAGAACTATGGAGTACATCATTGAAGGGCTCAAAGGGGTACGGGTGTATGTGGACGATATCATCATCTGGGGAGCGACTGTGGAGCAACATAATGAGACTCGTTGGAGTACTACAGAGAATCCAGGCAAATGGACTGAAACTGAATAGAGCGAAATGCCAATTTGGTGTCAGAGATATAGTTTTCCTAGGAGACCAACGATTTGGGGGCAGGTGTCAAGCCATATGACAGTAAAATTAAAGCAATACTGGAGATGGCTCATCCTGAAGATAAAAAAGTGGTTGTCCGAGCCCTTGGAATGATTAACTTTATTAGAAAGTTCGTTCCCAATCTGTCTTCAAAAACATTGCACCTGAGACAGTTGCTGCATGAGAAACAGGAGTTCAAGTGGACTGGTGACCATGATGATGAATGGAAGCAACTTAAACACATCCTTATCTCTGAACCAGTCCTAATGTTTTATGATCCCCAAAGACAAACAAAGATTTCCACAGATGAGTCGACCAGTGGGATTGGAGCCGTACTCCTGCAGCATGATGGGGATAGCTGGAGATCGGTTGCGTATGCATCACGAGCGATGACTGCAACTGAATGTCGTTATGCACAAATAGAAAAGGAGTGCTTGGGACTTGTGTATGGTTTTGAGAAATTTCATAACTTTGTGTATGGTCTCCCCAGGTTTGTGGCTGAAACGGATCATAAGCCTTTGGTATCCATTGTAAAAAAATAAATAAATAAAAAAAAACCTTAGTGAGGTATCACACCACCTTTTAAAGGCTCATGATGAAGCTTCTCAGTTATGATTTTGAGCTCATCTACACACCAGGGAAACAGATTGTTTTTGCTGATGCTCTGTCCAGGGCTGTTCCGCTGCATGGTGCCCAGAATGTGGGTTCCATTCAATCAAATCAAAGATAATTTATTAATCCCAGAGGGAAATTTGAGTTTCAGTACACACAATTCAGAGATCAGACATACATGGGAAAGACACGATTGGTGACTGTGGTCATTTGCAACCCTGAGTCGCGCTACCTTAATAGAAATAAGAGGGGTTACATGAGGATTGGTTCAGGTGGAGGGGAAAAAAGACACTTCAGAGCTACCCTCCACCAGGAGGGCAGCTTTGCTCTGCAAAAAACACTTCAGACAGATATGCAACAGACTTCAGACAACACAACATAAGTGTCCACTAGGTGGGGTGGTGGGTTGGGACCATCCCCAGTTCAGTTCCTGCAGCCACGATAAGCAGCGCATTTCACCTCAGTGTGGACTGGGGGAGGAGCATTGAGGGTTGGAGGGTTGCAGTGACCCTGGAACGTTTCAGCTGCCTTCCCGCAGTCCCACCCAGGCTGGGAAAGGAGACAGATTTGAGCTGCCATAGCGACGGCACATTCCAAATATCTTCTGAGGGGGGAGTTTTCATTGGAGCCTTGCAGGCTCAAGGGCACCAGATTCCGATTAGAAATTGTTTTGGGGCCAGACAGAGATAATTTCCTCTCTGTCTTAGTTTGTTGGTCCTCAACCTCTCAAAATCCCAATAATGGACATTAATCTATCCCAATCTGTGCTGATTCATTCACTCTCTCCTTGATGGCATCCATCTTTTGTGCCAATGAATGAATCTCGGCCAAAGTCCCAAGCTTACAATTCATCTAGACAATTATTTGAGTCTGTGAATTCACAGTGCGGTGCAAACCATCTCTGAGCTCCAGGATCAGGCCAATATTCCTCGACAGCTCGTTAATTTTCCGGTAAGCCAGGTAGCCTCCAAGGCCAATGAGCAGGAAACCTGACACCAACACCATGAATATACAAACATCTTCAGAGTCCTCCACAGACAGCTGAGATAAACAAATCAAGTTCCACTGTTTCCAGGAGTCCATGATGTGTCCAACTGGGTCTGTCCCGGCGGGGCATCCGGGAGCCCCTTCTCCCGTTCTCATCATTGAAAAAGTTTTATCAATGGCATTGAGGGACCAACTGACGAGATCCATTTGCCTTGAGGATAAGATATGGAGAGGAGGAAAAAAGCGTCTGCACCCTCCAAGAGCCGGAAGAAAAAGTTCCATTCAATCAGAGGTGGAGGTCCATGTGGATATGATTAAAGAGTCCCTTCCTGTGACAGACAGAAAATCAAAACAGATTGCTGATGAAACTGCCAAGTATGAGATCCTCCAGTCCAGAGAGTTATGAGTAAACTTCAGGGCGAATGGCCAAAGGGGGAATGTCAGAAGTCCTTTAACATCCGAGCAGAACTGAGTGTCGTTGATGGACTTATATTCAGAGGACATATAATAATAATTCCAACGTCTATGAGACCTGAGATTCTGAAGAGGCTGCATGAAGGACATCTTGGCAGGGAAAAGTGTCAAAGATGAGCAAGGTCAGTGGTTTATTGGCCAGGGATTAACGCTGATATTAGAATGGTTTCAGGATGTGGGACCTGTCTGAAGTATCACATGACACAATCCAAAGAGCCAATGGTGCTCACTGATCTACCTGAAGAACCTTGGCACAAGGTGGGGACTGATTTGTTCCATTTGGATGGAAGACATTACTTGTTAGTGATTGACTATTATTCCAATTATCCGGAAGTAGTGGTCCTCCCCAATATTTCTGCTGTTACTGTGATTTCACATTTGAAATCAATTTTTGCCCAACAGGGGATCTCTCATGTTGTTTACAGTGACAATGGACCGTGTTACAGCTGCCAAGAGTTTCATAAGTTTGCTGTGGATCATGACTTCCTACATATCACCTCAAGCCCACTGTTTCCTCGGTCCAATGGGAAGGCCGAAAAGGGGATCCAGATCGTGAAACATCTTCTCAGGAAGGCGAAAGACAGCCATGCTGACCCCCATTTGGCTCTGTTGAGTTATAGAGCCTCACCACTTGAACATGGTGTGCCCCCTGCTGAGCTTCTGATGAGACGAAGATTGAGGACCACTCTTTCATTCAGTGTCCCTCATGGGGTACCCCAGGATCTAGGGTTCCGAAGAAAATATCTGCAAATGAGACAGAAGAGGAATTATGACAGGTCAACCAGATCACTGGAGCTGCTGGTCCAGAATGATACAGTGAGAGTTGAGGATTCCAATCACTGGAGTAGGAGAGCTGCTGTTTTGGGAGAAGTTGGTCATAGATCCTATGTGGTCAGGACCGAAGATGGCCAGACATTGAGGCGCAAACGTCATGACTTGTTGAAGACTCAAGAGACTCTTCAGGGACAGGACTTTGATGATAGTTCATCTCTTGTTGTTGAGCCGACTGCACGGCCTGGTTTGTCAGCAGGGATGGCTGTGCAGGACAGTGTCCCGTCAGCAGAGGGAGCCACATCTGAGCCAGTATCCTGTGGGCTCAGGAGGACAACTTGCATCATTAAGCCTCCAGAGAGATTGAATCTTTAATAGTGCATGAAAAAAAGAAGAAAAAAAAGAAAAAAGTTTTTTTTGTGGGACAAAGGGGCATGTAGTGATAACTGTTATGGCTCTGCCCACAAGGGGGCGGTATTGGGTTATCTATAGGGTAGAGGAGAGTGTTGATGAGGTCAATGACAGACAGCTGGTGAAGAAGAGAAATAAACATATTTTGCAAAGAACATGAAACGTTGTGCTTAATTCAAGAAACATTGCAACTCTAACACAATTTTATTTTATTGTTTTTATTTAACCTTTATTTATCGAGATGAGTTGATTGAGAATTAATTCTCATTGACGATCTGGCCAAGAGGCAAGAGTGTGAGTCTGGTGTGAGTGTGAGACCGACCATGTGTAGCATAGCATAGCATAGTTTATTTATATAGCACATTTAAAATGCAGCATGGGAGCTGCCCAAAGTGCTGCACAGGCTAAAACAAAACACACCCATTACAAGGAGCTAAAACTAAGGATAAAATCTCAATTAAAAGCAGAGAAAACATGAATAATAAGAACACATTAAAACAATGACACAATAAAACACTAAAACGAGTCACTGTCTAAAAGCCAAAGTGTAAAAGTGGGTCTTTAAACGAGATTTAAAAACCGCCAGAGATGGAGCCTGCCGAACTCCAATGGGCAATGAGTTCCATAGCTTTGGGGCAGCATGGACAAATGCTCGTTCACCCCGCGATTTGAGCCTCATCCGCGGCGTGTGCAGCAGCAATAGGTCAGCCGACCTCAACGAGCGGGTGGGCACATATGGAGTGAGAAGGGCAGAGAGGTAGGAAGGTGCCAGGTCACTGAGCGCTTTAAAAACAAAAGTCAGTAACTTAAACTGCACTCTGAAAATGACAGGGAGCCAGTGAAGATGTGCCAGGACAGGTGTAATGTGGCTACGTCGGTGTGTACCCGTCAAGAACCTGGCAGCAGCATTCTGAACAACCTGCAGCCGATTCAGGGCAGAGTCCGGAACACCAACGAGGAGGGCGTTTGCATAGTCCAGGCGAGAGGTAATGAATGCATGAATGACTGACTCCAAATGCCTCCGTTTCAGGATTCGTCTGAGGTGAGTAAGGCGGCGAAGCTGATAAAAACACGACCTCACTACAGAGTTTATCTGTGGGGCCATTGTGAGTCCAGCATCCAGCTTGACCCCGAGACTCGTCACACACTGTTTGGGGTTAAGGGTTAAAAGGTCACAAACAGGGTGAGAGCTATGGTGGTTGCGGGGGTCAAAAACAATAAACTCAGACTTCTTTTCATTCAGTTTTAAGAAGTTGGATGCCAGCCAGCCCTTCACGTCATCCATACATGCAGCCAATTTCGAGCCCGCATTTTTCTCGTCCATTTCCACGTATAGCTGACAGTCATCTGCGTAGATGTGGTAGCTCAGGCCATGCTGATTCAGGATATTGCCCAGAGGCAGAAGGTAGATTGAAAACAGCAATGGCCCAAGAACGGAACCTTGCGGCACCCCCCAAGGCAGTGGAAGACTGGAGGATGCACAGTCACCAATCTGTACAGAGATGGTACGGTTTGATAGGTAGGAGCGGAACCATTTAAGCGCCACCCCCGTCACCCCAACCCAAGACCCATGTCTCTCTCACGCCACACCCCCAATTTCTTACACTAAAAAGGTTAGTCTGTTTGAGCTACACATTCCTCTGGCTACTGCGCTACAAGTTCAGTTTTATCCATATATGGTTTAAATCATCGACATATATGTGACATATAAATTGACTTTATATGAGCGAGAAGAGGGAATTGACGCCCTCCAGCGGCGAAAAGCTAGAACAAATCTGGTTGTTAAAAAACCAATTGGAGAACATTTTACTTCTCTTATCGCAATGAAGCTGGAAAATATAATGCATTTTTGTCTCTTGTTATATATATATTTAATATATTAAGGAGAAGAAGGGGGAAACAAAGAAGATTAAGAACTTCACTCACAAAGTTACAATAGTTAATAAAAGCAATTCATTTAAAGGATTTCAAAATAAAATAAATACTGCAGCGATTTGGCGTTTGCGACAGAACCTCGCTCCAACAGGCTTTTCTCTTTTAATTTAGCTAAAAAAAATCGTATTATACTTACGTAACAATTTTTAAACCAATGGTTTTGTGCAGTGACGAAACGGCCATCAGGGTCACCGGGACACGAATGTTTCCCGTATTAGGTCAACTAGATGCGAATACGATAATTCAACCTGATTTTCGAGATTGAGAATTTTACTGCTCTCTGCTGGACGAACTTTGTTTCTACAAGAAGTTCATAACTATAACCCAGTGCATTAGTCATTAGCACTTCCTGGAGATTCCTTCAAAAGAAAACATACTTCTTAAAACTAAAACAGAGTTCAAATTAGTGTTAGCAGCACTAAAACTCAATCAATCTATTTTAATTACCTGCGTTCAACATAATCAAATTACTGAGCTAAAGCAGGAGCAATTAGCAGCTAGCTACAGACTAATGTATCATTTGCTTTTATTGAAAATTACATATTTGTGGATTGTTGATCTGTGATTTCATTTTTAAAAGACTGCCGCAACTAAAGCGCCCCCCACCCCACCTACACACACAAAATTTAAATAAATAAAATCTCACTCCAAGACTTTTTCCCTGATAATAAAAAAATCTCTGTAATATAAAGATAAAGAATGACAGACACAAGAGCAATATTCAAAATTCTGTTTATTATGTTTGTAATATTCTGAATAACAGTCCCTTGGATATCTGTACACTAAACTACAGTAAAATAATTACAGTGAATGTGAACTTTACAGCCATCAAAGCTGCACAGGAGGGACTACATTTTCCTAATCTCCCTAAATGTAAAACCACAAGAGGGGAACCACAAAAATAAATAAATGCATAAATAATGTGGTCAGTTGTTACTGAATTCGTAGACTTTTTGGTTTCTTATACAGCAGAAAAGTAAACAGGAAGTGAACAATTTGTATAACTAAAGATAGAAATCAACATGAATGTAAAACTTTTTATCTACCTTCTTAGTATAAGTATGACAGGTGAACCATCATTGATAATAGTGACATTTTTGTCTGTTTCTTTGAATAATAGTTCAAATTAGCAGATTTTTTTTTGTATTTAAGGCCAGAGATTTCTCTAGTCCACAGCTCAACTGGTTTAAAACTGAAATATATAATTTTCTGTGCCTTTTTTAAAACTTCATGGTGTTGACTTCACACAGAAGGGGCTATCCTATCCTCCCTCTAGGTCCAATCAGTGATATAATCAGACTTATTTAGTCTTCCTTCTCTAAATGCTTTTGCTCTTTTTATTACCTTGTGTAAATTAAATAAATAGCTAATTTCCTTTCAAGTGGACAAATGTAATAATAACTTTACTGAATCACTTCTAGCCTAGACCAATGCAAGTTACTACTATTTATATTTTCTTCATTTTTTTAAAATAAAAGTTGCACCTATATTTCTGTGCTATTTTCTTTCAGTTTTAATGAAATGTAAGCGTGCCATTTGGTTTAATTACTCTTTGACATGTAAATCTATCCTTGTCCAGGAGACTGGAGTATGTACAAAGCTATTGAAATGCTCTATCTACATCCAAGAAGTGTTTCCATCTCTGTGATTGTTTTCTAGCAAACAGAAACATCAGTGTGTCTTCAGCATCTAGGTCACTGTGGCTCGACGCTCAAGCCCAGATCTGAAAAAGGAAAAAGCAGCAATCACTGCAGAAGTCACTGAAACTTGAAAAGTTATCTCAGAGGTTACAAAAAAGTCTCATACCCGAAGAGTGTGATCCCAGGATCCTGTGCAGAAGGCCGTACCATCGGGAGAGACACGCAGCGTGCTGACACGGTTCTCATGTCCAAACAGAATAGAGACCCGTGTTCCTTTGAGAACATCCCAGACGTTTATAGTGTAGTCGTTGTACCCACCAAACAGTAGCCGTCCTGTTAAAATGAAAATACACACAAATCTTTTCAGCGATCTTTAAAAAGTAATAATTGTAAGCAAAGAAAGAGCCAAGATCCTCAATATTTAAACGTGTGGTTCCCTGAAAATTTTTTTTTTATTATTTCTGATTATAAAATCGGTCACTCCGAGTTTTCATGCAGGCTGAACATGAAAACTGTCTTCACACCTACCTCCTGCATCAGCTTCTGATAGAAAATACAGCGAAATGCTAGGATCTGAAAATCCTCACATATCTATGTCACACTGGATTTGTACTCATGGCCTCGCCCATCTTGGCTCGCGCCCACTCACAGGAGGGCTTTCGTTTGTTTTGTTGTTGTTTTTTTCCAACAAGGAGAGAGAGCGGAGAGTGTCCTGGTGATGGTGACTTTTCAACACGGCTGAACACGTTCTGTGAGCCAGTCAGAACTGAGGTGTGGGCATATCATTAATAATAATGAGCAATCCAGCTGTTTTCAGCCCACCTCTGCACCAGTAAACTTCTGCATCTCAGAACAGAAGCAGCATAGCTTTTTTTAAATTTAAATGACTCATAAGGCATTGATTTATAATAGAGAACACTGCAAATGTATTGAATAAACAAGTACACCACACCTTTAAATAATATTGAGGATCATATATTCAAAAGTAGTATTGAAGGGAAATAATATCATACCACTGAGTGAGAAATCAACACTGGAGACCCCAAATATGATGCTATCTTTGGAATAAATAGCCACTTCTCTATCTGCCCTCAAGTCATAAAGCCGACACTGAAACAAAAACAACCGATTTCAGTTTACTTGAAAATGTCCCTTTGAGGTGTTTAACAGTTTAACTTACTGTGGCATCATCTGATCCAGATGCAAAAGCATCTCCACTTGGGTAGTATCTATTAGAAAAAAATTGGGCTACATTATAAAACAAAGTCAGTCAGAATAGCAATCACGTTTTTTCTGATCAGGACCGTGACTCACCGCACGCTGTTTATGTCTGATTCATGAGTTTCAAAGGACTGAATGCATTGTCCTGAACGCATGTCCCACACGTTAGCCTTCTTATCGCAGCCCTGCAGAAACAGGAAAGATTAATGCGACTCCGGCAATGAAAATCGTCCAACATTTAAATAAGCAGCACAGAGAGCATGCTCACCCCTGAAACAAAAGTGTTTCCTGTCTCAGACGGAGCCAGGTCCAGACACAGTACGTCTGCTGCATGTCCATGGAAACTCTGCAGCAGCTGCCCACTCTCAACATCCCATAATGCACATGTTCCATCACCACTGGATGTCAGGATCTTTAATACAATCAGACAAAGAGAGGAAAGGTATATGCTTACTTAAGATGATGGTGCTACGAGAGTAATGGGGTGCTGATTGTCAAAGTCCATCCATCCATCCATTTTCATCCGCTTATCCGGAGTCGGGTCGCGGGGGCAGTAGCCTAAGTCGAGAGACCCAGACTTCCCTCTCCCCAGCCACTTGGGCCAGCTCCTCCGGGGGAATCCCAAGGCGTTCCCTGAGACTAATAGTCCCTCCACCGTGTCCTGGGTCTACCTTTAGGTCTCCTCCCGGTTGGACGTGCCCGGAAGACCTCACCAGGAAGGCTTCCAGGAGGCATCCTGACCAGATGCCCGAGCCACCTCAACTGGCTCCTCTCAATATGGAGGAGCAGCGGGTCTACTCCAAGCCCCTCCCGAATGACCAAGCTTCTCACCCTATCTCTAAGGGAGAGCCCAGCCACTCGTTCTCTCGGTCACTACCCAAAGCTCATGACCATAGGTGAGGGTAGGAATGTAGATCGACTGGTAAATCGAGAGCTTCGCCTTCTGGCTCAGCTCTCTCTTCACCATGACAGACCGGGACAACGCCCGCATCACTGCAGATGTAGCACAAATCCACCCATCGATCTCACGCTCCAGTTTTCCCTCACTAGTGAACAAGACCCTGAGATACTTAAACTCCTCCACTTGGGGCAGGACCTCATTCCTGACCCAGAGAAGGCATTCTACCCTTTTCCGAATCAAGACCATGGTGATTGTCAAAGACATCAAAGTAAATTCAAGAATTAACCTCTAAACTTTATTACATGAAGCTTTAAAAAACGACATTAAAAATAATAAATATTTAGATTCAAGTTTGTGTGAAGCTATATTTAAATACCACTATAAATGCATACATTTAGCTGACATTCAGATTCTGATGTAGAACTGAAGTAGCCTTCCAAAATAAAAGCTTTTATTTGTTTATTTATAACATTTATTTATTTATGTCATCTTCTTCTGTTTTTAAGCTTTTTCAAAATATTTTGTGTAAACACATCACATTTTAAAATTAGATTTGAATACCATGATGCATATTTAGTTTAAATTCAAAATGAATGTTCAATATTTTTATGTGAATATATGTTTAAATATTTAGACATACTGTGGTGAAAAGGGGGTTTTAACATTTTTACACCCCAGTTTCACTATTTACTAAATATGGCTGTAGCTTTTTAATTTATTACAAGCCAAATGGTGAAATGTCATGTGACCAGGACAATAAAACAGGAGTGAATTATTAACCAAGTCAGGCATGTGCAGCTGCTGCTTTCATCTGTGATTTTTAACTTTGTGCCTCCTCACCTGCATGTCTGAGTTGGTGAAGCTACAAGCAGACAGGTAGTTTGTGTGCATCGCCACTGACTTCTTCTTTGCAGCTAGGTTCTCGTTTTTATCCAGAGACAGAGGATACACAGAGCATTTATTATCCAGGCCCCTATGGCAGAGAAAATGAACATGGTTTATTAAAAATAATCAAAGGATTATATGTCAGGAGGCAACAAGCATACCCACCCACAAGCTACAGCGCAGCCAGATGGAGCGTAGGCACAGGCCATCACCCAGGTGCACGGCATTGTCACAGCATGCTCCTAATAAACATCCAATCAAAAAGCAGCATGAGTGGGACAGCACTGGGGAGAATTAATCAGCTATAATTAAAATAAAACCTTGAGGTTTTGAAATTTGTTCTAAACACATAAAAAAGGTGAAGAGAGAATAATCTGTTAAAATGTTTCCTCTTCCTGCCAAGTAACCCATTCACTAACCTCCCTCTTCAGTAAATGGTATTTCTTGGACAAAGACATTTAGATCTAACTTCTTATTGTTAATGTGCATTGTCTGAAACCTTTATAGCAAGTTTATGGTGCCATGGCATCCCAAAAACATGTGCCTGATCAGTTCTGCTCCTTTGTTTTTACAGATGTAACACGTAATCCCAGTGGCTTTGATGTTTTTAATAAAGGTTTTGCAATAAATGGATTACCTTGTTGGTGGTGAAGGCATCCCATACAATCACTTTTCCGTCCTGCACCAAAAGAGATGGATGAGTGAACAACCAACTGGCTCTAGCTCATGAACAGTCTGATCTCTGTAGCTGAAAGGTGAAATGTGTGACCTGTGAGGAGCTGACGATCCTCCTCTTGTCTTTACACCAGTCCATACACAGGACCTTGTTGCCATGTCCCTTCAGGGTTCTGCGGGTCTTCATGACAAACTGACCCAGAGACTCCACCTTCTCCGCCACCTGATGCACTAATTACAACAAACACAATAGTACTAATACTACTAGTAATAATAATGATTATTATTATTGTTGTTGTCATTTCTGGTAGCTGTAAGGATTGATTTATATGGTCGGATTAAAATAATCCGTCTGATCTGTTGTAAATAGAAATAATCTATTTTTAAAACGCCATTTTCCACGTTTTTTATTATTTTAGTTACAGTTTTTCAAAATTCCTCAGGCATCCTATAAGACAAGAGCTCCTAGGAGGAAAAATCAGGATGGAAACATTCGTTTAACATCGGAAAGCAAACATAGTCTAATCCTCACATCCGGCCAGTCAGATAATTAATCCCAACATCCTGTGGACGCTACAGGGCCTGACTTCAGTCTAAAACACGTCACACAATAACACTAATAAGAGTAAAGTGTTATTTATGCCGTCATGGTGTGAAGAGAGGAGTGATGGAGGCCTCTCCATTTTCAGGACTCACGCTCGACATCGTGCAGCTTGGCTCTCTCCTCCTCCAGTTTCGTCTTCAGCGTCTCCGACTCGGTCTTCAGATGAGCCAGAGTCTCGTTCAGCTGTACCTCCTGAGTCGCCATTTCAGGGATTGGAGGGGATCTCATATATGTTGACTTTGTGCGGGGAGCGACGGACAGCGGCTTACAGCGGAGCTAACAGCTGATGCTGCTGCTGTCATGACGTCACGGGGAGACGATGCTCCTGCTGTGTCAATAGAGGGAGGAGGATCTACTTCCTGGTGATGAGGCTGCATCCTTAGCAGCGCCCAGCCTCACTACTCTACAGATAAATACATTAGCTCACCGCCGCCTGCGTTACAAAGCAATAACGCGGTCTGTCTGCATTCATGAGGAAGTGTGCAGAATAGCATGATCAGTGTGCTGTTAATGATGCAAACCTGCGTGCTTCTGTCCAGAATGCTGACTTTTATGCAGGAACAGGATCAAATTGAACTATCTGGTGGTTAACGTTGACTTTGTAATAATCGATTTTGTTTGATTTTGCAATCTTATAACAGTAATAGACAAACAATTGTAAATCCACCACCAGAGGGCAGTAGACATGAATAGGAATGGCAGGTTTGTTGACGCAGGTATAATGCTGATACTCCATCTGGATGCTTTAAGACTATAAGTGGTTTGATTTGCAACAATTGTTTACAAGGCGTTAATATTTACTAATTTTTTGGGGGGTTCTATACCACTGGGATATAGGACTTTTCAGGACACGCGTCTAAAATGACAGTTCCTTCCATCTGTCTCTCACCAAAGAGAAAGTGGTGAATTGCAAGGATATATTGACCTTAACGGCTGTGTTTAAAATGGTTCATTTTAAACTAAACAGTTTACATTTTGAATATTGATCATTTTGCTTAGTGTGTATTTTTTAAGTTCATCTTCCACTTTAAACCCATCTAAGCATATTCGAAATGCAGGAGGACCTATATAAGCAGTTCAGATGTAACTATGACTGAGATCCATGTTTTGTTGCTTCCCAGTGTGTTTATTATCTGCTTGAAAAACAGCACCTCCTAATAAAACACCAAAAGTGACGGGAGAAGTCGTTCACTGCATAGACATCATATTGATCACAGATATCAGTGTCTGTGGTTTGCTTCACTGGTGGCTGTTTACATGGAGCTTTACCAGATGTTGCCAGATATGGAACAAGAATTCTACAATTTTGGTGCTGAAGGTCCACAACCGTACAATTTTGAGTCAACTGTGACACCTAATGCTGGTAGTCAAGAGCGATTATTTCATTTCAGCAACCCGCTTAAAGTCTCCGCTGTCAGGCTCCCTGCTAGCCAGCTGGACTTGAGAATGAGTTATTTTTATGATAAAGAACATTGGTAAAAACAAGGTTTTTAATCACTTTATAGAAATAATTTTGCCGTACATAAACAAAATGTAGCATTGGGTTGCTATAACACACCTGTTTGAGGTGTTAAAGATTAATCATGATGATAAAGCAACAATTTTACTGTCCAACTGACTGAAATCTAATGAAATCAATAAAATTTATAAAGCATTGATATAAACTGTTATAATACACACACACACACACATGTAATTAAGACCTAAAAATGGCGTGACAAAACTGCAAGTTTATTTACTTAAAAGCTAAAACGAAACATCTTTTGAATCTAGATCACTGAGAAGAAAATTACTTCAGTATTTCTAAATCCTTCTTACATTTATATTAAAAATTCTTTAAACAAAGGCCACTGGAGAATCAGCAAGTCATGAAGAGTGAAAGGTCAAAGGTCAGATCTTGGTCAGGAAGTCCAGCTGAAGGCTGCTCGGGACCTGCAGCAACTCGAGAGCCATGGAGGAGGAACAGAAAGGAAACGTGACCTGGAAACGATGATCTGTGTCCAGCATCAGCTGTGAAGACCCTTCATGGTCCTGCAGTAACGACTGCAACAAAGCACACAACTTTAGTTTTAATAAAAAGTAAATACTTCATAAAAATCCAGCACATTGAAGCTTGCCTGAACTCTGCGGACAAATGATGATGTTACTCTTTTCTCAAAATCATCTATGGGCGTGTAGGAATTCAGAATCTTGACAATCTGCAAAATACATTTGAGTTTTGCCTCCAGAGTTTAAGAAAAGTTATAAAAAGCAGTTAGATAATAAATGTTGGCGCACGAGGTACCTGAACAGGGCTGAGCTCGGTGCAATTGTCAGCGATCTCTTTAGCGTCCTCATCAGTGGACTTGTTGACTTGCAGCAGCCAGGCAGCCTGAGCCAGCGGCCTCAACGTATCGATGGCATTAGAGCTCTGTAGCTCCTTCTCCTTCAGCCACTCCTCTAGATAACTAATGTTACATCTAAAAGAACACGGCTACGTTAAAACCAAAGCTTCCTTTTTTTCCTTCAGATTTCAAAAAGTTGAACCTCACTGACCTGATCTGCATCCCTTTCCTGCAGGAGCACATGTCTTTGCGGAGCATGATTTGGTTAAAGGTGGTGGCGCTCACCAGGAAGAACAGCTGTTTGATGGACTGTTTGATGAGGCACCTCTCCATGCCGTGGTGGCTCATAGCGGCGTGGAAGTTGGAGAGCTGCTGCAGGATGGAGGAGATGGTGTAGCTCTCAGCCTCGTTGTAAACGCTGTTGGAGCGTTTTCTGAAACCCGTCGGTTTCATGCTGGAAATTCCCTGTAGACTCTCGTGCTCCAGCATTCCAGGAACTATTAAGAACACAAAAGCACGAGTTAGTTTAACTAAAAGAAAATTTTTCTGTATGTGGTGATGCTTTTATTCCTTTCTTCAAACACCAATAGCGGGAGCGAGAGTCTTCTGCATGACCCTGATGAGCTGGTGGTAGATGTGTATGGCCAGGTCGCTGAGAATCTGTCTGTGTTCGGACAAATCAAAGTTCTGCAAACAGTTCTTTTTCTGCCGAGGGGTGCTCTGTTTCTGGAACTCCTGAAAAGCAGGACGGTTCGATTCTGTGTGAGAATACGCAGAGGTTCAAAGTGTCTACAGGTGAGTAAACTCATACCTCCTCTCCACTGTACTGTTTCAGACAGTTGAGCAGCTGGTATGTGTTTGAGAGCCAGAAGGACAACAACTCCATGTTTCTGTGGTGAGACTAAAACAGAAATAAATACCTCGGATCAAACGTCTCAGACAAATCAAACTGGATCTTCCTCAGTTTGAAACATCTTTCATCAGCATTTTTCTACAGCTAGCATAACACAATATTATTTTGTTTTACTCAAGTGGGTCAAACCAGATCTGTTAGTAAGCATGCACATAGGACCAGCATGCCTGTTTTTGTTTACTGCCCAAGCAGGGGAGGCAGCGATGAGTAATGGAGTTAATTACTGGCATTGAATAAATAATCCACCAGCATCTATTTTAGTATCTATACAAAAGACTTTTACTACGTCCCGTGGTGCACCTGTGGCTAGTTTACTTTAAATATTCATAATTTAAATGATTTCTAAATCATTCATTTCTGTTTAATTGCACACATTCTTCATACATGCCATACAGGTCCAGGGGTCTTGGACAGAGGATGGAGGGTTTTCCTCACCATGACGACCTTTTTGATGGCAGTAATGATCGCGTTCATCAGAGACTTGAGTTTGGTGTCGTCGTTCAGGTAATCTGCATGCCGCACGCACATGAACAGGATGTGAGCGGGCAGGGTGGGGATCATACTCACCACCACCCCTTTGGGTTTCAGGTCTGTGGACAAACATCATAGCTCACACAGCTGCTCAAACTCAACAAAAAGCCCCTTAAATACCATCGTTAGAGAGTAAAGTACCAAGGATGATGTTCTGAATGAGCCGTGGTTCGTGCTCTCTCCTGTATTCCAACATGCCGAGGAATTCTTTGGGAATAATGGATGTTGTGTTTTGTTTTGCTGCATGAGCAAAAGATGAATGAATAAATAAAAAACATTCAATTAAAAGACAACCTGTTGTAGAATCTGCAGCTCTACCTTTCTGTGATGTCTCCAGACACTTTATTTGATTCTGGAGTTTCTTTATCAGTCGGTCTTTCTGGTCCAGCTGCTCTTCAAAGTCCTGGAAAACAAAGGAAATGTGTTTCTGCCAGTTGGGAGGACATTTTAAATCTCCCTCTCTGACCCACAAACACACCATGTTCTCAGCAGTCAAGCGTGACGTCTCCTCCCTCAGTTTGTTCTTTGCTTCTCCCTCCATCAGCTGCTGCCTCTTCAGGTGAGCATTCTCCTCCACCAGCTCCTCGATCCTCCCTTGGAGCTCTCCTTTTGCCTCCTCCAGCTCTTTGGCTTTCTCCTCAAAGTACCTGAAACACACACATCGTTTAAAACATGATGAAAAATCCTTTACATGAGAAGCAAACTCTCCTGAAGAGCGGGCTTACCTGCGCTGTGAGCTTTCTTCTGTAATCTTCCTGTGAAGAACGTTCCTTATCTCCACGTTTTTCTCTTTTAGGAGACACAAACAGAAGAGTGGTTATGAAACTGAGCAGAAAGGAGTTTATTTTTGTGAGATTCTGACAGGAAACGCGTCAACCTGCTAACTCTTGGCTCTGATCCCTGATGAGGCCTTCCAGCTCCTGCTTTTGTCTCTGCAGCTCAGAAACCTGCTGTTTCAGCTCCGGTATCACCTGTGGCGTCACATTAAAACACACTTCACACCAACGCTCTGCGTCCCATCCTTATCCATGATGTAAGCTTGAGATTCATTTACACACAGAGTTCTCGCTGCTGAGCCTCGACACTTCCTGGCGAATATTTTCGTTGACGTTACTTTTTTCCTGGAACAGATTTTGCAGCTTGCCGTTCTCATTTTGAAGGTGGTCCATTTTTAGTATCAAACCCTCCAATCGAGCTTCATAGCTCTCCTTCTGCTCCTTCTGGTGGTTTTCCAGAATCCTGCAAACAATTATGAAGTTTTGTGTAAAAATGTAGTTACCCCGCTGATTGTAAAGGATCACAGTGAAACGGAGACCTGGTGGCTTCTTGCAGCCCCTCGAAAGCCTTCAGCAGATCATCTGGTTCATAAATCTCAGAGTCGTGTGGAGTTAGCCTTCACAGAAACTATGTGTGAGATGCTTTTCTTAAAAGATGAAAAAAAATCACAGAAAAGACACAAGAAAAAAAAAAAGATTTACCCCAAAAGCTTCTCCTCTTCTACAAGACCACCAAGAATCTGTCTCACAGTCCTCTTAACCTTAGCTGCAGACAAATATTCAGTCATTAGACATTTCATACGAGTCAGAAGTTTGATTTTTATTTTAAGTGAAGGTTTAACATCTAAACCTGTTGCTTGTTCCGACTGCTCCTTCATCTGACGGTCGAGGTTGTTCCTCTGGTTCTGGAGGTTGTTCAGATCTCTGCGCAGCTCAGGAATCACCTTGACGTGTTTGGTGAGCTGAACGACCTGCTCCTGCAGGTCAGAGTTCACCTGCACCCCCTCCTCTATCCTCCTCTGCAGACCAACTCTGTCCTCCTTTAGTCTCTTTATCTCCTCCTTTAGAGCTTCCACCTCCTTCTCGTGGTCCTGTTTCTGGATCTCAGAGTTGTTCTCCGCAATCCTGGTTTGAAAAGATGTACGAACGTCAGACGGATGGATCCACGTGTTGCATATTTTAGATCGACTTACTTTCTAAGTCTGGCTTCATTTTCTTTCTCGTCCAGAAGACTTCTTTTGACTTGATCAAATTTCTCTGTAACGTGCAGCAAAAACAGTCAAAACAATGAAGTTGCCTTAAGATCTTTAGAAAGCACCAGTGTGTAATGAACCAATGCATAGAAGACTCTGTTTACCTTTAGATTCTCTGATAGAAGCTTCAAACTTTTTCTCCAACATCTGCTTTCCGAGACTCAGGGACTCCATTTCCTTCTGAAGCTGAGTGATCATCTTAAACAGTAAAAAGCTGAAAATCAAGCTACAAACTCAGAAGAACGAACTGAGATTAAACCTTCAGACTGACTAGAGTTGCTTCCTCCTTTGATCTCCTCTCGCTTTCCTCCAGAGAAACCTTCTGATTGGTCACTTTTTCCAGCTGTATTTCCAGGCCTTGCAGTCTGTCCACAGTTTGAGAATTGGAGTTGGCCAAACTGGTCAGCCTTTCCATCAAGCCACGATTCTCTTTACTCTGTTGGGAAGCTTGTGATTAGCTAGTTGGAATGAAACCTGAAAGCTGCCTTCAGAAGCATCCTCACCTGCTCTTCGATCTTCTTCCTGAGCTGCTGAACTCTGTAAGAGAGCTGGACGTTGAGCACCAGCCGACGCATGGTTTGAAAACGCCGGCGCACCAGCCACGCTCTGGCGTACTTCTGTAGAATCAGAGCTTTGCGCTCCTCTATCATCTGAAAAACATCAGAACATCAGTATTCCAGAATAATAAATAATGAATCGACTGTTGTTACCTTCTTGTAGCGTTTTCTGGCCATCCAGCCCCGTGTGAAGGCTTGGATGGTGACGGAGGCCGTGCGGACCACCTGGTAGATCCGCTTCATGCGGTATCCTCTCCAGTGTCTCTGGATCACCACAGAAGCCCAGCCCTGCTTCAGTGTTGCAGCACTCACCGTTTTCCTGCATGTTTAACAGCGCTGGTCAGCTTTAAAACTTACATTCTAGAGAAAAAGCAACAAAACTGTAGCATGAACGAATCTAACCGGATCATCCGCTTTCCTCGGATGTACTGTTGAAGGATGATGGCAGCATCCCTCATCTTTAGGTACTTCCTCCTCTGGCTCCATCCACGAACGTGTTTCTGAATGCTCACACAGGCTCCTCGAAGTCGATCCAGACGAAGCTTCTCTAGATAAGCTACCTGACCAGCTCGGAAGAAGATCTTTGTACGGCCAAATTTGTACTGGTTGGAATCCTGGAGATGAAAACAAAAAGTGCAGATCTTGATGATGTCAAATCAAGAGGCGCATAAGGAACTCGGAGCTGACCTGGATCAGCCTCTGCAGCACATTTTTGCAGGTTTGCTTCTTGTCACTGCGGTCTGCCTCTACATGCGACATCAAGATACTGTATCGGCTGTAAAACTCAATGTATGTCCACCTGAAACACAAAAGCCACGTTAGACAGTGAAGAAAAGAGAACCCATCATTTACACAAATTACCTGACCTGGATGGGTAGCTCTGCGCACTGATCCGGATGGTTTCAAGGACTCCGCATGCTCGCAGCTGCTGTACCACTCTCCCAGAGTCATACCTGAAAACGCGAGCAAACACTAAAAACTAGAACACGAGCTGAGCAAAGAGCTAATTGTAGGAATTCAAAATTGAAGAGTGTGTGTACTCAAAAGGAAGCTTTTCATCATTAGGCTTAATGCAGCGGACATAGTGAGGGGTGGTGGCGTTCAGAGTTTCCATCAGTAAAGACAAGGAGCTGCAGAACTACAAACACACCCAAGGAAACTTTATTGAGTTCAGTCTAAAGCGAGCAGAATGAATGTAGAGTGCAACAGCCTCCACCTTATCTCCCACAGATGTTCTCAGCTGCTTATTGGCTGGTTTCACTGAAGGCCTGGCTGGCTTCACTTTAACACTTTTACTGCTCGATGCTTTTTGCTCCTCTTGGAAAAAATTTCCCAGAAAAGAAAACTGGGAATATATTCAAACAAAGAAACATGTTAGGGGAAAAAAATGCCATTAAAGTCATCATTTTAAGCAAAAAAGGGAAAAAGAGAACCTTGATCACCTTACTGGCTCTCATTGTGTCAACAAGTTCTTCATAAAGGGCGTCTCGGTTCTTCTCAAGAAAACCTCTGCACTGATATTCCACCTGTTTAACACCAGATCGGTTATATTTGCCTATTTCTAGGTTTATAAGAGCCTTTTTAACAAGTTGAGTTCTCGAACCCGGTTTCATATTTAAAAACAATAAATGATAAACATTTTAATCACATTTGCCAATAAATAGAATTTAAATATGGGATTTCAGTATCAACCATTACTTCATTCATTAGGCTGAAAAGGTGAAATAAATCAAGTGATCTCAGAGAAATGGCCACTAAAATACAGAAAAGTTCCTGGACACAAGTTTATTGGACCTTTGTATTAATTTTGATGGTACGTAATTATACCTTTAATGTAATAACTTTGTAGGATAAGAGAATAAATGTGATTGGCTGACTCTCCGGTCATTTTCATCCTGTCTGAGTTTTCTCCAGAGCCTCGGGCTTCCTCCCACAGTCCAGGGTATCTGCAGGTTTAAGGGAGCCAAATTTAAGACTTTTTAAGACCTTTTTAAGGCCACTTTGACCAAATTTAAGCTGTTTTTTTTTTTCATTACATTTAAGCTATAATTTCCAGCTATTGCCTGGAACCGGTGCTAACCACGTCACGAACTTGGGATTAACCATCCAGTTACCATTAAACTTGCACTTCCCCATGGCGCAAGCTCCCACTAGCTTAACCAGCTAATGTGCTCATCTAAAAATAGGCCCCTTTCACAACCAACCGAATGTGTACGGTTCCACTTACGCCAACATCATACACAAAAAATGCTGAACTAACTAGAAATTCACGAAAATTTTATAGAAATAAAATAATCTTGTTTATTGGGTCTTTGGTTATTTAAGACCTTTGGAAACTGTATTTAAGGATTATTTGTCATTTTTAAGGATTTTTAAGGCCTTAAATTTGGAAAAGCAAATTTAAGACTTTTTAAGACTTTTTAAGGACCCGCAGATACCCTGCAGTCCTACAACATGCATGTTAGGTTGACCGTTTCTTATAAAGTGACCATGGTTGTTGGCGTGCATTAGCTGCTTTTAGACTAAACTGTTGTAAAGGCTCTCTGAGGGTCAAAAGAACCGGAGAGTTTAAATACTTCAGGTGTGATTGGAGTAATTCTTCTGTGAGCGGTGGCTGTTTTGAAAGCTACACGAGGTGTACGCTTAAGCTACTAGACTCCACCTTGTCAGCAAAGTGCTGAATCACAAACGCCTCATTTGATAACCTGGGCTTCTCAAATAAAGGATTGGCATCCAGGTAGTTGTACAGCTTCTGCAGCCAGCTCTGGTCGGTTCCTTGAGGGAACTGTAAAAGGAAAACAATATTTAAACACAATTAAAAGAAAATCTAAATGTTATATTTAAATAAGTTCAAATCTTACTAAACATTCTTCATCAAGCAGATCGAGGATCCCCATCTTGGCTTCAATCAGGTCGATGACGGGCTGGTTGTCATAGAAATCTATCAGTGTCCAGGGAATGTCTTCTTTCATGTACTCCTCCTGCTCCAGCTTGAAAACATGCTGAAGACAAAACAGCAGTGACTCTCTGAATGGATGACGTTATGCGACAGCGGGTGACAGATCTGCGTACCAAGTTAAACTGCTGCTGGAGCTTCTCGTTGGCGTAGTTGATGCAAAACTGCTCAAAACTGTTAATGTCAAACGTTTCAAAGCTGAGGACAAAAAACAAATTATAAAGAGAGAAGAGACCAGCAGAAGGCAAAAAAATAAAAACTCATTAGCATTACCCATAAATGTCCAGAACACCTATGAAAGCATGCTGCTTTCCAGGAACTTGCAGTGCTGTGTTGATCCTGCTGATGATGCAGTCAAAGAGATGGGCGTAGATCTGCTTAGCCATAGCATCTCTGGCAGCTAGCGCTCGCTCTCTGGCCACCGGCTTCACAACCGTCTCAGCCACCAGAACGATTCGTCGATGGCACAGCCAGCGCACCAGCATGTCTGACCTCACGCCCAACAAGTCACACAAAATGGCAAGATGGGGATCTCTGGGCTGCAAAACACACACATCAAGAACTCTACTTAACTCTGGTAATGTCTAAAAATCAAAAACCTACTGGAACCGATGATCGGTCATCTCCCAAACTTTTGATCTCAACATTCCCCAGATGAAGAATTGCTGCTAGGACTTTAAATATGTCTGACTGAAAATCTTCTTTCAAACCTGTAAAGACAAAAAAGGCAAAAAGAAGCACAATAAAGCTAAAAGTGATCAGAATAGAGGTACAGATAAAGCGCTGGCTTTACCCAGCAGTGAAAAGGTCCGTCGAGTCTCTTCCATGTCCTTTTTGTCATCTACACCGTCAATGGCGATGTCACCTCCCATACAGGTGTACCTGAATTTATCTGCACTTGCTGCCAATCAAAAAACATATTACTGTAAGAATTTCTACAGGTAAAATGTACACGACTGCACTTGAGATCTCCTTTAAAAGGAAACCAGAGGAAACACTCACACAGTCTCAGACTCTTGAACTCTGATGACTCTGCACAAGAGCACATTTGGTAGAATATATGATAATTACGCTCATTCTCTGCCTAGAAAGAAAAAAAATTATTATTTTAATGATTAAAAATGAAAAAAATCCTCATCTCATACACACCTGAAAAACTACTCTGGATTTCTCTAATAGGTAAGTCCTCATGTTGGCTCCAATGATCCGGTACCTCCTGTCGAAGCTGATCTCTGTGTACTTTCCAAATCGGCTGCTGTTGTCATTTCGAGTGGTTTTTGCATTTCCTATTGCCTTAAAGAAAACAAACCAAATCATAAAGATTCTGAAATGGCATCTTTTTTGCCACTACAGATAAATCAAGAAATGTGTCTTATTTTAATAAAAAACATGTACCTCTGTTATTGGATTAGATGCCAACACTTTGTCCTCAACTCGCGTTTTACTCCCAGATTTGCTCACAACAGCGAAGTACCTCATCGCATATCGAGCCGACACCGTTTTACCAGCTCCAGACTCTCCGCTCACAATTATAGACTGGTTCTTGTGATTTCTGAAACAGAAAACAAAGAGATAGCATACTGCTTTACCCATTCCATATGGTTTAAGTGGCTCTCTGAGGTCGTATTACCTGGCCATCTGCTTATATGCTTCCTCTGCCACAGCAAATATATGGGGGTCCATGTCGCCCATGTTCTGCCCAGAGTAGGCATTAATGATTGCATCTCCATAGATGGGAAGCTGTTTATAAGGATTTACAGCAACTAGAATAATCCCTGGAAAAGAGGGGACAGAACAATATGAGCCGGCGACTGTCCACGCCTCAGCAAACAGACATAAAAGACTACAAGTTTCTTGCAGCCTTACCACAGTAGGTATAGATGATCCTGGATTCAACAAATCGCACTTTGAGATTATGCAGGACTGCAGGCTCGTGGAGGTAGCTGAGAGCTGTGAGGTCATTCTCACCCACCAGTATGTCCGGGTTTCGTAGAGGAGGGAGGCTGGGTTCAGATGGGTCAACAGGGTACTGGTGCTCCTGTTGGGAGGGACAAGTTACACAACAATCAGGTCAGCTGCTGATTCTCTCCCCCGTTTAAGGCATTATAGTTCCTTGTAAAATATTTTATCTGTTACATTTTGCTTACAGTGCCATCTTCCAGAAGTAATCCAAGGGCATTTTCACCAGGATGGAAATCTCTTGTGATTTCAGCGGACTTCCACACATGTTCTGTGTCTGGTATCCACACTCTGTTAAACTGAAGCAGGTCAGGTGAAGACAGAACAACAATGTGTAAACCAATCATGCTATGCTAAACGGTTTATATTATTAAACTAAAACTTCTACAACATGAGAATAAATCTAAAACAGTTGGTAAATGTCTTCTTTTGAATTCCTGTGGATCCACTCAGCATTAAATGTGCTGGAAGAGTTTCCATATGTCTCCATTAACCTAAACACATCAAACATGTTACTAACAAAGGAAAAATGGAGATTTTACCTTCGTGTACAGTTCTAGTAAAGCCATCTTTGTTCATCGTTTCAGCAGCTCCTCCAGCCTGTATTTTTACCACCTGTTGTTTCTCTGTACTTCAAGTAACCCACGAAGTCCCTCCCAGGACTACACAAGACATTCAGACAAGTTTACTAAAGCCACGTTCACGTTTCCGGACAATACTTTCAAAATAATGGATGTACGGAAATCTCCAAAACAAAGCTAGCTTCCAAGTTCAGATCATTTATCTATATTTTCTACCAAGTGGTTTTGAAGTTTTATTTATTTAATAATTCGATGTATCATATTTCCATTGACTATAAAAAGTTGATTATAGTGATTCGTTTGAAGGTGGGCTTTTGAAAAATATATTTTGAAACTCCGACAGGAAACGACCGGGTGTGTGTAATCTTTTTCTGTCCGACTAGTCGTACACCTGATGGGGAACGTCAGTCTCCGCCCTCCTGTCTTATGACAACGTGGGTGTGCTTGATTAATCAATGATCCGAACTACAAAAGAAACCGGATATAAACAATCTACTTTTTTCCCCGAAAATCACACACACACACACACACACACACACACACACAAAAAAACATGTGTAACACAATTCACACGGAAAACAGATAAACAGTGAATTACTTTAAATGTGCACAGAAATGTTCTCGTTAATCTTTGCTTTCTACATACTTAAAATTCATTAGCTATAGTTAAATAAAAGTTAGTTCAAAAATGGCCAAAATAAATCAATTCTCAAAAATCGAGATCAAGTTCGCTTATGAGTAGATAAACATTTATTTCTCAATATTATATTAGACAATGAAAATACAAAATAATTCTATCTTATTAGAGAACTAGTCTTTTACTCTGACCCACAACAACATGACTACTTAAATGCAAATCTATCTTTATTTTGTTTCCTTCTGCTTGTTCTGGAACAAATACCTTAACTAGAGCAGTTAAACATTTTTATGGAATGAATACAAAAGTGCAAGATTCTTAGAATTTACATAAATGGCACTGACATTTTAATATTGCACATATTTGCCCATTTTATGAGTTTTAGACATGAAAACACCTCGATTATCTGCTGACATTGACATATTTAACATATCAATATGTGAAATGTCACAATCCGGACCCTCACCTACGTTAAGGCACTGTCTGCATAACAATGTTCAAAACTGACAGCAATAACTGTTCAAGAGATGACCTCTGAGAGACCATAAACAATTTTCTCTTTGGTGTAACATTTGTAAATATAATAAGGGAGAAAAAAAACAGATTCATAAAATAACCTAGTTGAGTTTCGTGGCACTAATTCATCATTGACATATTCTTGCAGATACAAACTTGGTTGAAATAAAACTTTGTCTTTGGTCTTTCTGGTAAACAGCAGACATCTCAAAGTGCAGTCTTCAAAAGTTTGACCTAGATGCGTGTAAGGAATCCCAGATTAAGGCTAGCGGGGATCTGAAGGGTCTCCAGAGCGACGGAGGAAGGCGTGAATGGGAACACAACCGAGAAGATTTTCTTGGCGTCCATTGTTAAGGTGGAAGACGTGTTCTTGTCTTTTAACAGACTCTAATAAATTAAAGAAAACAAAGGATAAATCATGTGGCTACATGCATGTCTGAAGAAACAAACCTCAAAATTAAATTTACTTTAATAGTTGCGATGAAGGTGGTGGAGACCCGCTCTTCAAACTCAATCACCGGCGTGTACAAGGTCAAGATTTTAATAATCTGTTGGGAAAAAAAACAAGCAATGATCAAACCAGTTAAATATTACCAAATAAATGGATGAACATGTGGCGTAGTTACTGATGCTGGACCTGTGCTGTGGTGAGGGCAGTGCACATGCTGCAGATGGCTTGGGCGTCTGCATCAGTCTTTTTCTTGATCTGTAGAAGCTGAGCAGCCTCAATCAGAGGCTCCAAAGTCTCCTTTGCACCACAATTACTCAGCTCCCGCTCCGTCAGCCATTCCTCCAGCTGCCAAACATTGTACCTAAAAACACAGATTCAAATAAAGCCCAGGTTATTTACAAATTTGTGAGTTCTACATGACTAAAATAATTAAAATAGTTCTTTACATATTTTCTCCAACCTGAATGACTTCAAAATATTACAGATGTTAATGTATTTGGAAACTTTTTAACAGAATAAGAACAAAAATAGTTTTGATTTAGTGTCGAACTGCAATAAAACACAACACTGACATTATTTACTCTGGATACATCTTTTCTCACAGAATATATAAATAAAACGTTAGTAGCAATAAAAAATATCTAACTGTCATTGAAATTCAGATACAAAACTTTAAAATGTTTATTCAGTATTTTTCTCCAGTGTGCTTTTGTTGAAGGTAGCATAAATGTTCTGTTATTACAGCTGTTTTTTGGTGCTCCATCTAAACAGAAGAATTTGTTTAAAGAATATTTTTAGAGAGATCAAATCTGCCATTTTTAATTGGGTAAACAAGTTTATTCATTTCTAAAAACCTGGAGTAAGTCTGTTATATTTAATGCATTTTATACTGATCAGCATTTATGTTACAAAACTATTTATGTTTAGGAAATTTGTAAAATATAATTATGTCTAAAAATGTTCAGGGCAGTTTTAGTATCACTAAAAGTAGGTTTATGAAATTATAATATATATATATATATATATACACATATATATACATATATATATATATATATACACATATATACATATACATATATATATATACACATATATACACATATATATATATACACACATATATATATATATATATATATATATATATATATATATATATATATATATATAATGTAAACACATGAAATAGTTTCACATTAAATGTTGAAACAAGAGTCTAGATCACGTTTATTTAATCAGTGGCTATTTTGTGTCGACTGGAGAAACCTTAAGTGGAAAACTGGTGCTTGAGAGTGAAGCTAATGTAATCTTACAGCGAGAAACAGTAGAGATCTTTGTGAGAATATAACTTTCAGATATTTGGTTATATAATTATTACGTGTGGACATTTCTGTGTCCATGATCTCCCACCGACCTCGCTCATCAACAGAACAGAGATCTGATACCGGTCATTCTGACTACCTGATAGTAAAAGCAAACATTTACACACATCAACCCTATGGATGTGCATCATACACATATAAAAACACTAATATAATGGAATAAAGAGCATTACTGTGTTGCTTGCAGCACCTGATCTGTAGGCCTTTACTCCACGAGCACATGTCCTTCCGCAGCAGCAGGTGGTTCAAAGTGACAGCACAGATGATGTAATACTGCTGCTTGACCACCTGTTTGATGAGGTCCGAGTCCATCCCGTGTTGACTCATGGTGGTGTGAAAGAAGGTCAGGCGCTGCAGGAGGACCTCCACAGTCACGGCCTCCTCGTGGAAACTGGAGCTCCTCTTCCTCAGGCCTGTGGGTTTGGACCCTAGAACTCCTTGTATCGTCTCGTGCTCCAGCATGCCTGCCACTACACAGAGGATATCAAATGAGCTCAGACATATTGCAAATTTTGTTTTCAATTCATGTTAGAAGAGATGATGTCATCTCACCAATGATGGGCAGGATGATGTTCTCCATGCATTTGATGAGCTGACGGTAAATCTGGATGGCCAAATCTCCCAAAACCTGATGGTACTCTGACAGCTCAAAGTTAACCAGGCACTGCTCATTCTGCTTAGCTGTATTTTGTGTCACAAAGACCTGCATCGCAGAGATTCAAAGTCTATTAAACAACATATAGTGCTGTAAACATAAGAGCAGAGTCAACATCACCTCTAATCCACTGTACTGCTTCAGACAGTGCATCAACCTGCATGTGTTAGCCAGCCAGAATGAAACCACCTCCAAATCGTTTCCTTTCCTCTGTAGAAAAGGTTTAGAGATCAGAACATAACAAGCACACGGGTCCTTTTATATAGCAAGACCAAAGCTAAAACCTGCACCTTTATGACCCCTTTGATGCTGCTGATGGTGGAGTTCAGGAGAGAGATGACTCTCTTGTCGTCATTCACATTGTCTACATAACGGAGGCACATGAAGAGGATGTAGGCAGGAAGCCCTGGGGTAAAGTTGACTGCTGCACCACGAGGCTTCAGATCTGAGAAGAGAAAGAAACTGAGTGGGTAAAAAAAAGTCTAACTACTTTAATTGTTGTGTGTTATTTATAAACAAACTGACCTATGATCAGATTCTTGAACAAGCGGGTTGTGTCTCCTTCCTTGAACTCCAACATACCCTGGAACTCCTTCTCCTTACGGGGAATGTTCACCGGCCTGATGGGAGTGCTCATCACAGAGGAAGTATTCATCTGCTGAGAACTCGCTAAAAATAACAGGATTAATGATGCGTCTTCATCAAAAACACGACGACTCTAGAAATGTAGTTTCACTGAATTACCTTCATATTCTTCCACCTTCTTCATGTACAATTTAAGCTGTTTTTTTAATTTGCGTACGATTTTGTCCTGATGTTCCTGTTGCTCCATTCGTTCCTGAAATTATTCAAGAAAAAAAGTTATTTATACACATTTTTTGAAAAGACCTGGATATAAAACCCCAGTAGACCAGACCCACCAGGTTCTCAGAGGTGAGACGTGTGATCTCGTGCTTCAGGGCTGCATCGACCCGGGCGTCCTCGGGCAGAAGGAGGCTTTGATCCAACAGCTTCTGCTGCTGCTCCTTCTCAGCCCTCAGTTTGTTCATCTCCTCCACAAGCTTCCCGTTTGATTCATTGTGAAGACGCTCCTGCTCCTGCATCTGACACTCCAGAAGTCTGCAGGACGAAAGCTAAAGGTTCAGGTCCCCATAACATGAATATGTTTAAACACATTAAATACAGAACACTACACCAATACCTGTTTGTCTCTTTCAAACCCTCATAAGCCAACCACAGCTCTCCATCTTCATTCAGTGTATGAATGTTAGAGGACCTAGAGCAAACAGAACATGAACACAAACACACTAGTCTCTGATGAAAAAGTTAAAAATGTCTGAAACTGGAGCGTCAAACTGATGAGCAGCTAAAACATTTTTAAAAGCCGTCTTTAAAATCAGAGCATTGTGTCATTGTGAGAAAATGTCACCATGTAAACATCTACTTGTTTCAGTTTATACATTTAGTTGGGAGTTTAAAAAGCTACTGACAAGTTTGAGGCTTTCACATGCTTTTTCTGTCTCTCAAAAATGAAGACCAATTGTTTTAACTATTTGGTTATAATGTCATACCCATAGACACTGAAGTAAAATATCAAATTCTAAATAGAAACATTTAAGTACAGAAAGTTGCATAATTTAAACAATAATCAAGATCGTCTCGCAAGAATGCAATTTAAAAAACACTAGCAAGTGGAATAAAATTAAAACCAAGTTTCCCACCTTTCATGATCCTGCAATGAAGGAATTTCATTCAGTTCCAACTTCACACCTTCTCTAAATACAGAATCCTAGACATAAAATACAAAATTATATCAACATCTCTGTAATTGTCTAATTTATCAGAAGATTTTAGCACAAACAGTAATTTCTTTCAGAAAAATTAAAAACTAAAGCAGATGTGATTGTTTTTTTTCTTACCCTGTGTTTTAGAGCTTCTTGACGGACCATGTGTGAGCGGAGGAGCAGCACCTCCTCTTTTCTCATCTCCAGCTCCTCATTGGAGGAATTGAGCTGCTCTAGTAAAAGGTTGTAGGGCGCTGAACCAGGAGCAGGAGGTGCTAACTCCCTGGTCTCACTGGTGAGGGACTTTCGAAGCTCATTTAGATCCTGTTTCAGTTTCTTGTTCTCAGACTCAAGTTCGTGTCGCTGCATTAAGAAATGGTTTCATTTTTGACATTTTTAGCATGTTGACACAGATAAGTTATCTCTAATGGTAAACAGCTGTTTAAGTCTCACCTTTATCTTTTCTAAGTCCAGTTCTGTTGTGCCAACAGTTTTTTGCTCCTCCACCTCCTGTTTAAAACAGACAATGACCCAATTTTTAGTTTTAAAAACTAAAAACAGATTCATAACATTTAATGTTTTTACAGCAAAAAAAACCCAGGTGTTTGTAATTTTTGCCTTTTCCTGTTGAGCTTCTTCTCTTTTATCCAGCTGCTGCCAAAGTGATCGATTTTCCTCCTCTAGTTCCTTTACCCTTCTCTGAAGCTTGAGGAGGATTGGCAGGTCCACTTTAGACATGCTTTCATCCTGAAAAAACACAGAAAACATCAGTTAATACAATTCTGTTTTAGTATCTGTTTGGAGGAAAGAACAATGTTTTTGGTCTCCATTTGAGACAAGAAATTATTTCTGTAGCCTATAATGTATTGTTTGTAATGGGAGGTAATCCATGCTTATAAGATTAGATAATGCATTCATAGGTGTTGTAGTAACCACTGAGTTTTAATTCTACTCTTATATGTGGACATTGATAGCCTATCTTGCTGCTCTGAGAAGACAGTATTCTAATTGCAATGGTGCAACTCTGAGAAAATAAGTTAAACACTAGCTAGTTATTAGACTTTAAGCTAGAGCTTTAACATGATTATTGAGTTAGAAACTTGACCATTTTCATATTTGACACAACTCTGTCACCCTCTATTGGCCAGATACTGCACTTAACAGTTTTGTGAAGCAGGTGAGTGTCCTGGGGGCGTTTTTTACCTGTTTTACAGCTGTTAGCTGGTATGCTAGCAGTTAGCAGCAGTTAGCTTTTTCAGTTTGCAAATCCTCAATAGAAAAAAAGATGTTTGCTGTTTTGTTACCATCATGGCAGAGCCTGGAAGTAAGAGAGTAATGTCTTTGGAGGCAAATCAAAGAGCTAAAACCAGAGTGAAGATCAGCACAGCCTACACTAGTTTGAGGGAGCTAAAGGAGGCTACAAAATCAAGGGCTGATAGTGACCTGGCTTTGTTGCTACTGGAATTGTAAGTAATAATGTTTATTGTCCAACAGTGTGGATCGTTTTACTTTGTGGTTTATTTTAGTATTAGTTGTCTCGTGTTAGTGTTTGCTCATTGTTAGCACTAGCTACAGCAGGTTGCAGCAAGGTTGTGAACAGCTGTAATTCCCCTTTCAACCTGTAGGGCAGAGGAGCAGGAAACCGCTCAGTGTTACTTTAAAGCTGCTATAGCAAATCTACTGAACAAGCTAGATTTTAAACGCAAACATAGTCACGTTACACCCCCTCCCCTCAGGCATCTTCCCTAAGACACTTCTTCCAGAACCAGACACCCACATTACCAGAGGAAACTAGTGCTAAACACCAGTACCCATTTTCTAGATCTAGATGTCTTTTTTAACGTGACAAACAGACGGCATCCTTCTTTTTGGGACTCTGGTAGTTTGTCCTAAAGTGGTAGCAGCCGGCTGTTTCTCATTTTCTGATGTGAGCTGATAACCTTTCACACCAGTGGTGTTCTGTTGCAAAAACGCTTGTGTGTGACGAATGGAAAACCCTGGGAATGGAGGAAGTGCAGTGGTTCGGCGAGACCGGCCAACTAGATGGTCCGACGCTTTCGGTCTAAAACGTGTTATTGGCGGAGGTTTTTAGACAAATGCAAGAGAATAATTTCATGAATTATTTTTTCATATTTTTAATCTCCACAATATATTTATAGCTATACCATTTTCTTTTTGAAAAAAAATGTTTTAAGCTAATTTGTTTTCCCAATTTGCTTTAGGTACTTTAACGCACAGACATCCTAAAGCTACAAACAAAATACTAGAAACAGAATTAGAAAAAGTTTAAATTAGTATAACTTGTTTGAAAGGAAGGCCAAGAGAAAAATGTAAACCAAACAATGCAAAACACAGCAGCTGGTTAGAATGAGAAGTCAGATATTTGAAACAATCTTTATCAATATTCTAGTCTAACGTGAGTTAGTTAACAGAGTAAAAATGGTTCAGTTAAGGTCCAGGGCCCTCATTTATCAACCGGTCCTATATTCCTTCCTATGAATTAAATTTAGTATGTTCATATGAACGAACGTCCAAAATCCTGATTTATTAAACAGGAAATGGACACTCATGTTCCTTAACAATTGACTTAATACCACCTGTGCTTACCCAGGTGATCATGTTCATTTATAGTCATTTACATAAAGAAACACCCAAATTTAACCATATTTGGTCTTGCCCCGACCTCAGCTCATGAGGGGAATCCCTGCTTTCTTCCCAAATAACTGTCTACAGCTAGATTGAGGCTCTGGCTGCCGAAATAGAAGAGCATGTAACAAGTTTCAGAAGTTGTAAATGAGGTCGGGACAGAGGTTGTTCCCGGCAGAAACAAAGAAAACATTTCAACATAAAATTGAATTTGATTAATTGTAGAGTAACGAGATATCATTTACATTGTTGTGTAAACTACTGTACGCATGCACATTCTACTTGAAGTTAGTTTTGTTGTTTGGAAATGTTGGTAGTTTGGGGGGGGGGGGGGGGGGGCGGTTTGGTGCAGTTTGTTGCTCCACATTGGGCCCCAAACCACGGCATTGCTCCAGAAGGTTCTCTTAAAGGGAGATCAGTGCGCTCAGGGAAGACGTGATCCCTCCAGAGTGCTTACTCTACCAAATCCTCCAATAACACAAGATCAGCCATGCTACAATGTCAAATTCCCATCAAACACAGGTGTCTTTTATAAGTTCCAACTCCAGTTATGCGATAAAGTGGTTTCTCCAGACATAATTACTTATTGGGTAAAAATATTTTCTAGATGAGGAACACACATGGATGACTGAAGACTTAGTATTGCGGTTCCCCCGTTCTACCACTAGATGCTGCTCGTACGCATGGTTAGAGCTGTTCTTATATTTAGGAACATTTCTATGCATATGTACAAATTGGTAAATACCACGCAATGCATATAATTGTTCAAACACACGAAATACGCACAGATCTGTTCATAAGTAAGGTTGATAAATGAGGGCCCTGATGTTCATGTTTACTCCCCATCAGTAGGAGCTGCCACCTATTTCACACATTACCTCTGTTTGAATGGAACTGTCCTCTCCTTCAGCAGAGATTAAACTCTGAGAAAACTCAGAATAGTTACTGCTGTAGTTGGAGTCTGTCCGTTTGTGACTAGATTTGTTTGAATCCTTGTTCAAAATGAGAAAAAAAAATGTATTTAGTTCATCGTTAAATCAGAGTCAGTAACACGTAAGACACACACACACACACACACACACACACACACACACACACACACACACACACACACACACACACACACACACACACACACACACACACACACACACACACACACACACACACACACACACACACACACACACACACACACACACACACACACACACACACACACACACACACACACACACACACAAATTAGATTCATAAAAAGAAATAACTGCTCCAGATAACAAAACTACCTAAAGTATTAATCTCCTAGTAAAGATTTTTCTTACAGTGACTGATTTGTCCTTAAATACATCAAATAACCTTGGGTTACCAACTAGTGATTAAGACAAGAAATAAACTCAAATTTCTCACAATATTGAGACTCATCTCTTCTTTCAGGTCTTTGAGTCGTTCCTCTAGTTGCAGGTGTTCACTCAGCAGGCTTTGGTAGCGAGAACGCTCCTCAGTCAGCTCCTTCTCCAGCTGTCCGCTGCTCTCAGAGCTGGATTTAATATCTGAATCAAAACAACATTATTTTACTTATAGCCAGGGATTATTTGGGTTCTGTGATGGTTTTAAGGACATTTTTTTTAAATACCTGCTAACTGCTGAGCTTGTTCAGAGACTTTTAGGTTCAGTTCATCAACGTTGCTGCTAAGGAAGTTGTTCTTTATATTAAGCTCCTCTATCACCTGGTAAAAGGATTTATAGATATGCCTTTAGAAATGAGTCATAATGTTAATACATTTTGGTGTAAAGAGAACAAAATTATTTAAAAGTACATAAAAAGTGTCAATTGAGCTTAAAAAGACACTGAATGTCACCGATGTTATTTTACTTCATTTCAGGAAATAAATCTGAAGTAGAAGAGTCAGATTTGTGTACTCCTGGAGCGCCTTAGAGCAGACCTACCCATTGTGTTTGCTCCTTGTCAATCTGTATCTGCTCCTCCAGGTCCTCCTTCTCTCTGCGGGTGTTTTCCAGCTCATGCTGAAGGAAGGAGAGCCGTTCCAGCAGAGAGGGAACCGTCTCTGCTTTGGTTCTGGCCTCCTGCTCCGATCTGCGTAGGTTTTCTATCTCTCTGCTCTGTCTGTCTGTCTCAGTGGTGTGGGTCCTCTCCTGGACACTCAGCCTCTCACTGAGCTCTTGGTTGTCTTTACTCTGCAGCGAAAGACAAACACATGATTTGCATGTGATTAGACGACTCCCAGTGACCTAATGTTATTCCAGTTTAAACATGTCTAATGATTCCAGAGTAAAACTGTGACTCTAGAGCAGTGGTTCTCAATCCTGGTCCTGGAGGGCCAGTGGAGCATGCTTTAGTTTTAACTCTGTTTCAACACACCTAAGTTCAATCAGCAGGGGTCTCATTTATCAAACATTGCATAGAATCCTTACTAACACCGTACTTGAGCTCAGCAAAAAAAAGAGAGGGTGCTCGCTGCAGAACTACAAAGGCGGAGCTGCACCATAAGGTGGAGCTGCACCAGAGTCAGCCCCGCCCATTCACGCAAACTCAGCCTAGCCCACTGACTTCCGTTTTTGTTTTCAACTTTATCGCAAACTGACCTGACCCACATGAATTACGGCTGTTACTAGTTTACAGTCGTTAATGCTATGTTCTATGCTCCAATTAAACAAGATAAATATAACTTGCTACATGACAAAGTCTGAATATATCCCGAAATAAAAAAAGTTTCTCTTAGCGAATATCTGCCCACAGCCGCTCTAATAAAACTCCTATACAACAGCATGTACCACCACCATGTGGGTTCTGTTAGTCCAGTGGCAAGATCGTTTGAGTTAAGTTTTGCTTTCCCCTCAGCTGATGCTGGTTCGATTCTCGGTGGGGTCGGCAACAATCTATTTAGCCAGCTGAAACATTGAATTTGTTCATATTTTAGTTGTAATGTTCATTTTCAGCAAAATATTTATGTCTCTACAAGTTCTTTGAATTTGGTCGTTCCTAAACAGCATTTTAGTTGAAACTCTGCTCACAGATGGACTCACACTGGCTAAATAAACGAATGAATAAATAAAAAAAACACATTAGTCATTATATGTTAAACGGCATACCAATAAATTGTTGTAAACATAGTACTGGCAAGTGTAGCTAGAAATGAGGAAAAGAGATTATAGGATATTTCCACTGCTGGGAGGCGAACCCGCGCAAAACTGCATGTCAACCTGACACCATCACCACTACACCACCATATCTGATAAAAACTAGGTGGCGTTACATTTTATTATGCTATTTAGTGTGTCTTTGGAGATGGGATGTATGGTTTATTGGCGGTGTCTCAGTAGAAGTCATTTCAGAAATAATTTGTCAGAAAATTCACAGAATATCCAGATTTGAGAACCAAAACCAGACCCGCTTCGGGGGAGGAGACCAAATTGAAGCTGAGATGGGAAGAAAATGCATGAATGAGGCCAAAAATGGCTTTGGCGTGTTTCTTATGAGGAAATGACAATATAACATGATTAAAAGTTCCAAAAGTTAGATTTTTAATTATATGGAACCTTTACAAAAACTGTTCAATTCACTTCTCAACTCCGTCCTCAATCTTGCATTTTTTAGCCATAACACCCTCTTTGGTTCCAGAATGCTATAAAGCCTGACAACTGGAAGGAATTGGACTGACTCTGATAGAATGGGCGGGGCTGATTCTGGAATGGGCGGGTCTGACTCTGGTGCAGCTCCACCTTCTGGTGCAGCTCCGCCTTTGTGGTTCTGCAGCGAGCACCACTTGAAAAAAAATGCACTCACGCCAAGTAGGTTTGTGATCTATCAAACATGGAGTACGCACAGCTGCACGCAATCTCCACTTCATAAATCGGAGACTAACGAGAATGTTTTTCAGCTGCATTTTAGTCACATCCCGCCCTCACCACGCCCACTTACTGCCATAAATAGTCAATGCAAAGTGCCTTGTGGATCTCATGCATATACATAAGCCGGCTGTTGCAGCGCTCCGCCAATGACATGGCGACCGTAGATCAAGGCAGATCAAGGAAGCGCAATTTCACAGAAGCAGAAATTGAGGTACCTGTGGGTGAGGTGGAGAAATGAAAGGAAGTGCTTTTGCAAAACAAATAAGAGAAAATCCACGGAGTGGCACAGCGTTGCTGAAGCCATCAATGTTGTGAGTTCTTCAGAGAGATCTGTGGCGGATATAAAAAAAAAATGGTCCAATCGAGATTCAATACCCAGACTCCCAGGTGAAAGTCACATGCGCTAACCAGTCACCCAAACAGAGATCTCCCTTGTCCAAGTAGGCAGGGCACATGATCAATCGGGTCACAGTGACAGAACACACACTGTCACAGACGCATGACATTCTGTCTCAATCTGCCCCCCTGCTGATATTCTGCATTCCGTATTCTGCGCTTCAGGCTGTGTGTGTGTGTGTGTGGGGGGGGGGGGGGGTCTTGTTCTGTGTGAAAACGAAGCAGTACAAGTAAGCAAGCTTGATGAATGAGGCCCCAGGTAATTAACAGGTTTCTGCAGAGCTAGATGAGGTGCTGCACAGGTGATTCAACCACTGAATAAAGTGTGTTGGAGTAGAGAAACAACTAAAACATGCTGGATACTGGCCCTCCAGGACCAGGATTAAAAACCAATCCTCTACACACTCCCATAATTCTCACCTGCTTGTTTATCTTGAGCTGCAGCTGCATGATCTTGTTCTCCATGCCTACATTGAGTTTCTTGAAGTGCTCCACTGAGCGTGCCTCCACTTTCAGCTTCTTCAGTTCTCTCCTGGCCCTCATGCGGCGCACACAACTCTGCAGCAGAACGATGTCCGATAGCGCACGTTTGTAGCGATGCTTGGCCAGCCAGCGTCTCCCCCACTTCTGAATGATCACTGCTTTGTGCTCGTACAGCAACTGGGAAAACAGACGGGCATTAAATCAGAGCAGAAAGTGACATGACCATTAACTGATGAAACTCTTTGGTGCAAAACATACTTTATGACAAAAAACACAATGATTTAGACACATCTCAATGTGACATGGGACTGTTGTCCAGATGGAGGAGGCTGCTACTGCAGAGGGAGCAGTTGCCATGTGAGAGAGCGCTTGTGTGAAAGCAGCTAGATTTTCAATGGCATTTGTGATATCCTTAAGAGTTTCTGGATGTAGATTTTCCCCAAAACAACAGAGCTATCTTTGCCACATAAAAAGGGTTGCCTGTAAGTAGTCTTAACATTATGTCCAATTTACATAAACCAGGAAGTAAAAAAACAACAAAGCTACTAGAAGGACATCTAGAAACAGAGATAAACGCCAAACTCTGGGTTGCCAGATCAGGTTTCATTATTTCAGTAAAGTCACCATCGTATCCAGCAGCTTCTGAGTGTTCAACAAGTCAGAAACCATTCAAGAATTTGTTTATTGTGTCAAATGTGCATTTGTTGCATCTTATTTTGGATCATTTAGTAGTTAATAATGTTCTCCAGCAAACACCTAAAAACAAACTCTAAATAAACACCCAAATTTAAGTTTTGCTGATATTATCAAAAGTTGAATTAAATCAATAAAATCATACAGCAAGAGATTCAAATGTCAATTCTTAACTTTTTTATTCTTTACCTTATAGTACTGCTTTCTAGCCATGTGAGTCCTCCAGGAACACTGGATAGTGATAGCAGCAGAGCGCTGCTGCAGGAAACTTCTCCTCCTCGCCCACATCCGAACATTACGCTGAATAACAACAGCTGCTCTGGTCTGACGCACAAACATGGCGTACCTGAAACAAATTAAAATATCATTAATTATTTTATTTATACTGCTTCTCAACATTTATTCTTTACACACACCTGCGTGCTTGATGACCCCGAACATGTTTCTGGATGATGATGGCACATTCTCTCTTCCTTAGATACTTTCTGCGGGCGAGCCAGCAGCGGATCGTCTTCTGGATGCGAACACAAGCTGAACGTAATTTGTCAGAGCGGAGCTTCTCTAAGTAAGCCACCTGACCAGCCCTGAAGAAGATCTTGTTTTTGCCAAACTGGTACTTCTCTTGATTCTAAAAACAAATTTAAAATGTAAGATCAAGTTCAGGATTTCAGGAAACATCCACTTTACTCTGCTGTATTTCATACACACCTTTATAAGTTTCTCTAGGAGATTTCTGCAGGTTTGTTTCCTGTCAGGAAGCATTTCTTTGTGTCTTATGAGGACACGGTAACGATTGAAGAACTCCTGATAGGTCCATCTGCAAGATTCATACAATATTAATTAGGGGTAAAACGGTACGCTAAAATCGTATTCGGTTCAGTGTTTTGAAGAGCTCAGTTCGATTAATTTTCAGTATATTATTATATTTATTCATTTAATACCTGAAGTGACTCCTATAGTGAGCAGAACCAGGTGTCATTACAGGCTGCTGATCTAACATGATGTCTTTAATTATTTCACAAGGTTATTTGTGCAGCTATGCGCGTCATGCTCATACAGGCAAGTGTTGCGTTTGACTGTTTTTATTTCTGCAGCGAGCCTTAAAAACTCACCTCACACCACCCAGAGTTCCTTCTTTAAACCTCGTATTAAATAACGAGCTTCCTCCGCGCCGTATTTATCATCGTAGGATGAAAACTTTACATCATTTGCCACAAGGGGAAATGTTTAGCAGATGTGTTTGTTTACATTTTTGCCGCAGCAGGGTCTCTACAGGCATAGACGTCTATGGGCTCCACAGTAGCAGCGACAGCCAGCTGGTTTGATCCGCTCTGAAAGGCGTTGATCAGAATTTGCAGATGACATTTTTTAAACGGAGATCGGGCGCGTGAAGCCATCATGCGTCACTCAATATAGCATCTGTGCGGAAATTCATCTAGGAACTTTTATCCGCTGCACTTAAATCACGCGAATAAAAATGAATTTAACGGAAAAAATAAACCGAAAATGTATGCAAGTGGGCCGAACCGAAATGATTCAACACTAACATACTATTCAATACTAACAGTAAATGAAGAAAAAGACAATGATGCTTTAAACTTTGGGTGATGTCGCATAAATCATACCTAGATGGGAAGCCTGCAGCTGAGATCCGAATCGTTTCCAGGACACCACAAGCACGAAGCTGCTGCACAGCCCTCACAGGGTCCAAGCTTTATAGAACACAACATATAAATGAATATAAAGAAACTTAATTTGTGGTAATATGAAACAAAACAACGGATGAATCCTCACGTGAACGGGGCTTTAAGGTCATTTGGTTTGATGCAACGTACGTAGTGAGGTGTTGTAGCATTAAGTGTATCCATCAGTAACTGAAGTGACTGTCGAAACTGAATAAAAAGTTAATTGAACATAAGGGTTAATAAATATCTATGTCTTCTAACCCTTGATACTGACTCACAGAGTCAAACTTTTAAAATATCCTTTTCTAAACCTTTTTTCATAATGACATGTGTTTCCTCTCACCTGCATACCAACAGTCTTCTTGGTTTCCCTTAGAGTCTGCCCAACTTTTCCAATGATGCTGGATAACCTGCTGGTAGAAGCTGTTGCTTTGTCTTCCTCCTCACACAGCTTTAGCAGCAAATTAAACTGAAAAAGATCCATTTTAAAGTTTAAAACAATAAAACTGAGCTGTCCCTGAACTGCAGGTGGCAGTGTTTCTAGTGTGAAACAGAAATGCCAGTACTTCCTCCAATAGTTGTGCCTGAACAATTCAAGGGTGTGTGCCCACAAACTTACAACACCAAAATTAACCAAGAGCCTTTTCCTTTAGCTTTTTGGTCGTCAAAGAGGAAAATAACTCAGACATCCACAAAGAATGTCTGACTGAAAACTGAAATGAAACAGCACATGGTTTCACCTTGCTCTTTTTCAGCACATTGATCTGTTCCTCGTTAACTGTGTCCTTGTTTTTCTCCAAGAAGCCCACACACTGGTACTCCACCTGTGCACGAGAATGAGACGTTTTAAAGTTCTGAATCCCTACAGGTACAAATACGAGTCAATATGAGAGCAGAAGTTTGAGTCCAAACATTAGCAGCCAATGAGGTGAGAGAAACCTTCTCCAACCACTAGCCTAACCTTTTCCAACTGGAAAATAAACGTGAAGAAACACGGAAAGGTAAACACAACATGTAAAGGCCCTTTATTATGAGCTACACAAACCAGTGGGATGAAATCACCACTTCACCATGAGTCACAAAATGAATTATCACCTTGTCAGCAAAGTGGAGGATGATGAAGGCCCTGTTTGATAACCTGGGTTTATCAAAGTGAGCGTTCTGCTTCAGCAGGGTGTTGTACAGTTTCTGAGCCCATGTGTCGTCTGACCCTTTGGGCATCTATGGAAACAGGAAGAGCTGACACATCAGTTAGTCATTACAGCATTACTCACAACCTCCACACACAGCGCCGTGAAGAGTCCAGGGAATTGAGGAAAGACTTGCAGCGGGACAGAAATAGAATTGGCATTTTACTTTGCACTCCTCATCCAGAAGGTCCAGGATGCCCATTCTGGCCTCGATGAGGTTGATGCAAGGCTGGTTGTCATAAAAGTCAATCAGTGTCCAAGGGATCTCCTCTTTCATGTACTCCTCCTGCTCCAACTTGAACACATGCTGCACAAAGACAAATAAACAAAAATTCCTGAAACATTTAATTTTTTTTTAAACAAGCCAAGAAGAAAAGATTGATACCAGATTGAACTGCTGCTGGAGTTTCTCGTTGGCATAGTTGATACAAAACTGTTCAAAGCTGTTGATGTCAAATGTTTCAAACCTGGGAAGCCAAATACATGCTTTAATGTCAACACACATCATTCAGCTCATCTGTTTTAGGAATACATACCCATAAATGTCAAGAACACCAATAAAGGAGTGTTGCTTCTCTGATGACTTTAAGGCGCTGTTAATGCTGCTCACAATCCAGCTGAAGAGTTTGGCATAAATGTGTTTGGCTAAAGCGTCCCGGCCGTGGATCGCATTTATTTTGGAAACAGACTTAACGAAGGTTTCTGAGGCTGTTTTGAGCTTCCTGTGACATAACCAATGTGCCATTTCTCCACAAGGCACCCCCACGAGCTCACAGAAAACGACCAGGTGGGCATCGTCTGGCTGGAAATAAACTCATGTTAAAGATAACGAGTAGACAAAAAAAGACAATGACATTTGGTGAAAGAGTAACCCGTGGTTACCAGAACGCTGCATCTATCTGCAGACTCCTCCTTCACATCCACATTGCTCAGATGGAGAACTGCTGACAGAATCTGATAAATGTCCATTTGGTTACTTTCATCAACTCCTACAACGTGAACAACAAAAACACAAAAACATTTCAATCAACTGTATTGATTAATCTAAAAATAGATCTTTGTATAAATACCTAATATTGTGAATGCCCTCCTGGTGCTGCACAAGTCTTTGGCATCATTAACTCCATCTATGACTAGACTCTCACCCTGGTTGGTGCAGCAGAAGTCATCTGCACAACCTTTCAACAACCAAACGTGATATAGTACTTTATAGAACTATATAGATATAAAACCTTTCAGATTAATGCTTCACAAAATCTGGTAAGATAAAACGTGTTTTACAAAAGGCACAGACCTAACTTGAAGGCTTTGAACTCTGGTAGATGAGAGGAGGCACACAATTGATAAAATATATGGTAGTTTCTTTCTCCATGGGCCTAAAATAAATGCAAATAGATGTTGAATGGTAACCAAGAAAGGTGCTGCCAATGCATTCAGCAGGATTAAGCTAGCTAAAAGAGAACCAATCATTACTTTCCAAAATAAAAACTTGTTTTATTATATAAACTTAATCCAGTTGAGAACATATGGGTGTAATTTACCTGAAACACAACTCTGGACTTTTCCAGTAAGTAAGTTCTCATGTTGGCACCAATGATACAGAGCTTCTTGTCAAATCCAATCTCTATGTACTTCCCAAAGCGACTGCTGTTGTCATTCCTCGTTGTCTTGGCATTCCCAAAGGCCTAAATTAAATAAAGATGTGTGTGGTTACCAAGATTTCCCCATTTTCAAACCGTTACATTTCGCTGCGGCGGTAAATGTTACCTCCATGATGGGATTGGATGCGAGAACTCGATCCTCTACATTGGCTTCCCCAGAGGAGCTGCTGACTGTGGCAAAGTAACGCATCGCGTACTTAGCTGACACCGTTTTCCCAGCTCCAGACTCACCACTTACTATGATAGATTGATTTTTTTCATCTCTGCATGTGAATATGAGAACACAGCAGATGTCGATTTGAGTGTCTTGGTTTTATAAGAGACAGTCACGAGCATATTGTTGCTTTGATGGATTTTATGGTTTAGAAGGTTGATGAAAACCTGGCCATCTGCATGTACGCCTCCTCAGCTACTGCGAATATGTGGGGGTCCATATCCCCCATGTTCTGCCCACTGTATGCATTGATGATGTCAGCTTCGTAGATGGGCAGGCTCTCGTAAGGATTGATGGCAACCAGGACAATTCCTAAAGACGGCAAAGAAAATCCCAAATTAGGATCTATGTTTATGTTTATTTATTTAGCAGACGCTTTTTTCCAAAGCGACTTACAATTTATAACCTATAGGGCACGTTGTGATCTGTGGGGGGAAACCGGAGTACCCGGAGGAAACCCACGCATGCATGGGGAGAACACGCAACTCCACGCAGAAAGGCCGCAGCCGAGTTTCGAACCTGCAACCTTCGTGCTGCGACGCAACAGTGCTAACAACTGCGCCACCACGCAGATCTACTGTTATCCATCATGTTCTTAAATTATTCATCATACTCTTTAAAGTGGTATTTCGATGCACTTTATTGCTCCCAATTAATTTAAGCCCCACAGAAATATTCCAAATATTAGTTAGGATTTTATTATAATAACGTTTTTGCTGAAGAAAATATATTTTGTTCCAAAATATAGTTTCCGTTCTTCAAAAATCAGTTTACACCATGTGTCGATGGTTTACACACTATCTGACTGCTACTAAAATAGTGGAGTCCCAAGGTTAAAGAACAACAAAATACTTTATTTACCACTAAGATTGTGTGATATAACTAAGTGAAAACCTCCATGATTTTATCCTATACTCAATCATTTATAGAGCAAAACACAGCCTGCAGTAATCACCACTGCACAATGATGTTTGTGAAGAATAGATAGAACCAGGTTCTAAATGATGAGCAACATTGGCAAATAGGTTAATGTGTGTATGTAATCTAACAAATCTGTGTTATCTTTTTAATATAGCCTTCACAATAATGGAGATCGTATTTGCTGCTTCTGTGTCTGTGTGACAAAGAAAGGTGGAGACAGAAGGGTGCAGAGAGCTGAGGAGAACAGGACAGCTGCAGGCTTCCAGATGCCAACACATACATAACACAAATGATGCTAATATTATCATTGAGCTATAAGCAACTTCTATTCAGATATGAGATTTTTGTTATTATTGTACATTTCTATTTCCCACACATCTACAAAAGATCACAACAAATCAAACAGAAGAATACAAACTGGAGTAGAATCAGAAAATGTGAAACAACCAAAAACATATGATTAAAACCTGATTTCTCCCATTATTAGCCATGTTGGTGGTGTGTTCCTTTAAATGCAGCCTGCATGGCAATAATCAACTTAATGTTACTGTAGATTATGTCAGCACATGCAGTGATCTAGACTCCAAAGTCTGCAGTGACAGTGATAGTGTGAGTCAAAGGAAATGAAGCTCATTTACCACAGTAGGTGTAAATCAGCCTGGAGTCAGTAAAGCGGACTTTAAGGTTGTGCAGCACTGCTGGCTCATGAAGGTAGCTGAGCGCTGTGAGGTCATTTTCCCCCACCAGGATGTCAGGGTTTCTGAGAGGGGGTAGGTTCTTGGTCTGTGGGTCAATTTTATGTTGCACTTTCTAGGAAAATGGGGAAAAGGCCTTTAATTATAGAGCAATTTTAAAAGAGAATCCCAAAACCTGTAAGGGCAACACACAAAAATGTAGAAAAAAAATAGAAGTTTAACACAAGTATGGGAGCATCAGTGTGTTTCAAGTTGAAGCTGATCCTGTCTTGCTCACTCAAGATAATACTTCCACCTTATTTCCATAGCTGGTGTGCATGCCCAAACCTGATACCATACCTCCAGGTAGCAGATGTTCTGAGACGTCCCTTTCAACCACACACACTCCCAGATTTCTGGGTTTTGCATGGAATGTGTGTATTATGAGATGTCCTTTATCACATGAGCTAATGAGTCTGTCTCACCGTGCCATCTTCCAGCTGTAGAGACAGTGTCAGGTCACCTGGAGTGTAATCTTTGAGAAGCTCTGCTGATTTCCACACTTCTGCTGCATCTGGGAGCCACACACGGGCATTCTGGGCAAAAGGAGACTGCTTTAGAGCTGCTCGAGTGGAAAAAGTGTATCAGAGTCAAAGTAACGGGCAGCATGGGTAGTTTTAATTATGATTACGAGGACTAAAAAGTTTTTTTAATGAAAAAAATGTACTTTGGAAAGACATGAGTGAAATTTTCGAGCTGAAAGTTAACGGACTGGGTTAAGCTAGGTAGGAAAGATAAACGTTGACAGCCTTCAGTCTTGTTTTCAAACGCTGCTTACCTTGGAGTAAAGTTCAGAGGCTGCCATGTCTTTAATTTGCTCAGCGAGCCGTCGGAGATGTTACCTACCCACGGGCAGCGGGGCTAAACATTGTGAAGGCTCCCAGGGGAGAAAACTGTTCACCTCTCACTCAGGTCTCTCCTACTGAACTCGCCACGCTCTGAGCGACCGGTCTTCAGCTTCAACGGCTGTCAGTCAACTGCGCATGCGCACACGTGTTTCTACTGAGCACCAATCATGCCCCCCAGCGGAACAAAAAATAAACAAATTTTTTTTTTACCTGTGTAGACAGCCAACAATGCAAAAAATAACAATATACAACACAACAAAAATTTGGAATGATGTCTTTAAAACTTACAGGATCCTCACAATCCCAAATTTCAAAGGTCAATATGGCTGCACCATTATCATGTTGGATTTGGAATTTATTAGTATATGTGTATTACTTTGCCATTAGTCTTTCACATAGATATTGTCCTGATAAAAAAATGAAATAAAATATATAAATTAAATGTTTTCAGGTTGATGAGACAACATGTCTCCAATCATTTTGGCTTTGTAGGGCTTTAGAATTTGTTTTTGACACAGAAAAAATATTCTAAAATCAAGTAAAATGGGTTTTTCCAAGCTGCTGCAGTCAACCTAGCTTTTCAATAGACCTCAATTATAGCTTTTTTGTTTGTTTGTTCCTTATCTGGGTTGCAGGAGTAGTATCTCAAGTAGGGCATCCCACACAGCCCTCTCCCAGGCCACCTCCACCAGCTCCTCTGGCAGGACCCCAAGGCGTTCCCAGGCCAGATTGGAGATGGACTTGCTTCAACATGTCCTGGGTCGACCCAAGGGCCTCCTGTCAGCAGGACACGCCCGAAACACCACCTCAGGAAGGTGCTCAGGTGGCATCCTGACAAGATGCCCAAACCACCTCAGCAGGCTCCTCTCGATGCGGAGGAGCAGCAGCTCTACTCAGTCCCTCCTGAATGTCCAAGCTCTTCATCCTATATCTAAGGCTGAGCCCAGCCACCCTCCAGAGGAAACTCATTTTGGCCACTTGTATCCGTGATCTTGTTCTTTTAGTCATTGCCCAAAGCTCATGACCATAGGCAAGGCTGAGGATGTAGATCGAGAACTTTGTCTTCTGGCTCAGCTCCTTCTTCACCACAACAGACCGGTTCCCAATTCGCCTAGTGATCTCCCGCTCCCTTCCCCCCTCTGTCGTGAACAAGACCCCAAGATACTTAAACATGAGGCAGGACCTCTCTCCCGATCCGGAGTTGGCAAGCCACCCTTTTCCATTTGAGAACCATGGTCTCAGATTGGAATGAGAATAAGCACCTCCCATAGATGTTTTGTTTAATAAGAACCTTTTAGAATGTGTTGTTTAGACACTTGGAGGTTAAGTTTAACCACTTTAAAAACAGATTCTTGTATTGTTTTAATACATAAACCTCATTAATTCAGTGTGAATTTTTATTTTCCTGTAACTGTACACATTTGTGAATGTCTATAAGGGCATCCAAAATAAGACGCCTTTTATGGTTTTTGTAGTGTATGCATTAGGCCAGTGGCTCCCAACATGGAATCCACGATCCCCCAAGGGGCTCCACAAACTGTTGCAGGGGATCCCCACAATTTTGTGTGTGCCGAGTTAGTGAGGTTACCAAGATTATAGTTGTAAAAATTACCTTTATAAAGTCCAGATAACACACCCAATAGTACTTTCAAAACTCCATGTAAGAGGCATAACTCTGTATGAAGGTTTTTTTAATTAGTCACTATTGTGTACATGCCTGAAGGAGTTAGGGTTGGGGGCTTGGCTTGTCTTGGACACAGGAAAAAAGGTTGCGAACCACTGCATTGGGCAAGCAAAAGTTATCCAACTGTATAAGAAAATTAAATATAAATATGTGAGAAAGACAAAAAATACTTTACAGGAATGTTAAATATTATGCAAAAAAATTTATTTACATACAAAAACATACAGTGTTTGAAGACTAAATGCACATGCACACTCCAGACATCCTGGAAGTTTCTTCTCATGAAATCCCAATCAAAATTCTGTCAGACGGCAAAGAATATTTCAGACTGCCAAGATTCTCACAGAGACAGCAAATATTGCTTGAGAGGAACAAAGGTTCATTACTTTTAAGGCCATTTTTAAGGTTTGGATGAGGTAAAGTTCAGCAGCATGTCATTGTAAATTAATGTTATGAACTTGAACTGAAGTTTTTTGCACTTTGAAGGCACATAATTTTAACAGACTTTCAAAATAAAAGACGTATTTGCAATGATGTGAACATCCGCATCAGCTCTGTTTTTGCTATTAGACAAATATGAAAGCACATAACCCTTAAAAGCAAACAATTTGTTAAATCAAATCTAAGTTTATATTTTAGCAGTCAGTTAAGATCTTGAAATGTTTGGGGGGATTGTTAAGTCACAGTTTGTCAATGGCAAAGGTAAAAAAAAAAAAAAAAGCAGATAAGTTTAAAGTGGGAATGGTAGCAAAGCTGTGAAAGTGATATCAAACCGCTAGTTTGCTGGCCACTATGGAAGTCTTTCTCTGAGGCAGGTCCTGAGGTGTTGGAATGTGTCCTCCTGTGATCTCAGTCTCAGGTTTGTTCTTCATTTTAGCTTGGGCCATGTTGTAATCCCCAGAGTCAAAATACTTTTGCTGGACAAAGAAGATGATTAAAAGTAAGAATATTAAGTTTTCACATTGTAAAATGTCTCAAATGATGACTACATCAAATACACACCCCTTTTTGAAGTCTTTTCCTGAAGAGGTCTGAGCCACCGGGCTTGGCCCCTAGATTAGGATACCTGGCCTTCAGTTTAGCCACTTCTTCTTTCTCAAGGCTGATGACTTTGTCCTGCATTTCCTGTTGGCATCAGGACAGTGTGCATTCAAAACCAAACATAATATCTAAACCGGTTTCTAACACTGCAATGATTTCCAAAATAAATTCGCACACACATTGTCCCACAAGTCGTCTTGTAGCATGCGTGTTAATACGGTAAACAGACAGCTAAAAGGAAATATAGCCAGCTAAAAAACGCTCATAACTGTGCTTTTGTTCGTTTAGACAGCAACTGTGTAAAAATATTAAACAGTAAGTAGTGGCAATTTGGCTTCACAGCAGTAGCATCATTGTATAAATCAGTCAGAGGTTACAGGACAACTAGCTTACGGTTTGCGGCTTATTTAATTTTCTAACAACTTTTAGATTTACAGTTGCAGGTCGTTCACTTACCTGTTCCTCCAAGGTTTTCACGCCTTCAACACCCTCAGACATGGTTGTGCCGAAGTCTTGAATCAGTTCACAGGCTAGCCGAGGATAAAGCCGTCCAAGAAATGCAGCTAGCAGCTAGTGTCAGGGTCAGGAAGCCTGTGTAGCAACAGGGCGAATAATCGATGCCAGAGCCACACAGGATTTGTCCCCTCCCTTGTGCCAAAAAGCTGCCAAAAATGATTAGCCACCGCGGGATCGCGCACGGTTAGGGTAATTGCATTTCTTGACGACATTCCCCAGGATTTCGCCTTAAAACTCGGCATATCTAGCAATATGGACACTGAGAAAGCAGAGATAACCTCGTCCGGTACTTAAACAGATGTTTATCACGGATATTAGTTTTTTCCAGTTCGGAAGTTGTTTTAAGTGTTGCTATTTGTCTTAAACGTTCACAATGAGCATATATTAATCCTTTTTGTAATATTTGCGATTGAAAGATGGTTTGTGGTAAGAACTGGCTTTCTTTATGTTACAGCCTTGATACTAAAAAATAAAGTGAAAAATGGCGCCCTGTATTGAATGTAAAGTCAAAGTTGTATAAATGGAAATACACAATTCTCCAGCGATGATCCCCCCCCTCCTTTCTTTAGTCCACTTGACATGGAGCCACAGTTAACTAGTTTGGTGCATTTTTACTTGAAAAATAGTATTTAAACTGATCAAGCTTTGGCTTTACAATGAAACTGTGTAGGTTACTATCTATACATTACTTTGCTCTATTTAAAAGTAACAAGATAAAAGCACTTCAGCACATAAAATTAAGATTGTCACTTGCCAAATAGTGACTATACCCTGTTTACCTATAAGAAACGCCTCAAAATATCTTTAAATTCTTTATTGATGATTTAATTGTACACAACAAAAATGGCATTTTACTTGCCAAAAGTGACTGAATCGCTGTTTTTCATGGAGGCTAAAATTGACCAAATAAGGGTTTTATGTATTATCTGTTGATGTTATTGTACTCATACTGTCTACTAAACACCCCCAAAATGGCAAAAAAATAGATAATTTCCCTTGCCAAAAATTGATTACAGGGTCCTGGTCACCAGTAAAGGGTTACATTGACCTAAATATTACTTTATTATCTCTTGATGTTATTAGTCCCATCACAGGATGATGGGGGGGGGGGGGGGGGGTGTCTACTGGGAATACCACTTGAATTTGGAGTACCAGGACCACAGTCCCTGTATGATTAGTGTCAGAGCTTTGCCCAGTGAGTCACACTCATTTCTAGTAAGGGTTGGACTCCGCCAAGGCTGCCTTTTGTCACCGATTCTATTCTTAACTTTTATAGACAAGATTTCTGCACAGTCAAGGTGTTGAGGAGATCCTTTTTGGTGGCCTATCAGGTCTCTCCTTATTGCAGATGATGTGGTCCTGTTGGCTTCATCTGATAGTTATCTCCAGCATTGACTGGAGTGGTTCGCAGCAGGGTGTGAAGCAGCTGGGATGAGAATCAGCTCCTCTAAATCTGAGACCATGATCTTGTCAGAAATGGGTAGAATGTCTTTTCCAGGTCAGGGATGAGGTCCTGCCTCAAGTGGAGGAGTTTAAGTATCTCAGAGTCTTGTTCATGAGTGAGGGAAAGATGGGAGTACAAGATCGATTGGGTACTTGGTGCTGCATCTGCAGTGATGAGGGCAATCAACCCGTCTGTTGTGGTGAAGAGAGAGCTGAGCTGGAAGGCAAACCTCTCGATTTACCGGTCGATCTACACTCCTATCCTCAGAAAGAAAACTAGCTTTTAAATAGCACCCCTCATGATAAAAACCATGAGGCACTCATCTACGGTCACAAGCTTTGGGTCGTAACAGAAAGAATGAGATTGCAGATACATGCGACCAAAATAACTTATCCGCACGGGCTCTCCCTTAGAGATAGGATGAGAAGTTCGGTCATCTGGGAGGGGCTCGGAGTAGATCTGCTGCTCCTCCACATCAAGAGGAGCCAGCTGAGGTGGCTTGGGTATCTAGTTAGGACGCCTCCCTGGTGGTTTTCCAGATCTGTCCAACTTGGGGGAAACCCCAAAGAAAGACCCAAGACACGCTGGAGGAACTGTTTCTTAGCTGGCAAGATAATGTCCTGAGATTCTCCCGAAGGAGCTGGTCCAAATGGCTGGGAGATGGAAGTCTGTGCCTCTCTGCTTAAGCTACAGCCCCCCTGGACCCGACTACAGATAAGTAGATGATAATGGAGGGATGGATAAATAAGATTTTATTTTAGTATAATACATGTTTCAAAGCCACAATTTTAGGTGTTTTCATGCCCAGTTTAACAATGTATGCCTTTTTAAATTATTCTTAAACCTGCTTGAAAATTTAAAGATGGCAGCAAACCTTTAGAGTACCACAATCAGAGAAAAACAAAAGTCCTCGAAAAGTGTCATTTTATTTGTGGTCAGTAAACGATTGACAATGTTTATGATGTTGTCAAAAAGATGCATGAGCAAGTGAGTTATTTAATCACGAAAGCTAGTTATTCACATAAGAACTGGAAGAAGGGATTTGTGGGGTCAACATCTGCACTCACTACACAATCTTAAACTCAATGCATTAATTTGTCTATTCTGTTTATTAGCAATATGGATTCCAAATGAGACTGAAAACCAGTCCAACGTGCACCAAAGTGCAAAACAACATTTAGGCATGAGACTAAATATCATCATCCTCCATTTCCACGTCTTCTTGTAGCTTCTGCACCATCTTGTCTTCCATCTGTTTGGCTTTTCCTGAAAAACAAGAAAAATGCAAAACACTAAAATCACAGAATTCTAATGAGCCAAGTCATTTTGGCATATTTTTCCAAATGAAACAGCAGTTTAAATTACGGTTTCACCACTAGATGTCGCTGGGGTTCTGTGAATGCCTTGGAACTTAGTTTAACATGTCTAAAGTATTTTAGTTTTTGTTTTCCATGCATTTTGTAGGATTTACAAGCGCACAAAATTAAAACTACATTTGAATAATTCAGTTTTAGAGCGCTATGATGTCATTTCATGTTCCCCTTGGCTCAGAAAATACAGTGGGGCAAGAAAGTATTTAGTCAGCCACCGATTGTGCAAGTTCTTCCACTTAAAATGATGACAGAGGTCAGTAATTTTCATCATTGGTACACTTCAACTGTGAGAGACAGAATGTGAAAAAAAATCCATAAATTCACATGGCAGGATTTTTAAAGAATTTATTTGTAAATCAGGGTGGAAAATAAGTATTTGGTCAATAACAAAAATTCAACTCAATTCAGACCTTCTCGAGAGCAGTGATGTTTTGGGGCTGTCGCCGAGCAACACAGACTTTCAACTCCCTCCACAGATTTTCTATGGGGTTGAGGTCTGGAGACTGGCTAGGCCACTCCAGGACTTTCAAATGCTTCATTCCTTTGTTGCCCGGGCGGTGTGTTTGGGATCATTGTCGTGTTGGAAGTAGGGTTGTCACGGTATGAAAATTTAACCTCACGGTTATTGTGACCAAAATTATCACGGTTTTCGGTATTATCGCGGTATTTTTTAAACGGTGTTGCATATGTTCAGAAAGCATTGATAGTCCTGTTCTACACAAACTGAAATAGTTTTGAAAAGGTTTAACAGTGTTTATTAAACCTAAAATAACACAAAGCCTTAGCAAAAGTGCAACTTTTCACAAGTAAAGGAACAAATAGCTTCTTTTTCTGGAACATGTTACAGTAGTCAGTGCAGGTTTAAATTAAACAAATCCAAACATTCAAACCATAAACAATATGTAAACAAATCAAAGAAACACCACTTGTTTTCTCATATACTTGTTTTCTTCATTATCAAAATGAAAATCTAAAACTCCAGTCCACACTTGCCTTGAGCACTGTACAAGTCAACCTTAAAAAAAATGTATTTAAAATAAATAGCCACTTTAAACAAATTACTAAAATAACTACTACACTATGTAATCAAATCCAAACGTTCAAGTATAAATGGCATTGAATAAGTAAACAAATCAATGACAAGGAACTAATTGTATATTTCTCTTCATCATCAACAAATAAGATGCTTCATCCAGCAACAGGGTGTCCGTGACACGGTTTAAATGCTGGCAGAGGGCGCTGCGGCTGCAGTATATAGTGACTCGTTGCATTCTCCCTCAACCAAAAGTCCTCACGTCATGCATTTAAGCTAAAACGCTAATGTTAACTTACCTTGCACTGGCTGTAGAGACGTGGGTGATGGTCACGCAGATGTGCCATTAGATTTGAAGTGTTGCTGCCTTCTGCAGACACTTGTTTCCTGCACGTTCTGCAAACGGGATAGCCGTCTTCTATTAACTGTCCCTCAGCATTTTACAGAAATCCAAAATATGACCATACTTCCAATTTAGTCTTCTTTGAGGGCTGATGGATGTCCTGGGCGCTGCCGTCTCCTCCTTCGGCCATTATTTCAGCTTCAAAGTTTTGGTGCCGTTGCAAACTAAAAAGTGTGTGTGCGCGCCGCGGGAACTTCAGCTGAAGCGACGGTGGCTGATAAGGGTCATCGCGCCGAAACCGCGGCCACGGTAAACCCACCGAGATAATATAGTTTTTTTAAAAACTGGACGGTTATTTTTATTGTCAACTTTTTTACCGGGGTTTACCGCTATACCGGTTACCGTGACAACCCTAGTTGGAAGGCCCAGCCACGTTTCATCTTCAAAGCTCTCGCTGATGGAAGGAGGTTTTGATTCAGAATCTCACGATACATGGCCCCATTCATTCTGTCCTTCACACGGATCAGTCGTCCTGTCCCCTTAGCAGAAAAACAGCCCCAAAGCATGATGTTCCCACCCCCATGCTTCACAGTAGGTATGGTGTTCTTGGGATCATGCAACTCAGTATTTTTCTTCCTCCAAACACGACGAGTTGAGTTTATACCAAAAAGTTCTACTTTGGTTTCATCTGACCACATGATATTCTCCCAATCCTCTGCTGTATCATCCATGTGCTCTCTGGCAAGCTTCAGACGGGCCTGGACATGCACTGGCTTCAGCAGTGGAACACGTCTGGCACTGCAGGATTCGATTCCCTGCAGTTGTAGTGTGTTACTGATGGTGACCTTTGTTACTGTGGTCCCAGCTCTCTGCAGGTCATTCACCAGGTCCCCCCGTGTGGTTCTGGGATTCTTGCTCACCATTCTCATGATCATTTTGACCCCACGGGATGAGATCTTGCGTGGAGCCCCAGATCCAGGGAGATTATCAGTGGTCTTGTATGTCTTCCATTTTCTGATAATTGCTCCCACAGTTGATTTTTTCACACCAAGCTGCTTGCCTATTGTAGATTCACTCTTCCCAGTCTGGTGCAGGTCTACAATTCTTTTCCTGGTGTCCTTCGAAAGCTCTTTGGTCTTGGCCATAGTGGAGTTTGGAGTCTGACTGTTTGAGGCTGTGGACAGGTGTCTTTTATACAGATAATGAGTTCAAACAGGTGCCATTAATACAGGTAACGAGTGGAGGACAGAAAAGCTTCTTAAAGAAGACGTTACAGGTCTGTGAGAGCCAGAGATTTTCCTTGTTTGAAGTGACCAAATACTTATTTTCCACCCTGATTTACAAATAAATTCTTTAAAAATCCTGCCATGTGAATTCATGGATTTTTTTTTCCACATTCTGTCTCTCACAGTTGAAGTGTACCTATGATTAGGGCTGGGCGATATGGCAAAAATAGAATATCACGATTTTTCCAATATTTTATCACGATTTTGATTTTATAACGATTTTTTATCCGTGAATAGCATAACTTCAATTGCGTATTAAAGAAGAGAAACATTGAATAAATAAACATTTATTCATATTAGGGGTAATCAACACAGTGCTAACACACTTATATTTTAAACTCACACCAGAGATGATAAAAGCCCTGAGAGAAACAATTACAAAAATCAGTTTTTCTCATTTTTCAAGTAACTTAACATAAATTAAAATCGTAAACATATTTAAAGTGCAAACATGTCAATTGCAAACGTATTGTGCAAACATTAACTTGTTCAAAATACTATGTAGCTCCCAGTTGCTCATGTAGTGGATAGTTAAGCTCAAATACGGCTCTGATGTGCAGCTGGACCAGAGATCGCTTGTGGTAGCAAATAACTGCGCATTCTGAATATTTTCTGCAACTCTCACTTTGCATTCAGCGTACATGCGTGGAATGGCGGTGTTAGAAAAATACTTGCAGCTGGAAAACTTGTAGCGCGGATCCAATGTTTTTATCATTTTCTTAAGTCCCACTCCTACTGTTCGCACGGGACAATCTTTAACCAAGTGGTACGTCACTGCATCTGTCACGCTGTTTCATCGTCTGCTGTCTCTGTCGTAGGGAGTGAGTTTTGTGAGTGTTTCTGTTAGCGTTTGCTGCCTGAAAGCAATAGCTGCTGCCGCTGTAGCCGCAGGCTTTTTAGCTTTAGCTGCCAGCTGGCTCTCAATGTATTGTTTGGGATGCCTTCTTTTCAAGTGATTAAACAAGTTTGTGGTGTTTCCATCACTTACCTTGACGCTCTCCTTGCAAATGACGTTTCGCTGCTCTTTGTCATCTGGTGAAAAACCAAACCAGTTCCATATAATGGACGAGGCGTTCCTCTTCGGAACGAAAACCTCGTTGTCGCTCTCAGCCGCGGCCGAAGCCATGTTTGTTCACACACAGGTGAAAACAAGCGGGGCACTAATATATTACTATGACTCACTCTGATTGGTTAAGGGTCAAACAAAGGCGTGTCATTCGCCGGAGGTAAGTTCCCTTTTCATTCAGAGGCAGAATTTCAACAGCAAAGCTGTGAATCGTGATAAAAAGGTCTCTCAAAAATGACAGACCGTCAGATGTGTAGATCGTAAAACGGTCTAAAATCGTCATATCGCCCAGCCCTACCTATGATGTAAATTACTGACCTCTGTCATCATTTTAAGTGGGAGAACTTGCACAATCGGTGGCTGACTAAATACTTTTTTGCCCCACTGTATTTATTGATGCAAACAGACAATATTGTGCCAATTAAGACCACTTAAGATGAGAATTAAGTACTTTCAAGTCTACCAGTGTGCGTACTAGCAGGCCAAAGCGGCGTTCCTTTATTTTGTAATTCCTATATTTGATCTAAACTGAAGCAAGTAAGCCAACAATTTGTACATCATTAATGTCCTTTTCTTTGAACAAAGGCTGCACGTTGAACAAGTTCTGTTAAATCTGCAGTAGGATGCCTTATTAAATCAAATTCACATGATTCTTCAAATATAGTTTGACCAAGAAATAATTCTGATGCTGCTTTACCTGCATGGGGAGCTTTGATGAGGTGAATATTCTTCTTCACTTCGTTGATGGCCTCCTCCTTCTCCAGCTGTTTGCCCTTCTTTAGTCTACACAGAGCAGAAAAAATTATCTGTAACCCTTAAAATCAAAGATGCTTTTAACAAATCTAAACATAAATGTAACAACATCAACCAAACTAATGTAAAAGACCCTTGAAGATTTATTCTCCTTAAGAGACGAAAAGATACCTGTTCATGATAAATCTCGCCTGTCGTTTCTGTTTTATCTCCTCCACTCGTTTCATTGCCTCCACTGTAAAAGTAGTAAAACAGTGAAACATGAATATGCTGTTCAGAAGGTCAATAGCATGCTTCCATCCATATGCATGAATAAGAATTAATAAATTACCTGTCTTGTCCCAAATTCCTCTGTTATATTTCACTGGAATATTTCTGCGCTTCTCAAACTCCAAAGAGTTGTCCTGGAAGAAAAATTTGTTTCGTGATTAAAAAGTGCATAAATTCAGAGAAGCCCAAAACAAGAATAAGCAGCTCACCACTGTCAACTCTTTTCCGGCTGATTTTCTGAAAGCTTTGGTCCATCTGGTCTTTCTTGGGTTTCGTTTCTTTGTGAAGTTCTTTTTGCATTTCGATCTGCAAAATCTAAACATCTAAGAAAAAATAAAAACACTTAAATTCAGATTTTACTTAGAAAAATGTATGTCAATATACACATGATGACTTTTTATGTGGTACCAATAACAATATATCCCATTATGTTTTTGGATCAAAATACTTTAGCTATTATTTATTACAATCATGCGACATTAGCCAATATTTACAAACAAGTAAAACGTTTTTAACTGTTTAAACTATAGAAAAAAGATGCACTAACAAAAAGCAAGAAGAATATTTAAATTAAATAGAATGTTGATGTTTGCATCTGAAACGGATATAAAAAACAGCTGCTAGACAGTGCCTTTCTAAAAATACAACATCCAATCACGGAGGTTTGTGAGGGCCATTGCCACCTGCTGAGGTAACATTTTCTATGTTGAATGAAAAGTGTTTTACAAGTCTAAGTGAAAAACCTTTAATACAAGTTACAAAAGTTTAGTTCAACTGCAGTCTGTCATTGTAATGAAAACTATTGTTAGAATTACAACGTATATGGTAGACCAAAAATTAAAATAAAGCGCAAGAAAAAAAAACGCATCACAAAGGCACTGAATATAAATTTGAAGATGATTTAATTGATGACGTTTAACTCTAATCACTCGTCATTACATCTTAACAGCAGGGGGCGCCCTAACACTATAGTAAACAAAAATGAGGCCCAGAAGTTTTATTTATTCCGTAAATGTTGATCGAGTTGAAAACTCTTAAACAACATTACTGCGATTTGGTTCAAATCTGATTTGTTTTCTAATTTTTTGATAGTTCTCGCTATCTCGTTATTAAGTTTCCACGTGATCGATTCGTCCACGTTATCAAGCTAGCAATAGCAGCCAGCTAACGTTCCCTTATTAGAAACACGAGCGTTTGCTAAATGTACAGTATTAATCTGATAAAATGACAGCTCTTTACCTTGCAGTCGTTTCGAACAAACATCACGCCATGTCCAGGGTAGACCGGCCCAGAGCAGAAATAACACTTTTCGATACGCATCTTGGCAGCAGAAGAGCTGCGCGTGCGGTTAATGAAAACAAGACCGAGCCCGTCCCAGGTTTCTTCTTCTTTATAAAATGGCAGCTAAAGTCTCTGTTACAGTTCTGCTGCCCCTGGTGGTATCTTAAAATTATTTCATCCCTGTATTTCTGTTTTAACATTAATAAGTACCAAAATATATTAGATAATTGAAAGTACATAGATTTTCTTGTACTTACGTTAAAAGTGACAGTATACTTCAGTATAAATATGACTTAGTCTGTAAATATTTGCTTAAAATTGTGTCTATTGACAGTTTGAAATCCATTTCTGACAAATTTGCAATAATTGATCTTATTTAGAATATTGCTTAAAAAATTTTGAAGAAAAAACAAACAAAAACCCTAAGAAGTCTCAACAAGGGCTGGATTATATAGAAAAAAAGCTTATCAATAAAACATCATATTATGATCATGTTGACCGATATAAATAATTATTGATAACTATATGAATAATGTCAAAAATATATTTGAAGTGCAGCCCTGGCCATCTTAGGCCATTATTTTATGACACAACAAGTTGGTTGTATTACCAGGCTTGTTTTTTATCGATTCTCTGTTGCAAACCACCGTTGTTTGTTTAATCATGAAAATATTGCCACACCAGTGAAGTACTATAACCTTTTTTGGAGACAACTTCTTCCGCCTCTCCTTGCTACATCTTATTGAAGTCACATTGCTGTCTGATTAGGTTTGAGAGGGGAGGGCTTGGTGATGTGTTTTTATTGGTTGGGTATAAGTGATGACTAGTATGAAGCTAGCCATGGACGGAATTTTCACTTTAGAAGTGTGTGTGTGTGTGTGTGTGTGTGTGTGTGTGTGGGGGGGGGGGGGGGGTGTTATCTTTGCAGTATGTTCTAATGGGAAACAGGCTTCAACACAAATGGTTGTTTTCTGCTTGGTCCTAGAGCTCAACCAGTGTCAATTTAATATAGCGTAATATTGTTTTTGGATGGTAAAAAGTGCAGGGGTCAAACCTTGACTTTGGAAAAAGTGGGGGGGACATGCCCCCCCCCCCCCCCAAAGTTACGTCCATGAAGCTAGCCAATAGGCTATAATGGAAAAAATAAACTTTTGATAATCTTTTTTCCTATTGAACCATGCCTATTCATCGATATATATCGTTATTGAATTATTGTCCAGCCCTAGTCTCAACTAAGGTTTAAAATAAACCTAAATTCATGTCTTCTTGCCACTTGCAACCTTAAAAAAAACCCAGAAATAATTCAATACAATGAAACATAACAAATGAAGATTTTTTTTTACGAACAATTTTATTACCTAATCTTTGTTACAAGGTTCAGAGTATCAAAAAAGTCTGTTTGCAACATTTCAACGCATAAAATCTTATATTTTGTTGCTCACTTTGGTTTAAAAGATGTGTTTTGGTACTCAAAATCAAACATTAGAAATCTTAAATAACATAAATCTACATTCTACGTCTAACTACAAAACCTGTGACAGCAAATTTTCCAAATTCATCTCACAAAGTAATTATCCACCTGGCAAAATGAACTTTAGTCAAGACATGTTTTTGAAAATGTCACATTACAATTTGAGAAATGTTTTTGTTTACAACATTGTGCTAAAAAGACCATCTAAAATATTTGAGTGTAACCCAAAATTTGTATGAAAATTCAAGGCTCTTACATGTCACGCTTACAAAAATAAGATCAATGGTAAACGGTCTCTCTAGTAGCAAACTCACTGGAAATTAGCACTTTTGAATGCAAATGATGTATGAAATGTAAATGAAAAAAAATCACTATATAACAGAGACTTTGACATCCTTTGGTTAGGATTTTTAGTATTACAACGATATAAAAATTGATTATGTTGCTCTTCACAGAGGGTTTCCAGTATGATAGTCAGAATCCTTCACTGTCACTCCTGGACAGGGAATACACCAAAGAGAGTAAGATCATTTATGAATTGTGATGAAAGAATTTCTCAAATAAAAACAATTCTTAACATTCATCACTGGTAGGGCACATGGGATCTTTGGTTTAGTGACGATTCTTTGCATCTTTGCACGGCATCGCACCAAGGATCAACTGTATAAAATAAGCTGTACCCATCTGAGGAAGAAGACAACTCTTTGGATAATAGCATCGGCATTCCCGCTGCATTCAGCAATGGTCTAGAAGGCAGATGGAGCACAAGGCTTGTGTTAAAGCTTTCACCAGAATAAAGCACTAAATCACATTTACAAAGAGAAACCAGCATCATTTGAAGACAATTTTACATCTCTGGCAGCTATTAGTAATAGTTTGGCAAACATCAGCTATATTTTTGGTTACCTTATATTTTCTTTTGGATCATCAAAATTCTTTGGGTACAGATCATTTGTGTCTTTGGATCTAACCTTTGTTGTAAAGCCTTTTGTATAATAAGACAATGTTAAAGCTTTGAGTTCAGTGCACTAAAATGCCAAACAATACTGTTTCATAAAGCTAAAATAGTCTGACATACTAATGCACTTGTCATCTTCATAACAAAGACAAAAAATAAAACAAAAGCTCTTTTAACCATGAAAAAGAGAATTTAGGATGTAATTTCCTAAAAGACGTTAGAAGACACTGAAATAAAGTGTTTTCACTTTGTCCCCCTGAGTGTTAGATAATACTGCAGAATACGTGGTTAAAGGGAGGTAGTAAGTATTTAAAAAACAGAAAGCTGAGGTAGATAATCTGTCTAAAAGGTGGCTCCGCTTTATCTTTCACTCCAGTGGGGAAGGACTTAAATATATGTATCACAGTTCCACTCTGACATTCTTTTTAAACATTCATCATGGGTGAGCTTGGGTTAGGACAGACACTGCCAAACACACATACAGGTAGAAAGTTGTCAATTAAAAAAGGGAGAAAATTAAATTTCATGGACATTCATACTAAATCCTAAGGAACGTCCAAAGCGAAAGCACGTTCCTTCCACTGCAGCAGCTGGCTTCCTGATCCCATGTGTCATTTTGGGGCTTCTCTCAGGAAGTGAATGAGGTAGAAGTGGCGTAGCTTTGGCCGCTGGAGAGCAGACACAGGCCTGCAGAGATTCAGGTGCTTGCTGCTTTGGAAGTGTGCAGGGTAGGATGAGAGTCATCGGAGGTGCCGGACAGCCAGGAAGCATCAGAGGCAGACGGATGAAAGGGATGATTCGGCATCCTCTCTGCTTCCACTTTATAATACGGCTTCAGCTCTGAACCGGCAGGACCACTGTCTGATTCAGATGACTCAGCTCCTGAACTGAGGGTGGTTTGTGGGTGGCTCATCTCCCCGTTGCTTTCTTCGTTGGAATAGTTTCCAGAATCTCCCGTCTCCTGACTGCCCTCGCCGGCGTGAGACTTGTTCGAGTGAAAAGGTCCGTAGATGATCTCCCGGGAAGAAGGAGGCAGAGGAGCTGAGCCCAGACGTTCGTCATATCTCAGGACAGTTTTACCAGCTTCATACAAGCTGGCTCTAGTCTCAACCTGAAGAGACAGAGACAAAATGAAGACACAGTCCAAACAAACCAGTTTGAAAAATAAACTTAGTTTCTTGTCACTTACATCAGTTCCAGGTGGGTTTCTGATCTCTTTTTTGAAAAGGAGCCATCTCCTGCTTTGGATTTTGTTGCTGACTGGACCGGCACTGTTTATGACAATATTACATCCACCCTGCAACAATTATATGACCAAGATGTTAATGGCTGATAGAAGATAAAGTAACGGTTAGGGATGTAAGAAAATATCAATATGGCAATATATTGCGATATTTTTCCTGTGATATTATATCGATATTTAACAGCCAATTATCGAATTTTTGGAAGAATTTACATGCAAACTTTTGTGTATTTTCTTTTTTTTTGTGCAATTCAAATGCCAACCACTAGTTGGCAGCAGTGTGCAGTTGATTTTGTTTCCACTATAAAAATGTAAATCCCTTTATTATGGTTCAGATACCTCATGTTCAACATGTTAAGTATCAGTGGACTGTTTATGGAATACATTCAAATATTGTCTGGCTGCATGTATCACAATATATTGTGATATATCGTATCGTCTCCCCTGTTTCGTATCGCCAGAATTTCACCAATACACATCTCTAATAACTGTGAGACCTGTAACCATCAGCAACATTCAGGAGCTTTTTCACTTTTCCCGTTTTCCTCACCTTAGAATCCATAAAGTGATCACTAATCATGGGTAGAAAGGCCTCCATGTTCTCTGGGCGGTAGTCATTGGGCAGAGGCAAACCAGTGAGTGGACCTTCAGAAGCTCCCACAGCAATCACTTTGGAGCTAGAAGATTTTCTGTAGGTCACATATCGATGAAGTTAGTGAGCATTCTTTCTTTTTTTGACTTCTGCACAATGATAGTTGGTACCTTGGCTTTCCCTTGCTGATCAGGATCAGGGCACACATGGCAATACAGGTTAAGGCAATGCTGACACCAACCATGATCCCAGTCATAGAGCGCTGGTCTATGTGGTAGAGGCCGTCAGAAAACACTGGAAGATAAAAATACATAAGCTGTAGTCAGAAGTACGGACATTAGCAAAAGGCTTTGCTACATCTTAACTTCAGTCAAGTCAAACTAAAGAATGTGATCACTCTCTGTTCTTCAGTGTTTCCAGTTGCTGACCTGCTGGATCTGGGGAGTTTTCAGAGTGCCTAGGGTTCTTGCTGCGATGGACAAGTCCATGCTTTAGTGCCAGCTCCACAGGCTCAGAGAAAGGTCCGTCACCGACCTTGTTGGAGGCACACAGCTTCACCAGGTAGACGTTCCCCTGCTCCAGCTTCTCTAATAAGGCCATCGTGTGACTTCCTACAGAACAACAAACGAGATTCAGAAGAACTATTAATAATGCACACAAAGTCATACAGTTCGTGTTTAAGTGATTGGTTCATGTCATATAATCAATGAAATTCAACAGAGAAGAATTTACGAAATAACAAAATTATTAACATGGCAAAAAAGCATTTCATTTGAGCCCCCAAGTGGTTTCACAGTGCTTTAAAGAACAAATAAATAAATAAATAATTTACAAGCTTACTAATTATAGTCTTTAGAAATCTAATATGAGGCACCATTTTGTTGTTTCTGATTAATATCTTTGACTTTACAAAGCTGCAGTTTGACCCAGTTTTAATAGGAAATGGGATGCTCACCCTCCCTCTGTATTCGTTGCCAGTGTCCAGCCATCCAAGCTTTCTGTGATGCGTACAGGATGCTGTAGTGGGTGACCACCATGTTAGGCTCCGAGAGCTCCCTCCAGGACACCAGAGCAGTGTCGTCCTCAATCAGAGTTACTCGCACTCCTGCAGGAGCTTGGCTTGGTGCTGCAGACATAAGAACTGATGGTCATTTCAATTTGCACACTAGAGAGAATGCAACATAATCCTGGTGGTGTCATGCTACTTGTGTCCATTTTATTACCGGCCGGCAGGGTCTGATGGTAAACAACCGAACTCCAGGGACTCGACATCTGATCCACATGCAGACGCACGACAAACTCATATCGAGTGTTTGGAATTAAATTCCGAACAGTAACACTCTGCTTGGTACTGTGAAGGAAAACAATCATACATTTAATGCATCTTAGGGAATGAATAACGCAATGGTACGAAGATGCAGCATTTTAAAGGAGCTTACGTTTGCAGGTAGCGTATGTCTGAGACATTATGAGTGCCCACGGGTGTGTAGCGAACTGTGTAGCTGACGGCTTTTCCAGCAGAAAACGCAGGATGACTCCAACGCAGAGAAACGGCAGAAGAATTGCTGGTCAACACAGTGACCTGATGTGGAGGAGGAGGGGCTGCAGCCACTTGGTCTCTAGCCGCTGAAAGAAGAAAACAAAAATCACAATTATTAAAGCGATGAGAGCAAGATTCAGAGGCAAACTGATTGAAATAAACGCCACGATGATGCACTCACACACACATCCTGGAGTGCTAATGGTTTGGTCCGTCTGGTGACCATCTCCTGCTTTACCGACGGCCAGAATCTTGACGTGATACTTTCTTCTTGGATCTGGAACATACAAGGAAAAAAAACTTAAAAAGAGAACTAAAAAACACACACCAATGTCCCTACGATAAAAAAAGCAGACATGAGAGCACTGAGCAGCAGGAGTGAACGTCTGCTTGATTTAGCTGCTCAGAATAGGTCACGCATGGACAATGCAGGGCCTCCTGCATAACCTTAACATGTCATTTATCGTGTGTTGTTCTGTGTGAAAGCATGAGAAAAATCAACAAACCCTGGGGCCCAGTGACACAGCTAGGAATAGATTACCACCACAAACCTGTTAAAACTAAATGTGAAGAAATTAGACTTTTAGGTGAGTTACAAGAGCAAAAACTACACACCTAACACAGGAGACGTGAGATGTACAACACTGTCTGAGTTTTGGACATAACCAGGAGCCGGGAAGATCACCGAGGTCTCTGGATGAGAATGTTTCTGAGAACCCACCATTACCCCAGGCTCTAAATCACGATGTTTTTAAGCAGCGTTAAGATTTGTTTTACGTCTAACATGTGAAGGGTCAGCCTTTAGGTACTGACCAATGACAGCAGAGTGTCCAGGCTCATTTTGGGGGGCTGGGCTACGGGAAGTGTTCAGCTGCTGGGATCCTAGACCCATGGGACTTTGTGGGGGTTTACTGGGGGTCACCAAGCCAGGCCAGCGTAGAACAGAAGGAATCTGGGTGCACAGTTGCAGGACAGGAGGTGGGCCCCTTTTGCTTCCCCTTTTCACGGCCGCTGCTTTTGTGTTTTAGCCTTAAACTTGGGACGGCAGCATAGATGACAGAATCAGTAATAGCAATGAACATGAATCCAAACAGGAAGTTATTAAAGTATTATCAGTAAAAAACAAAAGGGGTTTACATTTATATAAAGTTACAGATGCATATAATTTAAGTAAAAATGGAAAGTCACAGTAAATCTACTCAACTGTCCTAATGATGGTTTGATGTCAAATGAACATAAACTACTAGACTATAAATAAAAGGCTACATCACATGTTTCACTTTTTCGCACTATAGTTCTGGTCAACGTCGCTCCTGGAAAGCTGGGGTTTATTTACATGAACGGCACAGATGACCAGTAGGGGTGGGGTCATTAATCCAAGACTGCTGTCTCACGGCCAGAGGTCAGAGGCCAAGGGCTCGGACCAGATTTGGCTCATCCCAAGGGTCTTTGTTTGTGTGCACCAGAGTCCAGCTAAAGGGAGGTGGTGGCCAGGGTCTTCCCAGAGCCGGTCTGGCCCAGGACGGAGCACAATGGCTATGCATAATTAAGCAAGCCTCTGGATGGGAAAGGGTGGTGGGAGGGACATCTGGTTACTGACCTCTAACCCCAAGAGCCTGTTCTCAAACAATGTTGCAGGAACACTGGAGGAGGCTGCTGGTTAAGTAAGAGAGGTCAGCTCATATTGATCAGGACAGAGGGTGAAAATGCAAATGCAGCAACTGCCCACTGAATCAAATTAGGTGATGCAAAAAAGACCCATGTGAGTGAGAACCCATCGGTCACTCAGATCTAATTGGTAGACATTCAAACAGATAGTCAAATACATCCATGTACGTCTTCTCTTTGCCCTCTCATTACTCACCAAGTCCCCCAATGGTGTGGGTGAAGGTTTGAGCCTGGAGCACGATGATAGGCTGCTCCGGTTGGCCTTCCTCATGGTAGCACAATCGAAAACCCCGAACAACCACAGAGTCAGGGGAGGTCTGCCAGCGGGCCACAATGGAGGTGCAGTTAAGAGGCTCAAGTTGAAGAATGGGGGCTGAAGGCACTGAGGAAGAGAGGATGAAACAACAAGCATGGGGTCAATACAAACTTAAAGGTAGAGTATTAAAACAGCACAGAGAATACCTAAAACTAATTCACCAATATAACAAGACAGAGACAGAGAAAAGTGAATGATTTACATTCAACTGTGAAAAATGTACACTTTAATTTACAGCTTGGTTTGTAAAACCAGCTACCAAAAAAAAACTTATTATCAAATCCAAAAACTACCTTTTCTGTCACTGAGCTCAACAACTATAAATACAAGCAGAGTGTCTAATATTTCCTCCAGACAAAATTTAGCTATGGTGGACAAAAACCTCCCCCCCAACGCAGCAGGTCATTAAAATAGGCAATTCTTTCCCCCCATATGGAAGCCTGAGGCCCTCTCTTTATGACCCGTGACTGAGGCCACTTTAACATCACTGACAGCGAGGGGCAAAGGTTTCTGGGTAACCATCACAAAGACTGTGGGACAATGCTACAAGAGCAAACTCTAATCATATGCCCAATACACCACATGAACTCTGGGAAACCAGAGCATCAATGCAGAAATAAGGCAAAGGCTTAAAGAAACCAAGTTTCACCACCACGGTTACCTAATGTTTTACCTAAGGCGAACCAACATGTACATAAATATTTCACAGTTTGTTATTTTAAGAATTCCCAACAACACGTCATGCTTACCCTTGTTGCTGGAGATCTTGGTTGTACGGTGTGAAGTCCAGGCTGAAGGTTCACACCAGCCCACACGTGTAGATGCAGCCATGCGGAGCAGGTAGATGGTGTCAGGCTGCAGGCCAGCTAACAGATACTCAGTGCTGTTCTGTGGCAGCTCCACGTTTGTGAGTGTGTCATCAGAAGCTGTGCGATAGGAAAGTCTGTAGGCTAAAACTTGCCCACGGCTAATCTTGGCCGGCAGCGGCTGCCAGCTCACGTGGATGTCCGTCGAACTGTGGCTGGTCAGAGTTAACTCCGGAGTACGCAGTGGTACTGCAGAAAAGCATGGGAGTCAGTTAATTACAACACATGGTTAGTTACAGTACTCTAGCTTAAAGTTTAAAACATTTATCACTACAGAGTCTGACAGTCTCAGTGCCTTGTGCTTACCATCCTCCAGAGTATGCTGACTGACTTGGTCTGACATTCGACTGGCTCCCATCGGCATATAAGCCACGATGTAAAAGCTGTAGTTTCGCGCCGGCTCCAGGTCATCGATGATGTAACTGGTTGTGTCGTTACCGATAACAACCTGGTATTCTTCGTTGTTTAAACCTGACAAACAAACAAAAACAAATCATCTGGTGGTCAAGCATACATGAAAAAAATATTATAAAGTAATGCTTACAGTTTCTGTGTGATGCATTTGTTTATTTACACACGTGTAACACAAGGCACTGACTCCTAACTGTTTTATGACCCACTAAAACAACCCTCATTAAACATGTAAAATACTCGGCTTTACAGTTCCCTAACAATAAGTTTAGAGGTTAACTCTGTTGGCTTGCAAGACTGTAACATATTTCAGTGGCCTGTCCCTTTAAGAGGGAGCAGACGGAGCTGGGGAGCGGACAAAGGGCCGGCCAGGCCTGTTGTTTTTTAAGTTAAGTTGCCATTCTGAGTCACCCTTGACCTCGGCTCCATGCAGCAACAGCAGATGGCCCCCAACCAAGAAAAGCTGATCACACAGTGATGTAGCGTTCTAAGGTTTACAGCGACTGTGCATCTTTTCATACTGCTGTTCCTCAAAGTTTGTCATCAAGCTCTAAAAAGGATAAGATCTTTGCCTCATCTTAGTCTCACCTTCTGCCTTCATATAGTGGATGGAGTAGGCAATGACTTTGTCAGCATTGTAGAGAGGTTTCTCCCATGCCAGTAGGATGGCTGAGCTGGAGATGGTCTCAGCATGGACGTTTCTTGGCGCACTGGGCCTGTCCTCAGACATGACCACTATTAGGCGGGCCAAGGACAGCACAGAACCCTGCTCATTCTCTGCTACACACTGATAGATGGCATCATCCTCAGGGATAATCTGGGTGATTACCAGCTTACTGTGAAACAAATAAACAAGAAAACATAAAGGTATGTTCTTTAGAAAGAATGTTTACATTTTTTTTTATTGTATTTAGGTAAACACATTCTGAGCCATCACTCCTGATAAAGTATACCTGTTGTACATCTTAATCCTCCCATTTAGGTGAACCAGCTCTCCATTCTTTAGCCAGCTGATGCGCGGTGAGGGCACTCCCTCTGCTTGGCACATAAATCGGGTGGTGCCTGCTCTTGGACGGGTCTGGCTCTCAGGCTTTTCAACAATGGATGGCGGCACTGAAACACATATTTATGATAAAAGTTGATGAAAACACGGTCTGATGCGTACAATAATAAATACTTGCATCTAACACTTCAGAGGTGTAAAGAACGTATGGTACCTAGAACTGTGAGGTTGGCAGCAGCAGTAGTATGGTTGCGAGTTCCGGGTGTGGTGGCCCTGCAGAGGTAGATTCCACTGTGTTTGGGGTTAACATCAGTAATGACCAGGTTCCCATTGCCCAGCACTTTGGCGTTGTAAACATCAATGGGTTTACTGTCAGCTCGGCTCCAGGAGATGATGGGGGAAGGATTACCTGTGGCCACACACTCCAGCACCACAGTTTGGTGAAGGGAAGCTGTAACGTTCTGAGGTCCAGCAATGATTTGGGGCTTCTGATGGGGTTTAGGGCCTAGCTCTACACAAGACAGAAGAAATGTTAATAACATTGTTATCTAAAGTGAGTTAATGCTCATTAAGTTGTGCTCATCCATTTACTGTACCTTTACTGACTGTGAGTGTGGCCTCTCTACTCTTTAAACGGCTGGCGATGTTAGTTGCCACACATCGATATCGTCCAGCATCTTTCAGTTGCACGTTGTGTATTTGAAGGACTCCATTAAACAAAACTGTTATTCTAAAAGCATAAAAATTCAATTTGAAACAAATTTTAGGTAAATGTAGCCACTAGTACTATTTTACCAATGCAAACAGAATGCTTACAGTGGAGTCTCAAATTACTGAAAGTGTTTGCAGGTACCTGTCTGTCTGCAGTGGCAGCATGCTTTGGTTGAACTCCCAGGTGATGGTGGCTGGAGGAGAAGAGGTGACTGCACAGGAAAATCGAGCCACAGAGCCTTCAGACACCACCACGTTAACAGGGTGCAGCTCAAACTCTGTGATTCCTGTAAAAACAATAATACACATGTCAGAAATGCATTTTTCTTTAAAATCTCACCTAAAACTATTGTTTCTGAAGATGCGTCGTTCTAGTCATACGCCTGTTTTTGAAGAATGTTAACTCATCAAATGAGAAGAATTGATCTCTGTAAGCACTTGCTTTTGTGCAGATGAGGAATAGTGTCCCATTGTGATTAGCTGGCCAGATCAATGGATCAATTGCAAGAATGACAGTGAATGATGCATCATTATAGAGATAAAAACTAATCAATGCAATTTGCATTAAAAGAATAACAATATAAAAGATGACAAAGGAAATGCAAATATAAGTAAAACTATGAAATAGAAAGTACATAAATCATAAGGTTTTCTGCATCAGAGCATAATGTAATGCATCTGATCTCAACCATATAAAACAATCTTCTCTTTGGTCTCGTCAGTCTGCAACAGAGGACCCTCACTAAAATGCTTTAACATTGTTTTTCAGTGTTACAGAAGTTTAGTGAGGGTTTTCAGATGCAACTTTGCTAACTTCAGCAAAATTGGAATGAATTTTTTTAAAAGAGACTTTCTCCTGCATTGTAGGCTTTTTCTTAACTCACTATTATTTAACATTATAAATGAGACCTATAGACACAAATGTAGCTCTTGTATTTTTTTAACCTACTTTTCATACTACTGCATGGTCTGAACTATGGGTGAACTTGAAATTGTCTTAGAACTGATACATTCAATCTTAAAATTGAAGAATATTTGACTTATTCTTCACCACATCAGTTCTGCACAGTCTATCATTCTGCTGGACCCAGAAAATGATCACACTAAGTTTACAAATCTCTAAAAACTCCCAACATAACCCTTTATTCATGCCCATTCAAAAGTCTGTCAATAGTCACCAAATAAGCGACCCCCCCCCCCCCCCATCTGCATTTACGTGAGGCCCACTCAATCCCATATCATCAATGACCTTAATTCATTAAGGTGATAAGTCCCTCCCTTCCCCCCTCGCTCAAGGAGAAGAAGTCAATACCATGTTATAGAGAATCAATACCCGTGTTGTCCCTCTGAAACTTCACGTTTAAACCCCGCAGCTTTAGGGGAGCAAAATTACCGAACAATGCTTTACTTAGGATCAAATGATTTCAGAATCTACAAACAAACAGGCTATTCTGCTCTTGAAGTCAACTAAACCTTCTGCCATTACATCTTGTAAGGCTGTTTGGTGATTGTTTGCAGAACTTTTTCAGGGACTTTCAACGAGATTAAGATGCTAAATCATACTGAATGTCTGGTGGTAGTTTTGTCTGTTCAACAACAGAAGACTGGTAAGCACTGTGAAATGACACAACTAGCAAGACGTTAGAAATATTAATATAATCTAATACAGCTTGGACCAGTGATGCAGGTGGTGGGTGTGGTCTATCTGCTAACATGGTCACGTCTGTGGAAAAGAACAAATCAATGTTTAGGCCAAGCAGCACAAAGGTTCTCTGAAAAGGTCAGCGCTCACTTCAACCCCCCCCCCCCCCCCCCCATCAATTCTGCCCCAAAACTGTGGCCAGATCCAAATGTTTACCAATATTCTTAAAAAATTAGCTGAAAAAGAATTGTTTGCTTTGAGCCTGAGATCACTGTGGACTCTGGACTCCTTTAAAAAACAGTGAAGACTCACTTGTTCAAGTTGGCTTTTGTATGACCTTCTTCACCACTCTATTCTGCTCTCCCCACCTATTCCACCTTCCTCAGGATCCACTGATTTCCCCCTTTCCTAGTCACTTTCTCTCTTTCTTAACATTTTTGTAATCACAATTGTCTATTTTTTTTGCTCATTTTAAATATATTTTTTAACCATTTTCTAAATTATGTTTTATATTTTCACATTTTTTGTTTTTGTGAAGCGCCTCGTGAGAGGCGCTATAGAAATGATACTTTCTCCTTTGTTGTTGTTAGTTCACATTTGCAAATGTGTATCGTCTTATTTTGTAAATATTCTATGACAAAACAGCTGAGATGCAGAGTGATGAACTCCGAAGGCAAAAATAAGAAAAAAATCTTTAAAGATGTAAAACTGTTTCTGAAGACTGAAACTCCCCAAAGTTGGAGATCTGGGTCTTTTTGCTCACATCACAAAGCTTTGTTCTTGATAGGCTAGAGGTCGGGTCTAGTGAAAGTGATTGTGGTTAGGGGGAAAACAACAGCCCCCCCCCCCCCCCCCCCCCAGCCAGAACAGGCCTGTGACATCACAAAGCCTCTCCACTGCTGACCCCCGACCCCTGGGACCTCTGGACAGAAGGGGAACGTAAAGGAGACCCATCCTCCACTCTCAGCTGACCAAAAACTCTTTCACTGACTCAGACAGAAACCAAGACTAAACTTGAATTTGGATTCTTTATGTGAGCAATTTGATTAGAAGTTTTTTGTTGTTTATTGTAGATGACAAAAACCCACAAAGAGCTCAATGAGATGTTTCCCCCTGCAGACGCGTCACTATTAATATAAAATATCCTTTCTTCTTCCTCTAAACCTTCTCCGCCATGAAGTATGGATAGTTTTTAAATGTTGTGGATTAGGTCATTTAGCGAAAATCTTTCTACTTCACTGTCAGTGTCAAAATCAGCAAACTGCAAGTTCCAACCTCGTCTCCATGACACCAGCCATGGGATATCCTTTCTAAGACCTTTAAAAAGAATACACGGTAGACCAGGCTCACTGAATAGAAGCAGCTGTCTTGCCCTGTGATATGTGGACAAACAAATGCCCTGAGATCCAGCCTTTTCTTGCAGGGCAGTCGGGGGCACAGCAAACAAAAGCTGAAAAGGCAAAAGGCCTTTCAGAGATTCCTCTGTGTAGCCGTCCATTCTGCAACTACACAAAGCCCTGGTCCGAAGTCACAATGAATCCTGCAAACATTTAAACAGACAAACTGTGGTCATTTCTAACTTTTTACTGGTGTTTACGTATTACCTTTATATGTGGACAAGTGGCACCATTCCTCAAAAAGTAAAGAACTACAAACTCTGGACGGCCTGTTTATAGAGCAGTTATGAGGTTTTGAATTGACTCTCTAGTCTATTCTGTCTCCTAAATGCTCCGAAAACTAGCCTGCCAACATGGAAACCCATTTAAGTTTGTTTTTGTTTTGTTTTTTTTGCTGTGAAACAAAAAAGTGTTCAGGACATCTGCTACTTATAATCCATGAAAAGCTTGAAAGTTGGATAGCATGGAAGTAAACATAACCAGAGAGTGGAACCAATCACCATCGGTAAAAAAAAAAAAAAAAAAAAAAAAAAAAAAAAAAAGTCAGCAGCAACTATTTGGTTTTACTCCTCATACTTACTTGCGATAGTCAGATGTGATCTTTGGCTTAAGATAGCTCCATATCTGTTTTGGGAGAGGCACTGGTAATATCCTTCATCTGAATCTTCCTTGGTATGCTTTATCTTTGGTATGAACAAGGAGCCATTAGGCAGAAAATGTATGTGTTCACTTTCTGCCAGTCTGATCCCATTCTTGAGCCACCTGATGGTGACTGGAGGCTGTCCATGTGCCTGACAGTCCAACACAGCAGGATCCTTTGGTAGAACAGTAACATCACTGGGTTCTGTGATGAAGGACAGCTCACTAAAACATAAAACACCTACAGGAAGAGAGTGGTGCATTAATGAAGGGCTGGAACTGTCTAAAAAAAATCATAATTATGATTTAATTGACTAAACTTTTTTCCGTGTCTAACCATTTTTTTCTCACAAAAAGTGAATTATAATAAAATAATATATAATATAAAAGTGATGTAAAAGTATGTGATTAAAAAATACTCGTCAAAAATAGAACCAATGGGAATCACAATAAAGCGTCAGTAACACAACCTTCCCCTTTTACGCTTCGAGTCACAAACAAATCCGTTTAAAAACACATGAAGCATAAACAGATAACATCTTTCACCAGGTGGGAGTTGTGCACAAATTAGCCATTAAATGATAAGATACTGGCAAGTATACAAAATAATACAATACTTACTCGTTAAAGGAATAAACAACACAAAAAGAAGCCAGCTCCGGCTCCATTTCATCTTAAAATTGGCCATTTATCCAGACTGTTGTGTCATTTTCCCCCTCAGAGAGCCGCCGGTCCCCAGCGTGCTACCCGGTCGTCCTCAGCGTCACTAGTGAGGCGGACAGAGGACCAGCCGCTCTACCGGGGGCCGGGGAGCTCGCCCCACCCATCACGCATGCGCAGTGACATTAGAAGCGGGGCCCGGGAATGAAAACAAAACATGTGATTTGCAATAATCATCTATTAAACAATTGAAGATGAGAGTGAAACGAAAGCACTCTTCTCAAAGATCATTCCTAATTTTTAAAATCTTTTTTCATATTTTCTAAATAAATGTTGGTGTAATTTGTGTCTGAATGTGTTTTTCTTGGTGTAAGCTTGTCAGGTTTTATGGCAACATAGAAACACATGGAAGAAAGGATTACACCTGATATATTTATTGGTGTAATAATGTTATTCCAATGTTTCATTTAAAAGTTGTCAAATCTGCCTACAATTTTTGGACGTTTCTACAGCATGTATACAATCTAGTTCACTGTTTTCTAATCTAAAGTGAGCATCACAGAGTGTATAGAACGTAATAAGCCTTTAGCTCAAGTAAATGGATGTCTGAATCTTAATTTACCACTGGCAACAAGTACATTTGCAATATAAAATTTTACAAGAGCATCCACAGTGATAATTGTCATTTACCAATGTGTAAAAATGTATGTCTGAGCAGCATCTGCTCTTTCCACAGATCCTGGTAATTATGAAAAGATATTGATGGCTGCAGGTCAGCTGCTTAATGAATTCATATATTGATCCAGCATCCCTGTTGACAGTGACCCTCCCTTTTCACCAGCCCTCATTCTGCAGTGACACAATGGGATCCAGCTGGTATCGGCTGTGCTGTATCAGCAAAGCACTGATCTAACAGAGCAGGTAAATAAAGTCCTCACATTCAGACTGCTAACTACCTTTTACGTATATCACAATTCTCCCATCTTTCCTCTACTACATCTATAAATGTTTCTAATGGATTTTTGCCACAAGCTTGAACCTTCAGACTTCAATATGCAATCAAATGAGAAGAGCAGAGTTTAATTATGTATTGATTACAGCCAGCTATTGATTGAATAATTGAAAGCCTTATAGTTATAATTTAAAGCTCAAAATGGCTGTCAGATTTATCACATCTGATAATCTGTTTATTCAGTGGTGTGGATTTTAAGGTTATTTTATCAAAGATAAAAAGAATTTCTATGCTTACTTAAAACATATCTTATGGCTTTAGTTTAAGTAAAGGTTTCTATATTTGGCATTAGTAGACAAATTATTTGAATGTAAGCTGAGTAACCCCAATATTTACGCACAAACTTGATTGGAGTATTTAATTTATTACTAGTATTTATTTTTCACGGATGTAAAAAGGCTTCATTCACTTTTTGAAACGTCACTTAACTGCAGCAAACTAAATAAATGAAGAATAAAAGTCCACATATTCCTCTCAGAATCATTTAAATCCGATTGCTAAACGTGTTGTGGAAGCAGAGATAACCACCGCGCTCCACATGGCTAAAAGTCCGGCTGTTGGGCCACAATCGATAGGGTTAAGGTCATTAACATGTTATGAATGCCACGAGGCCCTGGGAAAGCAGAGCACATGACCACTGATGTGAGCTCCGATTGGCTGGAGCTTGTCTCTAGGAGAGGCCATCCCCCACTGACCTAAGATGTCAATTGATGAGTTGATGACCTCTGACCTTGTGGTTAGGGTGTGATGGAGAGTTTGCATTTGTTTCACTGGACAAATAATATTTGTTTAGAATAATTAAAAAAGCAATGTTCAGTTTGTTTAAATGAAAAAATAAACCACATTGTAGATACATTCAATAATATTTCTATTTCTATATATTACTATTTTGTTTTAAAAGGTAAAATAAACCTAATTTAAAAGTCGCTGTTAAAACCAACTAATGTTTATAATCACAAGATCTTACAGCAATTCTTCCTTTTTATTTATGCTTAGAAGAAAGATGTTACTTTGCATTGATAAAGTACAAAAACATCAATACTTAAACACAAGAATATTCTTTAAAAAAGTTTATTGGCTTTTAAAACCACTTTAAAAATCTCACCAGTGAGTACTTCCCATTGAAAAAAAGAAACGACGCGTTTGCAATATTAACAAGCTACTGTACATTAAGCAGAACACCAGACAACAACACAGAGGAGGGTTTCTTTTTTCCTTTTCTTTGTCTACTGGTAGAAACAGACAAGATAGTCAAACATGGTTGGGTTGGTAAAAGGTAAAGAATCAGAGTCACTGCTTGATGGAGCTGCTGTAATCATAAAGAGGTGCATTTCCTTCATTCTAATTCAAATATCAGTGCCATTTTGTTAAAGAAAGAGGAAAAAATGTTTCATTTTATTCCAAAAATGCCTTTTTTTCTTCAAAACAATAAGTAAAAATGTCAAAAAACATAAAATATAGAACATTAACTTAGTAAACAGCACACAAACACAAAGTCATGTAACTCATGAAACTAGCACTGCCAGTCTGGTTAACAGAACCTGCCCAAATCACAGAAGACAGTGGTTACCAAGATTACAAAGTACAACAGAAGTCATCATACATGCGTGCGTACAATCATTTATCAACAGGATGAGCATGTAGGTTTTAAGAGTTTTTTTTTTAGTTTTTTCCCTCAATGCTTTGTATTCTCGTGTATGAGAACGAGTAAGAAATGTGTATCTCACTGAGATTAATGCACATTTTGCTACAAGACAATTAGTCATTTTCTGACAAATCCATTTATTTTCCTTACTCCTCTTTTCATAAAAAAGTGTTTTCTTATCCTGGGCCTCCATTGTTATTTTTGTCCATAAAGATGTGACAAAGCCATGTGTCATAAAAATTTAGTGCAATATATACGTGAACCTCCTAAGTTTGTTTTTTAAAAATCCTGTGTCTGCTGCTAGACTTTGAGCACAACGTCACAGAGGAGTCTGCAACCACTTAACAATTTCACAACTTCTTTTTTTCTCCATGCTATTGAACCTGCTCACAGCGCACGCCACTTCTGTAACTGCAGACTCCTATTAACTTTGAGCATTAAAAAAAAGAAGTAAAAATAAAATCAGCAAGCGAGACCAGACAGCTTTACTGTTACTACGACACACTGAGCCAGAAATGTAACACACAACATACAGTAACCTTGCCAACTATAAATCTGTTAAGCTTTTTTTTCTTTTCGATGGCACATACTTAGCTGGATAATGGCCATAATATAGTGTCTTGATACATCAAATCTCTATGTATCTATTCTATTTACAGATGGAGCTAAACATGACTTGTACACATTGACAAATAGCCAAAAACTAAAGCAAGCATCCTACTGTTATCACATAGCCTACCTGGCTAGCAGTGATGATTTCAACATGCTTTCAGGTCCATGGTTACCTATAAAACAGGACGGTGACCATTTCACAAACTTACAAACTGTACAGAAGATTTACGCAACTTAATCCTTTTTTTTTTTTAAACGATCTCTGAGGCTTCCCACTTCCCATTGGTGTAATATATTGGAGTGCAATAATCTCTTGTGATTCTCAAACCGATCGTCTTTGGTACGGACAAAAGGCCAGATCCCTGCAAACATAATTTTCAAGATGACATCAAAGCATCAACCTCATAGCGAAGCCTTCTCCATACTGTTGATTTTTCTGACTCAAGCTGGGAGTTTAGCATGCCACGAAAACTATAAAACAAAACGAAAACAACATCTCATGACTGAAGTACGTCTGTTGTGGTTTTATAATTTCCCTCTGGAATTAATAAAGTATTTTTCAATTGAATTTGAATTTAATTGAATTAAGCAGAAGCATGAATTTCTCTACATCAATGAAGGATGAGGGCACACACAGTTCAGTCGTTAGCCTACGCAACACGAGTCTACTCTGTAAAAAAAGAGAGAAATTAGGAAATAGTACTGAAAATATCAGAATAACAGCTGCCTTGACAGGATGAAGCTCTGGATGATGAAGCTCTGGATATCTTAAACTATATACAGTTTCTCTTGAGCATAAGGCCTTAAACTTTGAGAATAAGGCAGCCAGTTGTTGATTTCTTTAACCCACAAAGTGGTCTGCATCTCCAACTCCCACCCCCTCAAAATGACTCGTATACTCCCTTTGTAAGATATTAAACAGTACAAGAAGTATAGGCTTTGAGCAGTTTCACTCTTGGACAAAGCTCAGATGTGAATCAGTTCTCCACTGATTTAGCATATGATAAAGTATAAAGATAATGTCAGAAATTCAGCACCTGGGAGCTTAAGATGCTACCCTTGTAATATTTTGATATGGCAGGCAAACGTACTACAACTATTATGTGCATAATACTACAATACTAATATTGTCTCCATTTGGTTGAATTGCACACATTGCAAATAGTACACAACAGCATACGTTTTTGGTGAAGTTTTTTGTGCCAGATTTCCAAACCATCTCACCTTCCTCCATTGTTCATACGGTGTAAATATTGCATTACTGAAGTTTTACCCTTTAGAGAATGTTCATAGCACACAAACGAGCCTTAAAATCGCCGGCCACCGCTGAGTGCTCACACTCTTCACTTGAAATGCTTACGTTTTGATTTCAGAACGGGGAGAGGGGGCGGGGAAAAAAAGAGGGTAAATACTGAAATTTTTTTGGCGACAAAATAACAAAGAAAGGAGGAGATAAACAGTGGGAGAGATTTTCTGGTAAGCCTGGCACTTTTTTAACAGAACAAATGGCAAAGTCCAGACAAATCCCAACAAACTGGTTTCAAAACAGATATATTACATATGCACCGAACCAAATGACAGAGAACAGAAGTCATACAGAGTAAATTATAACGTTAACCCAGCATCTCTACTGTGGTAGGCTGGTCTTTGCTCTCTAGCCAGTCGAAACCAGAGTTCACAGTATCACTGCATATCTGCTGAAAAAGCGGGTCGTTCTTCAGTTCTTCCAGTGTCGAGTCTTCATATTGTTCCTGCTGCTGGTTGGGATCAAATAGCAAGTTGGGGTCCAATGTGTTAAGGTCAGTGATGCTACTGGACAGATCTGAGGTCAGTCTGATGTCATTTGAGAAGTCAGAGGCCACAGCGTTGAGCTCTGAAGCTACCTGACCAACCAACTGGGAACTGGGGTTGAGGCTGTCCTCCCCCAGCAAGTCTTTGACAGTGTTGTTGAAATCAATCTGCTGCTGCTCATCCTCCACCTCCTGCTGCTGTGTGCTCTGGAGGAGGAGCTGTGGTTGTGTCTGCACAGGATCCTCTTGGAGCTGCTGCTGCTGGTCTTGCTCCCCAGGACCTACTTGTGCTTGGTTGTCCCCAGCAGAAAAGCTCACCTGCTCTCCACTGCCAGTGGTGAGGAAGCCGTGCTGCTGGAGCTCAAAGGCAGCAGGGCTGGAGCTGACAGGCAGCTGAGCTTGGTGAGCTGTTCCGCCTGCGAAGCTTGGCGTGGTCTCCAGGATCTGAGTGAGGTTCATGCGGGCCGTGTAGTTGGAGGGGAGGTTGTTGATGCCCAGGCCGCGAACAGATTCGTCTCCATCAGCTTCCATCTTGCTGAGCAGAACATTAGTGATCTTAGATGCGTTACTCTGACCTTGCACAGGCAGCATCTCACTCTGCATCATGATGGTCAGCGGTACAGACTGACTACGCTGCACCATGCTGTGGACGGAGCTGACTGCCTGGCTGTTGGACAGTATACTGAGCACTTCAGAAGTGATGGGGGAGTTAAAGGGTGAGATCACAGCTCTAGCTGTTGTTGCAGTGCTTGTGGTGGTGGTCGGAGGACCGGTGTTGCCACTGGAGTTCCTCTGCCGTACGGCAGGGCTAACGCTGCGGCAACGAAAGGTACTGGATGTGGATGAGGTTGAAGCCTTGTTATCCAACGGCGCCGGCACAGCGAAACTCTCTTGTTTGGTGGGAGTGGTTACACCTGTTACCTGCTGCTGAACTGGAGAAATGGGCGTCAATCGGCCGAAGTGAGCAGCATCCGGCCTCGACTGAGACTGAAAGGACTGGCCAGGAATCGCAAACGCATGAGGTTTACGAAACTGATCGTCTACCAGGTCCTGGTAGCTTGGTAGAATGCCTATGCTATGGTTGGACAAAGGACCAGCGGCGGTGCTGTTGTAGCGGTTGTTGATCCACTCCAGCTTGGCCTTGTCAGGATGTGTAGCCATGGGCCTCTGCATGGGTTTAACGGGACTACTGGAAACAATACTGGCATCATGATACCCCGTGATGCTGGAGTTAATGGGTGTGAAAGCAAAAGGGTTCCTGCACTCCACTGGGCTCGGGGGCACGCTGCTGCTGCAGTTTGACAGCGGTGTACTGATGGGGGTGTGACGACCCATGGCTCCATCCACAGGTGTGATGGGGGCCATGCGAGAGCAAGGGCTCTCCCTCGTCAGGGTGTGCGTGAGCGTCATTTCTGAAGTGGGCGTGGGTGTTGGGGTTGGTGTTGGTGTCGGCGTGGGGGTTTGAACAGGTGTGGTGCTGCTGTGGGCAGAGTGGTAAAAGGTAGAACTGGCTTGATGAGCACTGAGGATGGAGCTCTGACTGTTAGTTGACTGACCCTGGAGGGACACGTCAACGCAATTACCAAACAGACCCTTCAGCTTCATCTGCTCCTCCATTTGAACCAGTTCCTCCACTATGCTGTCCTGGGTCATGTCATCATCGTTGAAGGGGAAATAGTCCATGTTGGGCTGAGATCCTGCAAAGTCCACCATCTCCTGCGTGAGAGTGAGCTGGCCTGAGGCCTCAGAAGGTTGAGTTATCATGGATAGCTGGTCGGAGGAGGCTTGCTTGTGTTCTGCTGGTATTTGCTGCATCTCCCATATTGTGCTCTTTAACTCGCTCACAGAGGCTTCGTGTGGTCCTGAGTTGGCTGGTATCGCACGAGGGTCTCCGGTGATCTGCTGCAGAAGTGCCTGATCAGACGTGTTGCTTTCGGCTAGTCCAACGGTGGTATCGATGCTGATGGAAGGGTCTTTGTGTTTCAACCCCAAATCCTGCTGTTTCACGACCGTTTGCGTTCCTTCTGTGTGTGTGAGAGGCGCGTCCGTAAGTGCAAGGATCTGTGTGGGCCCTGTTGGTGTGTGTTTCGCAGTCCCTTTGCAGGGGGCACTCTCTGGTCTGGCAGGAGTTCCTGGTCTGGGAACCCTCTTCATTGCAGCACTGACCCCAGGTTTGGGATTGTCAACGACAGCAAGTGGTTGCTGGGAGATAAACACCCTCTTAACAGGGATGGCGTGGGACTCAACAGCTGCACGCTTCCTGGGGCTCTTGGAATCCAAGCAGGGATCCTTGGATGTTGGGGTAACAGCAGACGAGCCATTAGACGATGTGTTGCCATTGGAGTTCTGATTATCAACAGTCAAGTACAAAGTACTGTCATGGCAGTTACTGTTATTGCTGTCCAGAATCCCAGCTACAGAGGTGGGAGTTGAGTCACCTTTCATTCTCACCCCCTTTTCTTGTCCTGGAGAACACTTGATAAGGAAGCTTGGCTCACTTGCAGCCCTGAACTTGGCCACTCTGTCCTCTTTGGCGCCACCGATAAGTTTCTCTGCACTAGAGTTGTCACTTCCAGGTTCAGACAACCCTTTGGTGTCTGCAGAGAGGATCAGGGTGGATGCTGCTGTGTTGGGTCTGATAGCAGGAGACTGAGGGGTGGCTAAATTTCCACTTTGCATCTGCTGGGAATCATCTGAAGCAGCCATAACACTCACGCCGGCTGAGGCTGGTCGCACAGTTGTGCTGCTGCTGTTGGGAGCCAGAGCGATGGCCGTCATCTTCACAACGTTTACCGAGCTGACGTGGGGAGTGGGCATCACGGTTTTTATGGGGCTGTTGGTGATGAGCAGAGTGGGGGGAGAGCGCAGCGTGATGGCACTAGTGGCAGAGGGCTTGGGCAGTATCTGGGCGTACCGCGTTCCGTGTCGGGCAAGCCGGTCTCCTACAGGACTGGCTGGAACATTCTGGGGGGTTTTAGGAGACTGTTTGAGAGTCTGAGTGACAACTTGGAAATTCACAGGCAACACTTTTCCTTCTGCTGTCCCTACAGGGCTAGGGGAGGTCATCAACTGCCTGCTCCTCTGTACCTGGAGGAGCAATATCACATTTTAGCACATTTAGACACACAAAGTCTCTTATATAATTAGTGGGAGAAAAATAATCCATCAAGTACCGTGACTGGGCTGGGAACAGCTGCTACAACAATTCCTATGGTGGGCTGAGGGGAGAGCAGAGCAGGGCTGCCGCAAGGGATGGTGGGTCCGGGGGTACTGGCCTCAGTTCGCTTCACCTGGGCCTCTGTAGGCAGGGGGGAGTGGAGCTTCTGCTCCTGCTGCTTTTTATGGATTTTACGTTGCAACTGCTGCTTTGCATCAACAGAGGGAGAGGGCAGGGTCTTCACCTGGGGCTGGAATGAGTTTGCCTCAGCCGTGGGCACGAAGGCAGAGGCTGGAGTCGGGGTCTTCATTCCTGCACAAGCACAAACATGTCAAAAGAGCAGATTCATCCGATATATTGCTGCCAAGAGGTAATGAACACAAACAGTTGAATGTTTCTATGTGTTCGGCACCATGGACAGTGGCAGAAATTATTATTTGGAGCCATTTTACATTTTTCAATATGAGACTGAACTTTTTAGAGTTAAAGAAGCTCAATTAAAACTAGACAAAGATGAGACAGGAAGTAACAGAGCATAAAATCACATTGTGATGTTGCATGCCACCATTATCTGTCAAACAGAGTTAAAAAGTCACTTGCAATATGCGTGGGCTGCCCAGAAACCCCGTTGAAAACAGGTCGCGCATATAAAAGTTGAAACATGTTTTCAGATGCAAAAACACAAAAAAAAAAAACTCTGGAAAAACTTTGATACAGAAAATGAAAACTTAAAAATAACTTTTTGGTTTAACAGAGATTAAAATGTTTACAGCAGATAATCATGATGGAAATTCTTTATTAAGTTAAATGTTTTAAATTTAGAAAGAAAAATAAAAAAGTCCTATTTTTTTACTCCTGTATTGTAATATAAAACAATTTCACTAAATGAAAAGGAATAACAATTTATCATTACTGTAGCTAAACTCACACCCATGGTAGATGACTTGTTTATAGAAAAACAATAGATGACCTCATCAGAGGGTTTTTTTTACCTGTGGGTGTTCCAGTCATAACAGTAAGTGCAGCCATGGACTTTGTACCAATGTAGTGACTATTGAGCAGGAAGCGAGCCAGGTCCTCCACGTTGTCAAACTGACGACTCAGGACCTTTTGAGCCCACTCACACACCAGTCCACACGCTGCAGATCTCATTTCATCCTCAGCGCTCGGAGACTGGCCCGACGACTCCATCAGCTCACACTAGTCAAACAGAGCAGCAGGTTTACAGACCAAAACTGGTCTAAAGGTCCGACTCAAGTCAAATGTTTTGCAGCTTACTGCAACTTACCCCATCACCAGACTTCTGCAGATCCAGGTTGGGTAAGGATGGCATGTGAACAAAAGCTTTCTTTCTTAACCCGCTGTAACAGTACGTGCAGAGGAGTTAAGGCACCTAACAGAAACCTGGGTGGACGCTTTAAGGCCAGAACACAGTCGAACATCCTGTTATTCCTCCATCGAGCCATAGTGTCTCTTAATTGGTCGTTCTGCTGCTTGTCCAGATTAGGCATCAGGATGCATTTTTATTACACTTGGTGGATAATTGTGGCTTGGGGGCCAAGAAACGAGTTAATTTTGATGCAGATCAGAATAATTTTTATAAAAAAGATTTGGTGAAGGCTGCGCTCTTGTTGGCTTGTTAAACAAGCAGTTCTGACGATGGACGTCTACAGCTTTTCAAACCAACACGACAAAAAGAATCTGAGTTTCTGACCTTCATCATTCAACTTACACTAAAAATATCTCCTACATCGTTCAGCTGAAGTGTATGTTAGCAAGACAAAACAGTTACAGCACTAAAGGACAGGGTTATATAAAATGTAAGGATATTTGGATTTGCCCCTCATGCCCAGACGGCGTGCCTTCATGTTGGGAAAAACATTCTTCATGATCTTCCCAAAGTCTGCAGCACTCAGAGGATTGTAGCCAAGATTGTCACAGTAGCTCCTGAAGGACACAAGAATCCACACGAGAGTCTAATAAAACAAAGCGCAACACATTCTAATCTGTTTTCAACATATCCTCCCTCCTGAACTCACTTGTATTCATCATACACCTCTTGCTTTGGGAGGGACGTCTCTGGGTGCTCTTCTAGGTGATTGCGTATCCAGTTGAATGCATACATCTGTTGAGTACGGCTTGACGACATGGAACTCTGATCACTGAAACAAAAACAGACCTGGTGAGCGGGATAACCTTTGGTTTATGCATGTATACCCCCCCCCCCCCCCACACACACACACACACAAAAAGCAACATCCTTTTAAAAAGAGGCTCAGTAGCAGTGTTAAACTTAAATTAGGTGATTTAATACTTTTCGCGTGTCACAAACCTTTTATCATTGCCACTGCTGGGACCAGAAGGCAACTTAAGGTAGAGGTAGAGTTTTTCGATGTCTGTAAACTTCTCAACATCTTGCTGTAAAAAAAAAAAAAAAAAATTAAAAAAATCACTAAATAATTTTTAATTAATAGAATTATGTAGTGGTGTAGAAGAAAAAAATCTTTTGGTGAAGAGTAAAGAAAGACGAAGCAATCGCGTTCCCACAGCTCTACAGCGAGGTTCTCATAAAATACACAACAGGGGTACGATTTAAACGTAACACACAGCGGCTCAACCATCTCGCCACTTTAAGCTCCCTTCAGCTTGATTCTAAGAATGGATTCATGTCACCTCTTCCTCCTCTATTTGCCTCTTTGTTGCCATGGAAACCCATACTTAAATGAATGAGGTGAGAGCTGTCAGCCAATAAGCAGTGAATGAAAACACTGTTTACTACACTCCACTGTTGCGTGTCTGAAATAGCTGTTGGAAATTAAATCAGGCCACTCATTTATTTTCCAACAAAAAAACATCATACTAATAATTTTATTATAGCATTTTGGATACAATTCAGTATTGTACAGCGGTAAGAAAAATATTCCGAACATCATTAGTTAAAAAATATATACATTTGATTTTTTTTTCTCATTGTTTATTTTTTAGGATTTAATTAAAGAAATCAGTACTGATGGTATAACTATAAGAAGCTCACCATTAAACTATATTTTATTTTATTATTGTTAATGAAGAGGTGTAAAATCCTTGTTAAAGCTTTATACAAATACTTTTACAAGTTCAGTTATTTACAGAATGTATTTTTAAAGTATTATAATCTGTTTCCCTGCTGATCTGAACTGAAGCTAAGCTAGGCTAAAATACATTAGATGCATCATTTTTAGTCACAAAGCTGCAGTTTCACCGTTTACTGCACTTTAGTGTTTTTATTAGCCCAAGAAGATCCAAATTAATTTATAAAAATACAAAAAGTCCCCCCCCGCCCAAAAAAAAAATAAGATAATTGGACCAGAAATGTTAGAGTTCCACAAATTATTGTTTTCACTGTTTAAAATGATTTCTTCCCCAAACTTTGAAAGTAATAAAAGCCACAGGAAGTGACCCGTTTGTGCAGAGGCAGATGGAGATTAGCTGGAGACACAAAAAGTGTAACAAAATATCCAAATGTATTGGAATTGAATGATTTTAGACTAATAACACTTTTGAGTGGAAAAATTACACTCTTGTCACAATTTATTTACCAGGTGTCTTAATTATGTCTTAAATGTTCACATTTTTTTCCCAATTTATTTCATTCTACTTTTGCTGCTCACCAAATGCAGATTCTCTCTTTTTTATGTCTCCAGTCTGCAGCAACTTATTTTCATAGCTCACAAACCCAGTTATGATTAATCAGCTGTATCCAGTTATTCTTACAATTAAAATCTAATCATGCACGTTTCTTATATTTCAGCCCTAAACGTGTAAGATATGTTGAGTAAAAGGAAACTGTACCTTTTTGTGGTTTAATGTGTGAAACGATACTGATGATCTGTAGGAGGATCATTTATCAGTTGGAGAATAAAGCTGTCAAGCATCAGAAGTGTTGAGATAAAATAAAATAAAAGTTATTTTTGATTTTAAAAAATTGACAAAGCTTTTTCTTGTTGCTTTTATTTTGCAGATGAATCCTGCTACGATGCTTTTCAGTTCAAAGAAACCCAAACTGCATAAATAGACTGTCTGCATGTAAGGTCATGCAAGGGGATTGGAGGTAAATCTGTAGGAAAAATAAAATGGCATAGATTTGTAAGAAAATGCAGGAATAGAACATAATTTATTTGTATTTATTTACATATTTATTTACATTGATCATCTCGAGCTGCACAGTGGAGCAGTGGTTAACGTTGTTGCCTTGCAGTCCTGGGTTCAAATCCCAGCCTGGGTTTTTTTCTGCATGGAGTTTGCATGTTCTCCCTGTGCATGTGTGGGTTCTCTCCGGGTATTTCGGCCTCCTCCCACAGTCCAAAATCATGACTGTTAGGTTGTTTGGTCTCTCTAAATTGTCCTTAGGTGTGTGTGTGCGTGATTGTCCTGTGTTGCCCTGTGATGGACTGGCAATCTGTCCAGGGTGTACCCCGCCTGCTTTCCCGGAGACTGCTGGAGATAGGCACCAGCCCCCGCGACCCTGTGAGGATAAGCGGGGAAAGAAAATGGATGGATGGGTTCTTCATCTTAACAGATGTGTGACTGCTGGCTCACAAATGCCACAGAACAAAATCCTTACTGTTTTAACATTAAAAGATTATTGTTTTGTGTATTACAGTCATGCATAGGGTTGCTTTATAGGGAGCCTAAGTCTCCTCCCTTTCCGGTCGGCTCATGGGTCCCCAGAAGAACGAAAAAATGCAAGTCAATGGTGCGAAAAACTCTATTTTCTAATCCGCTTTGCCTTACGCCCTGGATCGCACATATGTAGTACTGCAATTTAAATGAAAAGTAATGATGGGTGTTTCAACCACGCCAGTCACGTACTTTGAGATTTATTAGCTTGTAAAAGTTTGTAATTACCAGGACTACAAACTAGAAATCGGCACGTCCCATATGTGACGTCATCACACAATCTCCTCTTCCCTAACGTAGCTGCTACTTACAACATGACCAGATTTATGGTGGTTCTTTCCTCCTGTGGGAAGTTACAGCGATTTTCCCTCAGTTTTCTCCGTGTCTGGTTCGATGACATCACTTTCGTGAAGCGCATTTGTAGTCCTGGACTTATTTTCACACAAAACCTCAAATACTGTTTCCCCCCGTTCGAAAATAAGCTCGTTCTTGGTATCTAAATGCGTCTTTAAAATTCACGGACATCATACGTGAAATCCATGGCACAAAACAAGCGGAATTAGAAAATAGCGTTTTTAGCCCCGTTGACTTGCATTCATTTTTTCCGTTCTTCGGGGGCCCGTGGTGCAAAGGTAGGTGGGCGTGACTTGGGCTCCCTATGATAATTTACACAACTAAAAGTATGAGAATAAAATAAATAATTAGTTTTGCTGAGAGATGTAACAGATGGTTATTAAATGAAAGAATAGATGAGAAACTCACCAATATGCTGTCCACTTTTGATTGTACAGATTTGCTGGAAAATGAAAAAGAACACAAAATAATTTATTAAAAATACAATTAAAAATTAATTCAATGAAACATATGTAGGTGGTGCCAATTCTCAATGTTAGGTTTCTGTAAAAAACAACAACAAAGCTAATTCATATTAAAGGCAAATTCTTATTAAAAACAGCTGAAAGCCAACAGTTTCAATGGATTATACGTCAACTAGAAAAAAGTTACTCTATATGAGAAAAGCAGCAGGTTGCATCAAATCTTCCCTTCAACAAAATCTTCCATCCTGAGCAAGCACAGGGCAACAGTGGAGAGGAATAACTCAAATTTAACAGGAACAAACTTCTAGAAGATCCAGGATCAGGCCTTGACAACTGCGAATTTAATTATTTATAACTCCCTTTGCTGAAAATATTACATGTCAATAAGAAAAACAGTTATCCTGGCAACATTGAGACTTTTTAATAAGGTTTAACCACTTTCTCACATAATTTAACAAACTTCCTACCTAACGGTAGTATATTTATCGTTTTTCATTTATCAGCCGATATTAGTCCTTAGTAAAGCCAATTTAAAGTCAGGCACATCCTCGGGCAGCCCGGTACTGCTGCAGAATTTAATTTAAATGTATTTTTACAATCACAAATTACATCTGCATAATAAATATATTAAATAAACTTTATTTAAGTGTCTGATTTTAACACTGAGCAGTGAATAAAGTTAAGATTTAACAGTTAGTTAAATTCAGAGTTTTAAAGCAGATTCAGCTACAGAAATGTTGTGCATCAACTGATGTTATTAGTGACATTTCAGCATGAAAACAGGGTGAAAATGTCTATCGACCCATTAAAATTGGCAATACACATCGGCCATCGGCTGACCACACATATCAGCATCAATATTGGCAAGAGAAAAACCACTATCGGTCAACCTCTATTTTATTATATTGCTTTTGAGGTCTTATTTATTGCATTTACTTGTATGACTGCAATGCAATTGATTCTATTCTAACGCACCAAAATAATAAAAAATTTGGTTTAAAATATCTAAAATTGAGTCAAAAAATTCACATTACTACAGATCAGCACCCATCTAATAGGTGAGATTCAAATTAATCTTTCACATTTAAAAAAATATACATTCAGACTAAAAGTCAAAGTTATTTTAGTGCTGTGATGGATGTAGGTCAATATTTTTAATAAAAGACAACAAGAACCAGATGCACCAGCGTGCTCCAGCCTCTCCTGAATCTCACCTGATACCTACCTGACCCCATGCCTGTCTGATCACTATATGTGAATAAATGTGCAGAAAAGGGGCCAAATTTTTATTCTGGGAACTTGAGGTTAACAATCAATATGGTGAGAATAGTCGGCTGAATTATTTAGTGAATGAGGATGAGCCAGTGACAACAAGAGGTGTGTTCTGGTGTGTTTATAACTCCTGAATGACAGAATCTCCATGTGACGCGTGGTCATAATGCAGTGGCATTAATGGTTGCAATCAACATTAGCTCCAGTTTCAGTGACGTTTGTCTGAACAAGAAATTAAATATATAATAAGGTCTGTTTTACCCAAAGTGGACATATTTACTGGGAAATAAATAAGCACAACAAAAGCACAGATTTTACAAACCAAAGCATTCTAATAATGTGCAAAAAGAACAGTAACCAGACTCTGAAACAGCTAAAAACATTTGGCCCAGCCCTCTTCGCCTGTTAGGGTAATTTTCCTCCTGTGAGGTGATTTTGCAAATTTAGAGCATCCAGCTGAAAATGCATTAGGCACACACAAAAGCAGCTACATAACTCCAACACCAGAGATAAAATCATCAAAGCAAAGACCAAAGTAGTGAGAGATTTTATGTACATTTCATTCTGAGAAAATGTATTTGTTTTAAATAGATTGTGTATTTTTCATCAATTTTTTTATCAGACACCATGAGCAGCTTGTTTTGACAGAAATGCTCTCTACATTCACCTGCATGTGATCTATGAGAACATTTTCTAAATGCATAAGGTGCATATCAGAATTCCGCGCCCGCGCGTGTGCTTGACACCTGTCATCCTGAACATCAGCACCACCGGTGGGTTTGGTCTCATCTATTATAACATGGCCTCCTGTGGCTCCATGCTAATGATCGGAACTACTGCTCCTGCCACTAACCCGACGTTACTGTGTTATTAATGCGGCTACACGCACCCAACAGCCTCCTAAGACTTGCCGCGGTCGGACTCTGGTGAAAAATGAGAGGCTGTCTCGAGAACACTCGTGTTATTCTCGGCCGCTTTGTGCAGCCTCCCTTCCAGCTAGTGAAAAGGACAGGCAGCCAACCAGTGTGGCTGCTTCTGCTTCATCCTTACCAAATTGAATTCTTTATTTTGAACTGTAGCGCGTTAGCCTCGGGCCCTTGTAGTCCTGGCACCAGCGCTGGAAGAGAGCCTAATCCCGAGGCAGGCTTCTGACCAGGTTGTTGTTGTTGATCATCAGCCATCGCGATGGAGGGGTTGGTGGGGGAGCTTTAACAAGTAGGCCTCATCCCCCGGCTGTGCGCTGCACCGGACCCACCGCTGCTGCACCGGCTCAGTCAGCTAGGACAGCCCGCTGAATCCAGCACAGAGCATGGCTACAAACACGGTGTTCAGACCCACACGGAACGGAACCCAAAAAAATAAAAGCACAGCCGGGCATACAAAAGGCATTTCGCAGAGGAGTCTCTCCGCTGCCGCAAATAGCACGCCTGCAGCAGCCAGCAGCAGCTACAGACGAGCCGAGCTGCGTCAAGACGCATGTACGCGCCATCGATCAAACCGGAAACGAGGGTAGGGGCTCCTTCAAACTAAAACCTAATCGAAAAGACCACTTTTGAAATAATTAAGAATTGTTCATTTTAAACATAATTTCTAATTGAACTAGATAAATTGCATTTCTTGCAATGTAAGGAATATGTATATGTTTATATACATTATGCATGCATACATACATACATACATACATACATACATACATACATACATACATACATATATACATACATACATACATACATACATACATACATACATACACACATACATACATATGCATGCATATTGTGTAATTAGAATAATTAATATAATTCCATCTTCCTTTTCTCTAAGTATGTGCTGTGGCAAGTGAATTTCCCTACTGTGTTTTCAAATAATTCTATTCTATTCTATTCTATTCTATTCTATTCTATTCTATTCTATTCTATTCTATTTTATTCTATTCTATTCTATTCTATTCCCACCTCAAGAAATACATTCAATACAATGACATACATCTAGTTAATGAGAAGACACGTTTCTTTTATCCACTGAATATTTCCAGTTCTTGAAACACCAAGGTTTTTGTTCACAGTTTATTTAAATAACGTAGTTTTGTTTTCTCCGCAGATGCTTGTAATTGCAACGTTTTAATTTAAAAGTCCTAGGCAGGACATTTTTGTAATGTCATGTCTAACTTGACGTTGTGTACATACTGCAGTTCTATTGTCAACCAGCAGGGGCGCTGCTGCAGGAAGCCGATTGATAAGATAGTGATAATGACGGGTAAACAGCCAGGATGATATCATTTTATCATGGAAACGGACAGCTAACGACTCGATCCCAGTATTAGTGGGCATGTTACTGTTTTTTGATCCATTGACCAGAATCAATATATTTTAACAGCATTCACAGACGGATTGTCCTAAAACTGTCTTTGCTCATCAAACTCCTTCCCCCCACCAGCGTGGAAATCTGATACTCATCGAACAAAACAAAACCAGACTGATTTTAATTAGGACAAGCCGTACTCGATATTGTCAAAACATTCATTGTGTCACAAACCTGACATAAACACGTGTCAAAAATAATGGTATTTTTTTCCCAATTAGACTTGAAATGGTCAAAAATATTCAGCAAACATCGCTTGAAAATAGACGTGTGAAAATTCAAGAGAATGAAGTCACCAGGTCATAAAAACAAGCCCCAAATAAAACGCCTCCACCATGACTTATTTAGCGCTGCCACCTGCTGGTGGAAGCAGGTAATGTTACTCCTGCTGCTCTCTTCATGGTCATCAAACCTTTTAGCAACAGACACACACTGAGAAGGTATTTGTGAATAGACATGTACACCAATGTGAGGTCATACTTCTAAAGATAAGATAAAAATCAACCATAAGTTTTTAAGTTGTTGTACAAAAAGAAGTTTCACTCTGGTGAAATGCTGGAACTATATAAGAAGTATTTCTCATGTAATTACGACTGAGATCTAATTATAAAAGCATGTTTTTGTGCCTCCTGTAGGTTTCTCATCACCTGCCTGAAAAACAGCAACTTCTAGTAAAAAACGAAAGTGACGTAGAGGGAGGGTGGCTACTTACGTGGAGCTGATTTTTCTGGAGGGTGTGTATTTTGGGGGAATTATCAAAACACTTTAAATTGTTTATTTAACTCCGTTTAATAAAATTTTGACATAATCTGATAACATCCTCCTTCAACATATTTTTGTGGACCAGCAAGGGTCCAAACAGTATACAAAAAACCGACCCAAAGCACATTGATTAAATTGGCAATTGATTCGTGATAATTGGGTTTTGTTTGCTATATTATTGTGTATGGTTGTCCAATGAATTTCCTACCATAATATAATAACACTATTTGTTACATTTATGTATGAATCTGGATTAATAAAAAGCAATTTCTTCCCCAGTGATTTAAAAACTGAAATAGATTAATTACACACTGATAAAGTTCAAGGGAGAAACAGCAACAACATTACCTGCTTCCACCAGCAGGGGGCAGCACTAAATCAATCTGGTGGAGGCGTTAAATTCAGGGCTTTTTCTTTTTTTATAACCTGGTGACTTTCTTTTGAATTATCACGTTTATTTACGAGTGTTTTGGACCATTTCAAGACTAAATTGAAAAAATTGCCAATTTTTACATGTTCCTGTTTATGACATATGGAATGTTTTGGGAAAAAGGAGTTTGATGAGCAAAGGCAGTTTTAGGACAATCTATCTGTGAAAGCTGTTAAAATATTCTGATTCTGGTCAATGGATCAAGTAACAGTAACGTGCCTGCTGGTACTGGGATCGATACACGAGCTGAGAGCTTCCCATTTCCATGATAAAATGACATTATCCTGGAATGTAATACACAGTTGTGAAACATGTGGCACCTATATAGTTGGACAATTTGGCAGTTTATGATAGGGTTAACTCAGAGACAGAGCACCACACACACACACACACACACACACACACACACACACACACACACACACACACACACACACACACACACACACACACACACACACACACACACACACACACACACACACACACACAGTCACACAGACATGTTGAAGCCCTAAGATGTCATTTCAACGAGAGCATGCAAAACTCAGTGTGAAGCACGAGGGCGGAAATGTCATAATATGGGGTCACTTCACTGAATTGAAAGTTGAAAAACTTGTTTTCTTTAGCTGCTAAAAAATATAGTTTATAACAGGATATCAGATTTTATTTTATATAAAAGACGAAAGTGATTGGAGTTCCAATGAACGAAAAAACCAACCTTTTTTACTCTCATAGTTTGTTCAACTAGTCATTCATCAGTGGTGTGAGAGAATTTGAGGATTGTTTTGTTTGGGGGGGGGGGGATGTAAATAAAATCAAAAGATGCAAAGTTTCCTTGTTAGTTGATGTTTTCTCACTTTATTTTTGCCCCTCAGTTGCTTCTATTTTGGACTGATTTGCTTGACTGTCAGTCTCATGTCACTTTTGATCTGTCTCACGTCTCCTGCTTGTGTCCTTGCTCATTCCTTTAAACGTCAAGATTCACTCAACACTCCTTTTAGTAAAAGCAACTGCCACTTTTGTGACTTTATTTGTTTACATTTGTAAAGAAATGTGCACTTCAGGGTCACATCTGCTCAGGCTACATGTTATTGTTAGAGAAAAAAAACTTCTCTATGGTTTTATGAGTAACTACCTTTTTAAACAGAAATCTGAAGAACACCTTAAAACACAATCAGATGTTCGTGTAAAATTCATTTAGGTTTTTACCAGTGAAAAAGAATATTGTTTAGTTAAAGCATTTACAGAAATCACATGGACAATATTTTAAGACAATCTTAATTTCAATTTGTTTCACTGTGTTGCCTTGTACTTAAATTTTAGTAACAAATACTATGAAAGTTTTTTAAATGCATTTTTTCACATGTACCAACCCAAATTACCACTAATGACCAAGTAATATTTCAAAATCACTCTAAATAATTAATTTTTATTCCACAGTTTCACCAGTAATCCACATTCTGATTTGTACATGTTCTGTTGTTGGGCTGTTTTCTGATGCCTGACGGGATTAAAACAGTTTAAGGGTAAAAATGTCTGCAAATTATCAACAACAAAAAAACTGAAATCAATTTATTCTGATTTGATTTCTGTTCTGTCCTATTGGAAAAGGTAAATCCATGGTTGTATTTTTAATGGTGAAATTTCTTTCACAGGACATAATTTTAAATATTTGGTGTTAAGAATCACATTGAATTACATGTAAAAATGTCCTTTTGCTGCATCTCAGAAACAAATACTTGACTGATTACAGATCGGTCTCCAGGTCAGCTCTCCTGCAGGTTAGACACCTTGATTATGTGGCTGACCTGTGTGTTTTTCAGGTGTTGGTGAATGTGGGACGGCTGGGTCACTACGGTGAAGAAGTCGGTAAGTCTAGCTCTCACGTGCGCCTACAGCCAGTCCAATCCTCTTACGACCCCCTACTTCCTGCAGCACTCGGGCCAGAAGATGAGATCAGCTGGGTGTGTTCAGGTCTTATCCTGAAGACATTGTAGATCCTCGGCACAGAGTCACGCCAGCAGGTAAACACAAACCTGCTCACCTCTGCTCACAGGTGTGTTTGCTTTTATAGTGCATTCACAAATACATCCCTCAAAAAGTGTTTTTTTACACTTTTGCAAACTTCAGCTAAGTGAAATAGTTAAACTTAGGTGTTTTGGCCAATTTTGAGCAAAGGAAATAAATTAATTTAGTGTTTTTAAGCACAATGTACACAAACATCGGAAGGTAGAATGTGAGATTTCAGATTTTGTTTATAAAATGATACATGAGTGAATTTTGGTGGGAATATTTAAACTAAGAAATATTATTTATTTCACTCTTTTGAGCTTTTCATCAGTTTAGTTTAACATTTCCTAAAATGTCTGTGACATACAGGAGGCCTGGCCCCAGGTGAATCCATCAACTGCTGCATAAAGGCTCTGGGGATCCCCTTGTTGGACATTTCTTTGGCCATTTTCAGCTAAATAAATGGGAACAAATTGTGTTTTTGTGACTGACTGCTGTGACTAAACAATCAGATTTTAAAAAGTTTCTTGAGTTTACAGTCCTTTTAGTCCAAAGATCAGAGTGAAATGATGTAACATTAAAAAAACATTCCTCAAAAAAAAAAAAAAAAAGCAGCCAAAAAAAAAACCTCAAATGAAAACTTAGAAAGACCTCCAGTGAGTCTGAAGAAAGCCTGATCAAGGCCACATTAGGAGAACGCAACGCAAGTCCGACTCATGACTAGGTGATCATGACTTGTGAGCGGTTCTGTTTGTCCGCTTTGCCCTCAGTTCTTATTCTGTACCAAGATGAAACGTGGGAGTCCCAAGCCTTGACGTCACTTGCACAATCTTTTCCAGAGCCAAGTGTGTTTTTTGCAGATCTCATTCCAGGTTCTGTTCCCGCCCACTTCCTAGCATCCAGTGGAAGAAAGGATGGGAAATTCTGACGTCATCAACTTTGGCGCAGCAGGACGGAGGAGCATGCAGACCCTCAGGGTGCCGCGTTTGGTGCCCATGTGTTTGTGCCCTGTAGATGGTGAAATAGATGGTGCGGTGCTGCCCGCCTGTGCTGCACCTGCGTCCCAGCATGCTGATTGATCAGTTTGGTCATGTGGAATGTCACCATCTGCTCCCCAGTCCCTCTCACCCCTTCTTGTGTGAATGCCAATCACTGGCAGGAAGATGGTTATTTAAGCCATGTCAAATCAGGCGCATGACGATGAGCAATGTGCCAAAAACACTCAGACTGTGCTGGAGATATAGCATGGACAACAGCGTGTTTCATACTAAAACTGCAAAAATTCAAGCTTGCAGTTGTTTGTTTGCACATGTTTTAGCTCCTTATTCATTCCCTCTCCATCAACGGCTCTTTTTTAACCCTTAATGGCCAACAGCGTATCGTGGGGGGCATCAGTAGCGACATTCTTCATTGCTGAGCCTCACATCCAGTGACATTTCAACCACAAGAAAAAAAAAGATATGCAAATATGATCTCATTAACATTTGCATTACCTGTTTGGATAATCACACTGCTGACAAGATGGCAATTAACCAAGATTGATGCAAAGTTCAGGGTGAGGGGAGGAAATGAGCTGGCTCCTGGATCAGACATGTTTGTCTTATAAAGGCTCAGTGTGTCAGATAAGTGGACTGATCTCTGTCAGAGGAGAAGGTCACTCACTGGTGCAACTAGATTTTTCCTTCTTTTACTTTTTAAAAAAGGGAAGAAATTCTGAATTCTGTTTTGCATTTTAATGTTTGCATTTTCCTCCTAACGCTCAATTGCACTCAAATAAAAACAAAATCCCAGCACTAGTAAAGACTAGAAATGATGGTGTTGATGAGGACAAAGTAGCTGACCTCCTAACCCAGTTAGCACAGGTAGCATGGACAACAAGGATTAGACTTTGAGTTTAAGGAAGCTGACAGCAGCTCACCTTTGGACGGACTGAAATGGGAGGAGAATCACGTTTGGCACCGCTAGAAGTACGATTCTTGTTTTTGGAACAAAAAGCCAAACATCCTAATTTTACAACTCAATATTACATTTATTTATTTTTTTCTTCCAATCTCCACAATATGAAATTATAAAAACACCAAATAGTTTTTAAAGTTTAAACTTACAGTCATCTCATTAAGACCGTGACAATTAGAAATTCTGGTTAAACATTTAGATTTAAACAAATTCTCTAACAAAAAATCCTAAAAAATATGGAGACATCTGAGAAAGAAACTTTAAAATGAGTAATTATTAATGCATCAAATAAACTAAACTTGCAGAAATGTTTGTTTTTCTTTTTGCGTGTTTTTAAGAATTCATCTGTTATACAGTTGATATCAGACTGACAAGCATTAAAAAGATCATCTACTCCAAAGACAACATTAAATGCATGTTTTATGCTGCAGGTTAGGTTTGTCCAAGTTGTGGCCACCTCGGTATCCAAAATATCTAAATCACCTTTGTGGTTATTTACAAACAAACATGGTGGCTGTTTATAGTCCTACATATTCTGTCATTAAAATCAATTATAGTCCTACATATTCTGTCATTAAAATCAATTATAGTCCTACATATTCTGTCATTAAAATCAATTATAGTCCTACATATTCTGTCATTAAAATCAAGAAAGATAAATTTGACAGGCTGTAAAATCATGATCAAAGCTGAACCAGCAGGAGTTTAAACAACAAGAACAACAAAACATCAAGAATCTGTTTTATTTTTTATTTTTTATAAACGCTGATCCAAGCTTTTACTCATGCAAAAAGTGAATGCATGTCTGAAATAAAAGCATTCCCTGGAGGACTGAACATTTCCACCACCTTAAAACCCAGATCATCAAGGCAAATTTAAGTTTTAAACAGAAATAAATGAAGCGTTCCTGAGTTTGTCCTCATCTCATCAGATCTGCTGTGGGCTTTTGTGTGAATACTGACGTGTCAGTAATGTGTTTCGGATAAACACTTGGATCCTGTCTCAGTGGGAAATGTTTGATTGGATTCTTGTGAGGTTTCTGTCGAGCACGAAGTGTTGCCAGGACAGGGTGTCACACTGTGCCTCTGAGCACCAAGCCAACTGCATCTTCTCCCCTCTCAGATAGAGTTTCTTCATTCATGCAGCTCGTTTGATGCTTGATACAAACATGCTTGTACTCTTATTGTGTAATTTTGCTTCTTCTTTTTTTTTTTTTTTTTAATTTGTTTCTATTTTTGGTAAAAACCAGCTCAGAGGCTGCAGACAGCTGATCTGACCTCAAACAGAAAGAATTACTGTTTTAGGTTAGGGTGTTGGTGTAGACGATCACCCAGACAGACCAGATGACCTCTGAACTGTGCCGTGACACACGTGCCTTCAAATTAAGACTTGATTCTATTTGTAAATGTAGGTCAGACAAGGCTGTAGTATCCCATGTTTACTGGAAACCTCTACCTGTCTAACAGGAGATTATCCTGGTGTCGTCATCACTGCTCAGTGAGCCTTAGGAAGGACTTCTGGACATGATTTGACACCGACAGCGCGAGTTGATGCTTGAAGAAGCGTGTCTAAACACTCATGATGCTTGTGTTTTTGTTCTGTTTTGATTATCTTCCTATGGTCCTAATTTGGGAATTCCCCCATCCTCAAAGATTTGATGTGATGACATTTAACAAGTAAAAACTACAAATGTCATAAAAGCTGAAAATTGCAGCAACATTATGTTTTGATTGCTGGGTTATTCCCTAACTATAAACAACAAAAGAATGCTGATGAGACTGATGCTTGATGCAGATCTTTAAAGTCTCTCTCTCTCTCTCTCTCTCTCTCTCTCTCTCTCTCTCTCTCTCTCTCTCTCTCTCTCTCTCTCTCTCTCTCTCTCTCTCTCTCTCTCTCTCTCGGCCACCCCCTCTCCCTGCAGCCTGAAATGGTCCAGCCCTGATTTGCATAAGTTGTCTGCGGGGTGCTGCATGACCAGCAGGGGTGAGTTAGAGAAGGAGTGCATGTGGACACATGAGCAGAGAGAGAAAGAGACGGACAGAGGAGCTGTGTGTGTGTCTGGAGTGGTGAACTGATCCGGTCAGAGTTATGTTCTGTGCTCATCCTGGATCCGGAACGGGAAACAACCCATCCATGTTCTGCTACAACATGAAACCTGTGAGTATCACTCTTTCAAATTATAAATAAATAAATAATAATAAATCTGCACAGATCAGACCACATGATAGCGTCGGTGAGGAAGCTGTCACTTCATTCTCTTAGATATTGTGTTTATTTATTGTCTTTGCAAATTTTATATCATTTTTTCTAATTTATGAGCAGATTGATAAAAGTTTTTTGCTATTTTGTCAGTTTACTTGTGCTTGTAAGTTTATGAGGTCGTCTACGCAGCACACATAATGTCATTAGTTCATTTGTGTGTTTGACTTGTTTAGTGTAAGAAAGACAAGTAAAAATCTTTATTTTTCAGCTTGTTCATAACTGTAACAATTAAGATTTATAAAAGTTAATGCTAGGTCTAAATTACACGGAAGGATTTAAGTTGAATTTAAAACAAGAACAATGCACACACAAAAAAAATCGACATTTTAAAATAAAAAACTTTCTGCATCAAATTGAACTAATTTATAAAGCTGCTACATACCTCTGGCTTTTAGTTTGAGGCTAAAAAAGCAAAACTTGTGTTAAATTGCCACAGTGAGACTTCCTGTTTGCTCATGTAGTCAAGCCTGGCAGCAGAAAACATCTTGACATGAAGCAGATTGCCTCTATTTCTATTTGATTTAACCCTGCTATGCTGGAGCAGTCCCTCCACCGCTGCAGCCATTATCAAAGGCAGCTTTGATCTCCGACAGGCTAACCATATCCAGACATCGAGTGGATCACAGAGGCAGAAAATTGGTTGCATGTGGTCGGAGTTGGTGGAGCAAAGCGTGGGCCTTGAATAGCAAGTTGATGTTTCACTTATCTCACATCATGATGTTTGTTTACAAAAGAGGAAGAGCTGCTGTTGCTTCTTTTGTAGGATTGTGTGCTCTGTCACTTCCATAAAATAATGATTCAATGTGTTCAGTTTTCTTCTGACTTTCAGTTTGAGCTGTACAGATAAGAATAAAAAGCTAAATCATCATTTGTGATCCCATGATTGATGGCTCTTAAATCAATGCTATGCTAAAGGAGGATGCCATGGAGATGGCCCTTCTTCAGCAGGGGCCAGAGAGGGCGTGCTTGGGCGGGGGTGTGTGACCATTATTAACGGGTCGCCTGCTATGCTGATGGTAAGGAGGACAATTGGCTTTATCCTCTGCCATATGCTGCCCACGGCGGCTCAGACGGGCCCAGAGTCGACGGGGGCTCTTCTGTTTGGCCGAGCCCACAATCACCATGGGACTCGTGCCAGCCAGGGTCACGGCTGCGGGCGTGCGTGTGTGGCTGCAAGTGTGAGCAGGAGTGTGTTTAATAGGCTGCTTTACAGAACTTGTCGTCCGGGTAACTGACACCCCATTGACGCTGCACAGAGAGGTTTATTTTCATTTCCTGGGACACATCAAAGCAGCAGAGAGCTGTGCAGGTGCAGCCCAGGCCTCTCGTGGGTCTGAGCGAGCATCTATCTGTGTTTTCTTACAAACGCAATAAAACACTGAAAATATAAGTTTCAATGATAGTTTATTTAGTTCGATTTTGAGGCAAGCCGTGTTCCAGTCTCCTGAAGCCATGCAGCTGAGCCTGATCGTGATTAGTGCAGGGATTTCTCATGGTGAATGGTTCCTAAATCCGGATGAGGAGGTGCATGGATCTGCAGCTTACGGATTATCACAGTGGCTCTAAGTGTGCTTCAGCTCGCAGCATTCAAACATTCGTGTCAGTCAGATGGTTCTGACGGCTTTAGACATACTTTGTTATCTTATTTATCTTTCCAGGTCTACGGGCAGTCCCCCAGCACCGACAGCATCAACCAGAGCTCATCCTCACAGCCATCAAACAAAACCCCCAACAGTGTGTTTGCAAGCACGTTCTTTGGTGAGTGCAAATCCTCTGATTACATTTATCCTTTCAATGCACGATTTTCTGCTGTCAAACTGTTGGTTAGTGGCAACAAAATTCAAGGTTTTATCTCAGTAAAGAGGAGTCAAACTATTAGACCTGTTAGTTACCCAATCTGAGAACAAGACCAAGATGTAATCCTGAGGTTTAGACATCATTATTGCATTTGCACACATTTCCATTCATGTTTTCCCATTCCCTGTAAATACTCTGCCATCTTTTTAATCCACTCAACACTTTTATATATTACATTTTTTTCTTAAAATGTGTATATATTTAATATTTTGAATCTTCTGTCTTGTGTTTTCTTGATGTTTACTCTTTAAACATGATTCTATTCTACTCTATTACTTAAAAAACCTCAGCCAGGCAGCTCCTGTCATTTGTTTCATCATTCGTTCACACCTTTCTGACACCTTGAGTTGCACAAATGTTGTTTTTTCACAATTTTGTCACATGTAAAATGATGTAAATATAATATTAAATGACCAATGTGGTTAAAAAGTCACAACAAAACAACACAAAATACCTAAAAACAGATAGGATTGTATAAAATAGCTCAGGAACTTCACAATACGAGCTGAAAAGCCACAACTGCGCTCAGGTTAATGAAAAAATGTTTTACTAATCCTAAAGGGAAACTAAATATGATTAAAGAAAAAAAAATCTCAATTAAAGACAATCTAATATAAAGTGGCCATGAAAAGGGGCAACAACCCAGCAAAGATGCAGCTTGGCTGATGCTGTTTGAGATGCAGTTCCACCTCCAGGCAGTAACATTTCCGTCTTCATTTTAGAGGGGATGAGCAATTCGCCTGACATCTGGAATGCTGTAAATGGACTCAACCAGCAAGGCTATGAAGGTGCGCTGGGAGCAGCCATGAGCCACCAGCCTCAGGCGGGGAGCTACAGCAGCCTGCAGCAGACACTCAGTAACCTGGTGGGTCCTCCATCACCCTGGAGGTTTACATCGAAGAGCTTTTTGACCCCGGTGGTTTAAAGCTGTGTGTTTGCTGTTTGTTCAGGACTTCTCTCCACACTCAGTGCTGCCTGCTGACATGAACAGAGGTCTTCCACCAGTGTCCACCTTTCATCGTAACAATCCTCACACTCCGTCAGAAAATTCAACAGGTGAGATTTGCTGCTTTCCACAGTTTGTTATATTTTTATATTGAGTTTACAACAACAACTTTTTATACAGTCTCAGGAAGCCATGGAAATGTGTCTGGAGCATCACAGACGGGCGATACTTTGGGAAAAGCTCTGGCTTCTGTAAGTATGCACCACCTCAGTCTCATTAGAGCAGCTCATCTATGCTGGGTTATGTTCACACAGTCAGGTCAGGACATAAAAGAAGGGCCTCAGAGCCCCAGAGGAACAAAGCAAACCCTCCTCCCTGCCACAGACGGGGCAATGCATATTAAAGAAGGACCACTCTCATGAAGCAAGACACTTTATTGGCTGCAGAGCAGTGAAATGACAAGAATTGATGAGTTCAGTTCGGGTTACAAGGGGAGCTCCGAGGGTTGTGACAGCGGCAGTTAAAGCTCACGCAGAAATGACAAGTTGTGCTTTTAAAATGATCCATTTCTACTCCTTCTCTGTGTCAGATTTATTCACCAGATCACACGAGCAGCAGCTTCGCCTCCAGCTCCTCCACACCGGCAAGGTCTCCCTCCCCACTCCCAAATGCTGCTGAAGCTACAGGTAAACCTGAGTCAAACACGCAGCTCCATCATGCATTTTACATTATGCTTCTAAATGTTCTGACTTTTCTTTATTTATCATCTCAGGTACCAACATGTGGCCTCGCAGTTCAGTTCAGGCACCCGTCTCACCCCCCTACGAGTCCGCTCTCATATCAATGGTAAAGAACTTCCTTTAAGTTTAAGACGATGTTTGAATGACAAGTCCAATGACGTTTTACAAAAAGTCAAATAATCATGTGAAAAAGGAAATAGATCCTAAAATATAAAGCTGGATATAGAAAATCTAAACAGTGATTCTCACATAAACACCATAAATCAGTGTCAGAAGTAACATTAATAAAAAACGATCGCTTGTTAAGATATTTATAGATGCTTTTTTTGCTGTTTAAACTGTTTCATCTGACATTTTCCTTAAATTTAGTTATTGTTAGGAGAAAATGTTCCTTTTGAATCGTCCCAGTGTTTCCAGAGCAAGTTTTCCCTGGATTTGGAGACAAAAAAAAAAAACAGATTTCTACATTCCTTCAAACAAATATAGAACATTAGGAACTAAAGCAACATCTCCCAGTTCTGTTCCAATAAGTACACAATAAAATAGGGATTATGTCTAAGAACAAGGGGTTGTAATGGATTTAAATTCAATCGTTGGAGTAAAGTTTATTGACAGGACTGGCTCTGGGAATAAATGAAAGAATCTGGTTGAACAAATAAAAGCATAATTACAGAGAACTTCCTGTCTGCGGCACCAAAAATGAAAAGAATGTTTTTCAGTCACCCTGAAAATAACTGATTCCCCCGAATGTTAGTGTTCATGCTAAATCTAAAATAATTTACTCATTGGCAGTGGCTTTGTGTAAAAGATGGACAGAGATATCCCGGACAAGCCCCACATACGTTAAATGGGTGCAACAAAGGGGAGGCACATCATAAGTAGAAGAGAACAAACAGTAATTCAAACTGGAGAAAAAGTTCAAATCCATATCAGATGTTTGCATTATGGGATGTGGGGGTCAGTCAGATCCATGGTGTATGAATGAATGAATGAATGTGTATAATGTGTAAAAAAAAACACAAGATTAACATCAGAGGCGATAGAGTGTTGCTGAGAAACACTCCTGTAATACCACCAAGAAAAATACAATGAGCCTATTTCTAAATTTACGGAAGTCGTAATGTTTTTCGTTTGCTTGAACTGGATGCTGAAATGTCTCCTGATGTTTCCAGTCTCAGGTGGAGGACCGCCTGGACAGACTGGACGATGTTATCCATGTTCTGAGGAACCACGCCGTGGGCCCCACAGCCGGGCTGCCCGCTGACATCCACGGCCTGCTGAGCCAGACCCACCACGGCCAGCCGGGCTCCGCCAGTGCTCCGCCACTCACCTGTCACGCTCCAGCCATGGTTAACAAACACTACTTTGAAGTATTTAAAGCATGGCAGGGCAGTGTGCATGGAAATTCCAACGTGTGTCCAGGGTGTTCTGTGTCAGGAATTTTCCACCGGCTATGTGGTGTCTCTGAAATCAGAAACAAGGCACAATGGGGCTAGCGTGGAGTATGTAAAGACTGTAATTCCACAGTGTGTGTGTGTGTGTGTGTGTGTGTGGGGGGGGGGGGGGGGGGGGTGATGAGGACAACAACACTCCCACTCCAACATGATTCCCTGTCAAACAGCCCAGAGGATTTTAACACAGCTGGAGTGGGAGTCTGCAGGGAAAATTGTTTTAGGTCTAATCCTTTGGGGGGGAGAGTGTATTAAATTCTTCCACTCTTAGTTTTTCTCCTAAAATATGTGTCAGATAAAAGTAGATCATTCACAAAAAGAATTAAGGGAACGTTTAAAGATTTTTACATGAGGGATTACTCTGGTCTGAGATTAAATTAATTCTGTTAATCTACTAGTTTCAAACTGAGAGGACAGAGTCGGGTTCTGGGTCTTCTGAGACCCCGATTGGACATGAAAAGTGACTAAGTGAAGATTTAACCACTTTAAGATTAAGACATGGTATCTTCATCTGGATACTCATCAATTAACATGAAGGGAATAATTGTGTTTGTGTCATAAGGCTGATGGCGTCGGTGTGAACAACAACCACTCAGCCTTCCAGAGCCACCCGTACCCGGTCAGACCGAGGGCTGCGCTCCTACAAGGAGGAGGAGGTGAGGTGCTTCCTTCCATCTTGTGGATCAATCTACTTACCTTGTTTATCTTCAGTTTGGAGTTGACTTTTCTGCATGTTTTGTGTGCGGTCTTGTACAGGTGGTTTAGGAGTTCAGGAGGACCTGGAGTTTAAGATGGAAAGCAGAAAAAGAGAGGAGATGATGTACATCAATCACGGTCACAGCTCAGACAGCCCGAGATCAGACGAGGAGAGTGAGCACAAAGGACATGAAGAAAACACTGCAAGGAACAGGTGATGACTCATCCGCTCTTCTTTTTCCAAAGAGGAAACGTCAGACAAGCAACTGACTTTGTTTCCTTGTTTTTATCTGTCTTTACTGTAGCATCCATGAGGATGAAGACCTGAGCCCAGAGCAGAAGGCCGAGCGCGAGCGTGACAGGAGGATGGCCAACAATGCCCGTGAGCGTCTGCGTGTGCGGGACATCAATGAGGCCTTTAAGGAGCTGGGTCACATGTGTCAGCTGCACCTGAAGAGTGAGAAACCGCAGACCAAACTTCTGGTGCTGCACCAGGCCGTAGCTGTGATCCTGAGCCTGGAGCAACAGGTCAGAGGTCAGTGCATCATCAGATTATCCTCTGGGATAATGCCACCTTACAGGGAGATGACAGGATCAACCACATCTCCAACATTAGTCAAAGACTTTCAATTAACTTTTTCTAAATAGGGATTTTGCCTCCTTTTGCAGAAGTTGAAGCAAATGTGACCACATGATGGCAGCATAGTAAGCTGTAAATAACAACATGGTCACATGAGTAAAACACACTTTGTGCAGAGCGCTGACATTAAAGAATAATACAAAATTGAGCATGAACATTTGATTTTAGAGCTACTTGTGCCCTACAACAGCCAAAAAAGCAGAGCAAAGGAGACAAAAAATGTGTTTTAATTGCATTTTAAACATTTGTTGATGAAAACGACCCATGTGCTTGCACGTTAGATGTCCGAAACAATTCCTTTAGCAATGTGCCGACTTTGAATTTGCTGCATCCTGCAGAGAGAAACCTGAACCCCAAGGCTGCGTGTCTGCGGAGAAGAGAGGAAGAGAAGGCCTCCGCCATTATGAATGATCCACAGTCTGTGCATCTGGCTTTTCATCCTGGCCTGACTGAACCGTCTAACCCCATGGGCCACCAGAGCATCGGACTCTGAAGGTTTGTCACTGAAGTTTGTTTTCATCACAGTTTTATGTCAACGATCTGTTCAAATGATCTCAATCCAGGATATTATAAGGAAAACAGTTTTTAAACTTCAGCGCCTTGAATTAATGATGAAAACAGGATATTGTTAAGTTTTATTGCCATTATTTGTGACGCTGTGTTTCTTTGGTGTCCAGATGCTGAATGAAGACCATGCAGGAAAGCCCAGCTCTGACAGCTGTTCAGAGTTTTCTGTAAATTCAAACCAAGCAGACTTCACTGAACAGACCAGAATGATGCAGTTAAACAATCATTTCATCTTCTTCCAAATGGACTTTAACTCTGTGCCTAAAACTTTACCTGTAAAACAGACAAACGCATTGTAAACTGCAAATGTTTTGTACATATTTTGCTGATTTATTTATTTGTCTGTCTCAGCTGATCAGAATAAACGAGCTCTGGTGGTTTTCATCTGCAGCCTGAGAGCAGCAGATGCCGACGGGTTTGTGACGGAACATTTCTGCGGGTCACACACTTTTCCACTGAGCTCCGATTCGTGTTTTCAGACAACATATTTATTTTTATCTGCGGTGTGCGTGAGTGTGTGTAAATATCGCAGGGGTTTGAACATTCTGTGAATGAACAGATCTCCAAGAATGTTCTTTAACAAATCTTTTCCAAAGCGTTTTATTTAATGTTGTTAATTCACTACTGACATGATCTCTGGTGGACAGAATTTCTTCTTCTCTGTGTATTTATTCCTCCTCAAAGGTACATTGTTGGTGCATGTTTGAACTTTTAATAGAAATTCTCTTTTTTTAATAATAGTTTATCTTTTATACAAATATTGTGAATTTAATACTTTTTTCTCTTTTTTGTGTGTTGTTTATTTCACTCATAAGGACTGTTTTGTGACGTTTAGTAGATGTAACTGCAATTTCTTCTCTGAGCAATATGATGTCATAGATCATACCACCAAACACGTAATCATTAAACACAACGCCAGTTTGACAAACTCCTGCTACGAGATGTAATATATGTGTACAGTTTGAAGGAAAGGCATGAGTCAACAATGAGGCAATAAATGTCTTTTTCCAAGTCATTTCTGTTTCATCCCAGAGATTTAAAACGATCAGGTACAGATAATGTGCTTTGCATTCATAATACAGTCAGAGTTTGTACAGAACCTTTGAAATCCATGAAATCTCAGCCTATTTTCAGAATACACAACATTCGATCATAAAAGATAAACAGAAAGCTGGAATTTTCAGGAAAAAAGCTCTTGACAACACATTATATGTTCGGCAGCTTTCAGTTATTCAGAAGCAGAATGTTTGAGGTTTTTTTTTAAATAAAAGAAATGCTGGAATAACAATAAAGCAAAACAAAACATATAAAAATACACATATGTACACACACAGTTGCTCATTACACAGTTTGCAACGTTTTAACTCTTTAAAGCCGGATACATGAAATAACGACCAGAAAATTTACTTTTTCTAAATATTAATCTATTTATAGGCTAGTATAAATAAACCTATGTCAAAATTATTCAACAAATATGAGGCAAATATATAATCTTTCAATTGTAAATTAATGTAAGGACATTTAACTCCTGCAGTACTTAGATCTTCTATAAGGAGGTAGAACACTTGTGCAGGATTTAGTGGAGCAGAAGTTAGGAAAGTACTAATCCTGATAAAAGGCAAATGTGCAGCAAATATGACGTTAAAAATACAGATTTGTATTTGAGATCTGAAGAAAAAACGTAATTTACTTGTTTTTATTCACTTACACGGATACTAACCAACCACTAGGGCAAACGCTGCTCAGAAAGAACAAAAACTATTTAAAATATTTTTCATATATTGCTTTGGAGCCTGTTTATAAAGGATTTTAGTGCAACAGTAATATAAATAATTAAAAAATAATAACGACATTTCTGTTATTTGTGTTTTAATTATATTTTGTGTTGAGCACTTTATTTTACTTTGTTATATGTGTGTGAAACTCAAGTTTGATGGGAAACCGGATGACAAAAATCTAGAGGTTGTTTTGTAGATATTTACATGATTAGTGATCAATCATGAATACAGAGTGACTTATAAATCTCCATTTTTTTTTATCTTTGCATATGGATCCTGGCTGTTTGTAAGCAACAACAACAACAACAACAACAACATAAGTGCATAGACCAGTCGGGGGACGCATTGATTTTCTGTTTGATCATATTTACTTGTCACTGGATGGAAATTAGATTTACATGCTTAACTCACGGTGACGTAATCATGGGTGGTCACGTGACCAGGCGGAGCAGCGTGAGCGCTCCTGAGCGGGGCCGGGCGATCGCCGCTGCCCGCTCACAGACCAGTCCGCTCGTTCAGAGGAAGAGGACTCAACCCCGCTCACCGGATACGCAACAGTCGGTAAGTTTCTCAGCGATTGCGAACAACATCTGCTCAAAGTAGCAGAATCATTCGAAACGCCACATCTGGAGCGGATAGGAAAGGGCAACTTTTACGGATTTAAACTATTTTTAAAAAGTTGATGCTTAATTTTCCACTTCCTTCTACAGTTAGACGATCACTGCGCCTCATAAACGATCTTATCTTTTGTGGGAGCATTTTTGTTGTTGTAAAATTAAATTTATATTAGAATTAAAAAATAATCAGTGGATGCTCTTAACTAGGAGTTCTGACACCTGAAAGCAAATATACACAAAGATACCGTAGACCTGAAGGTTTTGTGAGTTTTATTGGTGTGAAAATTAAAAATAATTTGCCATAATGCAGGGGTGTCCAGACCTCTTAGGGCCAACATTGTCATGGAGGCAGGACCCCATGCACCAGGGACAAAATTACATATTTTTTCTTAATTGAAAAATAATTCAAAGATATTTTATTGAGATATTTTCACTCGTGCAACTGAAACATAGGCCTCAAATTAGAAAAAATAAACCGTTAAAAAGTGTAGATTCAAATTTAAAGGGAATTCCATCCATGCAGAAATGAAATTAGGGGCTGAACAAAATCACTCAGTGGGTTGCAACTGGCCCATGTAAATGAACAAGGACCATCTGTGTCCATCATTTAGTGTTTTTACTGCAGCATGCGTTTGAAAGACAAGTTCATTTATAGTCAAGATGTAAACTTTCCAATTAGTCTCCATTCTGGTTCGCCACTTTGCAGCACTAAAAAATAATTAAAAAGGAACTATTGAGGATTTCCCCAGCAGCAAATAGAACTAAATACAACATTTGCAAGAATACCCAGTCTATTAAACATTTGTTCCTGGTTTGAAGGAAAGAAAATGTTAATAACCACATAAATGAGAATAAAAATGTCTATGATCTTTAGTTTGGGTGTGTTTTTTTTAAATGTTTCTATTTTCAGCCTTTATTTTATTAGTTTTTTTCGTCTTTGTTTATTCTATTACATTTCTTTTCTCCTTTTCCTGCAACCAATCCTTTTTACTGTGTCATCAGTCGCCCTTATTATGCCTCCAGATTACCATCAACACACCCTTCCTTGCTGATAACTACATTACTTATGTCTTTACCTCCTGCCTTTTTCTTTCTTGGCTCCAATAATAACTCTGATTTGTGCTTTTCTGCCTGTTTTGTGCTGTGTTTAGGTCCTCGTCTCGCTGTGGACTGTCACAGGACGGGGCTCTTGACATGATACGTTATTGTTAGCTACACAACACCTCTTGTGTTGGGTTGTGTCTGCCTCATAGTAGTGTATTTGTTGACAAGCATTTTCCTCAAGTACTAAACCATGAAGTGGGTGACGACACCTCAGTGTCTTCGGCCAGTTGCGATCGTCATGCCGTTGCTTCAGCTTGAGCTGTACAATAGTGCCCTGTCATTAGTACACAGAAGGAGCTGTTTCCATGCAGCAATATCATCCGCAGCACTCGCTTATTCTGTCTTCATGGCTGCAGCTGTGAGTGGAGCTCCCAGGATGTGTCAGCGTGCTCCAGTGTTTTGTAAACAGTTTGTTTACTATCATCAGTACTACGTTTTCAGTTCACTCTCCCATGCAAGACCAAACAGCTTCCATTTACCTTCTGTATTTGTGTTTTTGGTAGATTACTGGTGAATCCATCAGGGACCGAGGCGAGATGGAGTCTCACGGGCTGAGCGCCTCCCTGGATGTCAAGAGGGGCTACGTGCTGCAGCACAGTCCCAGAGGCAGCCAGGATGGCCTGTTTGGAGTCAGGGTGCAGGTTCAGGGCATCAAAGGTCAACCTTTTGTGGTTCTGAACAGTTCTAGCCAGGACAGCCACAAGGACATCTCTGTCATTACTCACCAGGCAGGGTACAACCCAGGAATGGTGAGAAGGTCTGTGGATGAAAGACAGTCTCCATCTGAGACTCAGAGGACTGCAAACTCCTCCGGCTTTTATTATCAGAAACCAACAGGGGGCCCAAGACCGTATGACCCTGAAAGTAATGACATTGTCTTTGGTTCCACTCCTCAAAATGCCAAACCCAGGATCCCTCTGCCTGCCGAGGGTCCAGCTGTAGACTCAGCTGACGTGACGCCTCCCTCAGATGAACACGGTTCTCCACAGTTCCCCAGCTCAGTGGACACAGACTCCATCATGTCTGTCGGTAAGTTAATAAGCCAGTTTAACAGCAGCCTGCGGAGAGGAAGAGGACCAAGGAACAGACTGGACCCAGAAGCTTGTCGGCGGTCTCACAGTGTGGACAATAGATCTTCAGACTCGTCCTCCCCGTCTCCATCTTCTAGCAGAGCCTCCTCTCTGATAGGCATCAGGGGAGAAACCTCCAGTGGGATTTATCCTCCTGGCTCAGCCAGAGCACAACTCCTTACAGGAATATCCCCTTCGAGAAACAAATTGGAGGGGAACGAGGCCAGAACACAATACAGCAAAGAGTCTGTGTCTCCAAAAGTAGAGAAACCCTCAGTTCTCAGGCTGCGTGGAGAAAAACCAGATGGATCTGATGAAAGAGACACACAGGTAGAGTTCTGCTTCGGTCCAAAGTCATCTTTGATCAGGTTATATTATATTCGTTATATGTTTTCTAACCAGGTAACTCCTGATCTTCTGAAAGGACAGCAAGAGCTCTCAGTAGATCCGCCTGAAGATACGACAAAGCAAATACTGATCAAGTACCTGAAGAATGGGTAAGAATTTCAAATATGACAGCACTAGAATGAGTGAAAGGAGCTGTGTTATTGTTCAGAGGACAAGCTGGGTCACACACACTCTAACATGAGCATTTATGACATTGTGCTAACAGCTGTAAAATACACGAGCAGCATCTCTAAAGCTCACTGAATGACATGTTAGATGTTGTTGTTCAATATGTGTCAAAAACCAGTGAATAAATGAAAACATGCTGACACTGAGGGTTATTTCAGGGTATTTTAAACAAACAAAACTTATCCTGTGTCTTAGAAAGATTATCTCATTGGTTCTAGCTGTCAGAGCCTAAAAGTCCTCCCATTTTCAGCTGTTAAAGTCTGACGGCAAAAATTTTATGTTTGAAAAAGAAAAAAAACTCCACATTTCTGCTTCAACTCACCTGTGAAACACGGCAGGGTTAGAACTATGGTTTGGGCTTGTGGCATTGACCTCTGGTATGGGAAAAGTGGGTTATGGGAAAATAACCTAATTCCTTATAAGGATGACATCCATAGTGTTTTAATGCACCTTTTCTAGTGATGAGTTTGAATTTGTGGCTGTCCCAGCTGTGTGTACTTATGTGCACAGTAGTCAGGAATGCAGAGCATGAACATTTTTTTTACTGATAATAAAAAAGTAAAAAACTACCTGGCTGCTTTGTGCCAGTTTGATAAAAACAAAAGCTAAATCATTATTTTCTGCTGTGACGCAGGTCAAAGTGAAAGAAGCAGCTCCACTAGAGTCTCCACAGTGTCACTGTGTTTGTAAATCATTGTTTTGCCTCTCAGGACAACAGACGATGACTCCACCACCGAAAGAAAAGTCAAACTGCTGCTTGAAAAGATCAGCAAGCTGAAGTGGAGGACTGCTGAGAGTGTGGAGGAGGAGGAGAAAGTGAGAGGTTTAATCAGCGCTGAATCAAGTCATTTGTCTGACTCCTGATAACATTGTGTTTTGGGATGTCCGTTTGGCTTTTTTGCAGAACCATGCAGCAGAGACGATGCTCCTGCAGGAGAAACAGGCAGCTCTGGAGAGAGAAGTGTGCCAGTTAAAACAAAAACTGGAAATTGAGATTAAGGTGTGGCACAAAACTCAGTTTATGCTCCTTCACCTCTAACAGCTAGTTCCTGTAACGGATTGTGATATAGTTTTTTGTTTACTGTGCAGAATGAGATGATTTTAGCCAAGGCCTTTGAAAAAGCCAGGACTGATAAGAAGAAACTCCAGGAGGATTTGACCAAAAGTCAGACAGAACTCTGCAACCTGAGACACAAACTGGCTGATCTTGAGGCAGAACTCCGGTCCACCCAACAGGAGTAAGGATGTGCTGCATTTTTACTCATTTTCTGTTCAGTTCATGCTCCTGATCAGGACATGTTGTGGTCAGAGATGAGCAAAGTGGATTAAACAGAGGACTAAAGGCGGAGGGCCAAGAATTTAAAAAATGTACAGCAGATGAACGCTATCTGGAAGTAAAGGCTGCGATTAACAAAGTCTCTCATATTTAAAATATGAAGGTTCTCTACTGATCTTCCTGTCTTCCTCATCTCTTGAGTTTAGAGCTTTGCTTGAATGATTCATAGGTCGAAGTTGAGTGACTAAAAGAAAAGACATTTCTCTGAAAGTAGTCAATTGCTGGACAAAAATGAGCGGAAGAGCATTCAAAGTCTGAAGAAAAACTTTGAAAGTTTTCCAAAAACATTGTTGACCAATGCCATACTAAAAGATTTACATGACTGCATGGAATAAAAACATAAAGGAGTGTGGGTCATTTAAAGAGCACATATTATGCTAAACTCACCCCTACATCTTCTTGTTCTGCCATGATGGTATCTATTGCTTCTATAAACACTCCAAATAATAAAAAAAAAACCTGCCCATTTGTTTAGAGTCAGTGTTCAGTTTTAGGATTTATGTGCCTAAAACATGTTTCAAAAAGTGCCTTTTTGTGATGTCACAAAAGGGGAAATTAGCCAAGAATCACCTCTCACATGTAAGAGAGAGCTTCTACTGGAGGAGCTGAGCTCCACTCCAAGCTCCTCCTAGATAGCAATGTTTCTCAGTTCAAACCAGGGACAGGTGGGCGTAACCAGTTCCAGCTTGTTTTCATAAAGTGACAGAGCCCTGAAACGACTCATTCTGGAAGGTACTGAAAATATCAAGAATAAAATGACTGAAACTGCTTTATGCAAGAGCGCTGTTAATCAAAGAACTTAATAAACGTGTTTTCTATTGACCTGTAGAATTATAACTTAAGAAAAGAGTCACAATATGTCCCTTTAAAAGTTTCACACAGTTCTGTAAAAATAAAATTAAAAATCATACGTCTCATCTCAGTGCTTCAATCCACAGCCTGCCCTGATGTGCTTTAGTCATTCAGGTGAAGTGTGATGGCGAAAATATTTTCTTTTAGTGCTTTTAATGTATTTATATAACTTAAAATCAAAACACACGTTTCCTGTTCCTGTGTCGTGTTGTCAGAGTGAACCAGACGAGAACGGAGAGAGAGCGATCTAAAGCTGAGATGAAAGACCTCCAGCTGCAGCTCTCTGAGATGCATGATGAGCTGGACCAAGCCAAGGGAGCAGAAGTGATCAACACAGAGAAAGAAGTTCTTCTGAAGGTAAAGTAGAACCTCGTGAACCCAAAACTGTACAGATTTGACCAAAACCCTGACTCTTTTTGTTTGATGGGTGTTTGTCAGGATTTGGCACAGCTCCGCGTGGATTTTCAGGAGCTCCTACAAGCTAAGGAGGAACAGGAGGAGGTCCTGCAGCACACAGAAAGAGAGTTCAGTGCCCTGAAGGGGGAGCTCAGAGAGGAGGTGGAGACTCACGATAAATATATGGCAGCTTTGAAGGAGGAATATGAGCAAGAGCTGGGCAAGCTACTAAGAGATTTAGAGCTGGCTAAGGAGGTAAATAAAGATATTCGTCCTTTAAAACAGTTTTAATGTGATTTTTATAAACTTTGATCATCTTTATGCTGTCCTGTAGAGCAATGCTCAACTGGGTCAGGAGAAGGCCGAGGCAAAACAGGAGAGAGGTGCAACAAAGGCGCAGATGAAGGAGCTGATCCAGGAGCGGGATCATCTGAAAGGAAAAATCCGAGAACTGAACAGTAAGGTGGATCAACTAAACCAGACCATCCAGGAGCTGAAAACCACAGAGAGGCTGGTGGAACAGAGAGCAAAGCAGCTGGAGGTGAGGAGAACATAGAGACTCAAACACCTGAAATGGTTATATTTCACAGGCTGTGATCAGTGTTGTTGTTCAGAGGGAAAAGCTCCAGGTGGAGGAAAGTCTGAAGGGTGTAAGGAGAAACGAGGAGGAGATGAGTCAGTCTAACCAGTCTCTGCTTTCTCGCCTAGAGGATGTACAGGTAACGCATACCTGTTCAGAATCACATGACATCCAGACGTGGAATGGCAGCTCTAATGGATTCTTTTGCTTTATGTTAAAAGAGTAAGATGACCAAACTAAACCATGAGCACAGGGAGTTAAAAGAGAAGCTGAAGGAGGAGAGGAAACAAATGGAAGAGCTGTGGAAGACCAAGGCAGAGCTGGAGGATGAGAGGAGGATGCAGGATAGAGCTATGGAGCAACTGCAGAGGAAGGTAGGAGGTGGAAACCTGCTGCTTTAAGGTCAAATCTTGCTTAAATCCAGAACCAGATGAGGTTCTGTTTTCCTAAGCATAGGGTCACGTGAGGTGAGGCAATGATTTGTGTGTTTACTGACTTTTAAAAGATGTCCACTTATCTGAGCTGTGTGCTTATCTTCCTGCTCAGATGAATAACATCATGGAGGAGTGTGAGGCCTCCACAGATGTTCTTCAGAACCAGGTTGATGAGGCCAGAGAGAGGAGTCAGAGGGAGTTGGCTGAGCTGCGGAGACAGCTGCAGGAAAAGGGCGCAGAGCTGGAGAAATCCAGAGCGACGGCCCAAAAGCTGCAGGAAGAGGTGTGGTGCTCTGTCTCTGATTCAGCAAACTGGAGATTCAGCTGCTTTCGTAGCCAATAAAAGCAAAAGTCAGCAACATGTTCAGAATTTAACTTCAACTTTTCTGACTCTCATCTGCAGCTGGAAACTCATTTGAAACATGTTTTACCTTAATGGCTATTTTTACCACTGGTCTGTTCTCCGGCCAGCTCCTTCCTCTGGTGGAGGATCTGCAGAGGTGTCGCAGGGAGCAGCAGGAGGCCCAGATGAGGAGCCAACAGCTGGAGCAGAGGGTGGAGGAGCTGGAAGAAAGGAACGCCACCTCGCAGGAGGATCGAGAGCGGCAGGTCAAACTCCTAGAGGTAAAGATTTACTCAAAACTCCCCAAAAATATCCGCATATGAACCAGAATTAGGATCCTTTAAAGTCATAAGTCACATTAAAGTCTTTCCCCTAATAACCGTAACAACCACAATATCACACATATCCTGTAGAATCTAAGATTTCCTGTTAAGATTAAAATGTTCCCAAAAACGGTATGAAGAGCTGGTTTTGGTTCGGTGAACAAGCAGAAGGTTTACCTCAGTATTTTAAAACTCAACAAAGGAAAAAGCTCAAAGTGAAACCTGGAGTTTATCTCATATTTGTGCTTTTCACAGCTCATTTCTTCTGTTTCCACCACTGAAAAGAAACACAAACTAAAACAGAAAAACACTTTTAGACATTAATTTACATAAATACACTTCTATAGATTTATTATCAGCTGTGGTTCAGAATTAATTGTTTTTTTTTGTATAAGAAGAAAATATGTTTAATTTTCTCTTAATTATATATTATATATATGGTGTCCAGCAACATTTTTTAATTTATTTTATTTTATATACTTTTTGGGTAGTTTTAAAACGTTTAAAAAAAAAAAAAATATATATATATATATATATATATATATATATATATATATTACTTTGCTGTGATGAAAATATTTGAGTAAGACAATGAAAATGATTTAAATAAGTACTAAAAAATACCAGTTTGTATTTTAGAGTAATTTTTAACCACTCTTATGTGTATTTTTAAATTAATCATACAATATATAAGCTGCATTAGTGAAAATGAAGTGCTGGTTTCTGTGACCTCTGACCCACTCGCTGCAGAGCTGTTTGTCCTACTGATGACAAAAAGTTACTGTGAGCACACTCAGTGTTGACACTGCCTATCAGCTGAGGAAGCTTGTGTTTACTGTAACAAGCTATCGGACCATCTCACAGCCCCCCCCCCCGTGCACGCACACACACACACACACACACACACACACACACACACACACACACACACACACCTCTGGTTACCTTTGCCAAACACTCACTGCTGCAGAGAATCTGCATAATAAATCTTTGGTAACGGTGTTATCAGTGATGTTCCTCTCTTCTCAGGAGCGAATGCATCACCTGGAGGAAGATCTGAACGATGAGCACAGCAGTGCTGACCGCCTGATGGAGCGTTTAGACAAAACCAAAGAGCAGGTGAGGTTTATTTCTCCTGTGACCTTAAAAAAATATCAGTGATATCATTTGTCGTCCTCCTCCACCATGAAGACTCAGCCCTTCATCTGTTTTTATTATAAACACATGTACAGCTGGGTTCTCATGTTTCTTCTCTGGTCATGAAAACTGCTGATCAGTGGACCCGTTCTGCCTGTGAAGATTTTTACTTATTTGCTCTGTCAGAGCTCACTTTAACAGACGTGATATAATCTTCATTTATGCCATCACATCTTTGGTGCGCATGTGAAGTAGGACGTTGTGCTTTGGAGTGAAGCCCCTGCAGACTATTTGACAGTTTTGGGTGGAGGGTAGAAGGAGGAAACGCCCTTCTCTAGGCCTCTAGATGTTTATCGTTAGTAACGAGAGTTCATAGATCTGATGCTTCCCACATTTCCTCTGAGCTTCAGATTCACATTGAACACGTGTGTCATGTTTTTGTCTTTTTTAATAACATCTCACGGTACTTTGGTCAACACTGATGTTTGAAAAACACTTGATAGTCTTATGTTCAGATCTGTAGGTAAGCACTGATAATGTCTCAGTGTCATTGTGTCTGAACTCATGTTCTACTGTGCATTGCTGTGTATTATCATGCGTTACTATGTGTTACTGTGAGCTATCATGTGTTACCACGTGTTACCTTGTGTATTTGTTACCATGCATTATTATATGTTACCATGAGTTACCACGTGTTACCATATAGTACCACCTGGTACCGAACCATACCATGTGCGACCATGTGTGTGTTGCAGATGGATCAGATGAGGAGTGAACTGCTGCAGGAGCGAGCGACTAGGCAGGACCTGGAGTGTGACAAGATGAGCCTGGAGAGACAGGTAATGATCCGAGTCCTTGCACCGCCACGCTGGACAATTAAACAAATAACGAGGGATTGAGATTAAAGCTGCTACAACAAATTTGGAAAAAAAATAGCTTAAAATTTTTTTCGTGCATCTAAACAACATTCCAACATAGTATAGGTATAAATATGTTGAGGAAATAAAAATAAATGAATAAAAATTTAAGTGATTCTCTTGCATTTGTCTTAAAAACCTCTGCCAACACCTTTCAGACCAAAAGCAACTATCGGTTGTTGGACTATTTTCGATCTTGCTGAACCACCTCACTTCCCTGGGTCCTTTATTCATTACGCACTTGCATATTTAGCAACAATCCACTGCTGGTGTGAGAATTTTGTGGCTCAGTAATATCAGAGAAGGAGAAGCAGTTGGCTGCTACCACTCCAACTTTAGGACAAACTACCAGAGTCCCAAAAAGAAACTCACCATTTTAAGTTACAGACAACTAAAGATGTTTGGATCTAGAAAACAGGGTTTTTGCACTATCTTGTTTCCTCTGACAATATGGGTTTCCGATTCTGGCTGAAGCATCTCAGGGAAGTTACCCGAGGAGAGGAGTGAGTGTTCCTTTACCGCATTTGCGTTTAAAACTTGGATTGTTTGCAGATTCGCTATAGCAACTTTAACTCTCGGTTTACAAGAAAAGAAATCTGAGCTATTTGGGATTTGCACATGCTCTTCCTGCAGAATGGATCTAGGTAGCTTTTCTATAAATAAAAAGAAGACAACAAACCATCTTGCCAAAGTCAGGCCAAGGAATTCCTTTTTGGAAGAAAAAACAGCTTAAAGAGATATTCCACCCCTAAGTGAAATTTTGTCTATTTCTGTTTTCCCGAGTTAGATAAGTGAAAAAACAGCGTTTTGTAACCAGCGCAGTAATTCTCCTGGTCTAGCAGCAGTCCATCCGCTTTAGCTTAGCATAAACAATGGAAGTGAATAGCAGAAACTAGCATTTTGTTTGCAAAAGTGATTATAATTACTCAATAATGATACCAATTATTCCTGGTGAGCTCAGTAATCATGTTGACTGCAAATGAAAAGTAAAAAGTAACACGAAGTATTTCCAGGAGCCGATTTAGATTTGGGACTACATTACGACAAAGCACCACTGTAAGCCGCCGCTGCGTGGCGCGTGGATATAACACAGCGTTCGAAAAAGACAGACTGCTGCTGGACCAGAATTACTGCTCTGATTACAAAATGCTTTTTTCTCACTAATCTAACTCTGGGGAATACGGAGATTGACAAAATTTAACTTAGGGGTGGAATAGCCCTTTAAATCTTCAGAGATCAAAATGAAACAATAATATACTTAAAAAAACAAGTGTGAGAAACATTATTACACTTCTATAACAAAACAACTTTACTTCAGCTTTCACGCAGGACTAATTTTTCCTAAAGGGACAGAGAAAATGAGACGAATCAAGCTAACAGCTAATCTAACTGCGGCTAATCTGAATTCAGTCATCAAAAACAAGCCAGACCTTTAAAACTTCATAGCAGCTCGAATAAATGTTGCATCAGAATCCACTGATTATTTACATTAGACACTGTCTTTGTGGTTCCATTGTTCTTTTTGCACGTCTCAAACCTGAATGTACCATCAAAACATGTTTGTGGATTTAAACTTTGTGATTTTTGGGAATAATCTCGTTAAAAGATGAAGCGTGTCTTTTAATTGTAGACATGGGATGAGTCAACTTTTAAAATCTCGTCTGGTGGAACAGGTTGCTTAATATTGATCATTTTCATGTTTATTGTTTTTACTTTCAGAATGTGTCCTTCAGATTAGCACTAATTAACACCTATTCAGTCAACCTTTAAATGGAAACCTTCAGTCTTTGTATTAACAATAATTAAAAGACAAAACTTCCAACTCATGTTTCCTGCGTCAGAATAAAGACCTGAAGAGCAGAGTGATTCACCTAGAAGGATCACAGAGAACAAATCAAGACGCGTTCATCTCCAAACTAAACTGCCGGATCCAGGAGCTGGAGGAGAGGCTGCAAGGAGAGGAGAGGTGATCTTCTAAAAGGTCTGAGACATCACCTACAGGAAGCTGCAGCAGGGACGTAATCTCTCTGTGCTTTGGCTCGTAGGGACAACAACAACATGCAACAAGCAAACCGAAAGCTGGAGCGCAAACTGAAGGAGATGAAGATGCAGACGGATGAGGAACATGCCAACCTGCAGAGCCAGACAGAACAGGTAGGAGCGTCTGAGAACGCAACGTGAAAACCCCAAAACCAGAAGAGAAGACTCATATGGTCATGTCTCTCTTTGCAGCTGAGCCAGAGGCTGAAGACGGCAAAGAGACAAATGGACGAGGCAGAGGAGGAGATCGAGCGTCTGGAGCATGTTAAGAAGAAGATGCAGAGAGATCTGGATGAGCAGATTGAGGCTAACGAGCAGCTTCATGTGCAGCTGAGTTCCCTGAGGAACGAGATGAGGTGATGTTCTGACTTTAAAATACTCCAACACCAAATCACGTTGTTGTGGCACTTTTGTACTTTATTTATTATCTATTTATATGAACAGACGTAAGAAGAAGTCACCGGCCATCATCAAAGTTCTGGAGGACAGTTTGAACGACGTGGACGACGTTGGCTCCGATTGATGTGACAAAAAGTGAAAAACTTAAATAAAGGAGCACATATTCTGGACTCCATCAGCCCATGTTGAATGTGAGGAAATCTTAACATGATTCAGCTCAGTTAACAATTTTTCATTCTGCCTCTACAACTCAGTTGCTGCCCTCTTGTGGAGACATTTATATCTACAAATATAAAGTACATTTATTTACTGATATTTTTTTAACTAATATACTTCTGTGAGGGAACTTAGAATTCTTGCAGCTACTAAAATACATTTTTAAACATTTTCCAGAGTGTGAACACCTCCTGATTGTCATGAAGCTACAATAAAAGCACTTATATCTGACATTTCTGCAGATTTGACTTCATTTCCTAGCAGACACAGCACATATTAACATTTATATTTTACAGTGAGTCCAATAGGAAGCTGCGTATTTGTCCATTTTCCTCTTTGGCATATTTGGCATCAACTTTCTAAAGTGAGAGTTGTTGAAACGGATCAATAGTCTGTGCTGAGTGGCTGCAGGCCAGGCAGCAGAGGTGGAGATTTGACTCCAGAGGTTCTCGCTGCTGGACGGGTGTCAGTTTTTACCACTGAGCTACGACCCAAGAGAAACATGAGGCAACACTGTGCCCTCAAACATGGAATATTCAAAGAATTCCTGGCAGAATTCCTTGGGACTTTTGTCTTGGTTGTAAGTGTGATTTTTGTTTTTAAATCAAAAACAACATGGAAACGTTGTTTCTGAGATGCTTTGGTGATATTAATCTGGGTATTTTTTCAAAGTGGCGTGTTAAAAACTTGTCTTCCTATGTGTGTATGTTAGTTGTTTGGCTGTGGCTCGGTAGCTCAGACCGTGCTAAGTCGAAACACTCTTGGAGAGCCGCTCACCATCCACATCGGCTTCTCCGTGGGCCTCATTATGGCCGTGTATGTGGCTGGTGGAGTCTCAGGTAAATGCAAACACATGTTGCTGTTCATGCAAAATTACCAATGGTACATCTGATTGCACAAGTGTTAATCAACATTTATAATCAGAATTTGTCTTTTCTAAACAGGTTTTATTTTATTTTTGCTGCCTCGTGTGTTTAAAAACATAATAATTACTAGATTCAGCTCTTTTGTCTGTTCTGTCAACTTTGCTGCTCATGAGGATTTGCCAGCTTGTAGTAAAAAGAACATTTTATGGCTCCCTGTCCTGCCATGTGCCACCTCGGCAGCTCCAGGATCAGCAGGGACGTGCCAACTCTGTCCACATTCAGTGAATGCGCTCTGACCATTGATTTACCAGCACAGGATCACAGCCTCTCTGCGGTCGTACATAACCCGGGGCAGTAAATGTCCTCCAACCCCATTGATCAGCGGCTTCTGTCTGTGACAGAGACCAGACTCAGGCCAGCAGAGCAACCATAGCTGGTGCCAGAGCAGAACCACTAACAGCACAAGATGGAGACAAACGCTTTAAAAATGTGAACAAAACTTAGATATAAGAGCTGGTTTAAGGTAGATATTTTTGTTTTTTGCAGATAAAATTATTATTTAATGATTTTTTTTTATTTTATGACCTTGTAAATGTAGGGAAAGCACACACATACACACATATTACAATTTGCCTTGAAAAGAACAGTCTTCAGTCTTCTAAAAAATAAAATGTAATGTACAAAAGGAAACACAACTGCTCAGTTTTGACACATTTGTACCAGCAGATTAACAGATTTTGCAGTTTTAAATCCAGGAGCTTCAAAACTTTTATTAATTTAGTCACAAAACTAATTTATTGTTTTCAAATTTGTGAATAACAGCAAATCCCTTCATATTTGTTTCAATGAGCATTACAATATCTTCTGAAAACCTGTAAATTGTATGTAACTGACTTAATCTTGTTGCTGATTACTGATTTACGTGCACGAGTGCAACATAAATCTACTGTAAGAAAGCTTTTATTTGCTCCTAGATTAATGTTTGCTCGTGAATTTCTGATTTGTGACCATTATTCTGTTTCTCTGCTCCTGAACATATATAATAAAACCCTCAACCGTGTGTGTGTGTGTGTGTGTGTGGTGGTCTGCCTCCCTTCTGCCAATCTCGTAAATGTGACAGCCCCAGCTATTGATCTTTGGGACATTATTCCAGCCCCCCATCACCCACTGCACCCCTCTGTCACTTTTTGCTTTGTCCCCTGTCCCAGGGGGCCACGTGAACCCTGCTGTGTCTCTGGCCATGGTGGTTTTGGGCAAGCTGAAGATCTGGAAGTTCCCCTTCTACGTGATGGCCCAGTTCCTCGGTGCTTTTGCGGGAGCCGCTGCGGTCTTTGGATTATACTATGGTGAAGTATTTTACAACGTGGGCCAATTAGGATTGTAAAAAGTCAACACTCGATTTCAGGAAGATCATTTTAACCACAGGCTCAAAACAGATCCTCAGCTGTCTGTTTGTCACAAACGCAGATTCATTTATGGACTTCACAAGCGGGATTCTGTCAGTGACGGGAATCAATGCAACTGCTCACATCTTTGCCTCATACCCTGCTAGGCACCTGTCAGTTCTTGGAGGCTTCATCGATCAGGTGAGCTCTGGTCCCCATGACCTATTGACCTCCCCTTTTTTGTGCTCTGTTGCACTTATTAAGCTTCCAAACATGTCAAAGTAAAACAAAAAAAACTGCTAATGCAGCATTGATTGCCCCATTTCAAACACCCCCACTTTTGCTTGGTTTGCATCAAATGACCTATTTCCTGATAACAGGAAGCTCAGATCCACTTCCAGAAATATAAATAAAACAGAAAAACTATTGCTGAAGCTATATTTTTAGCATTATTGCTACAAAACTGAACTAACTTTCCATAAATGTTTAAAAGTAAACATGAGTTGAAGCATTTTTCTTTATGCCCTGACTTATTTCTTTTTAAAGAGCAAGTCACCCCCTACAAGAAACTTACTCCACTCCAGCTTCATGTTTGAAAAATGCAACAAATGTTGTTGCCTGTCAGACTGAGAGAGCAGAGCTGCTAACACATACACAGGCTCACAGCAGCATTGTGACATCATAATGTACCAGCTAACATCATTGTATATCTCTCAGCCACTAGAGATGGCAGATTTAAATTCAAATGTAGTGCAGAGTTTTTACCTCTTTTTAACACTGACAGATTTAGGCAGAATATGTAAATTTTAACTAAGATGCATTCAAGTGCCAAATTATTGACTACATGCAGGATTAGACACTCATTTATATAGTTTATCAGCAAAAAAAAAGGTTGATTTGGGGGTGACTTGCTCTTCAAGCATGTTTGTATTATCAAATGAAAGATGTCGGGGGTCACATGTCTTGACATTTGCTCTTTGTGAGTCTGAAGTTGAAAAGTTTGGGATCCACTGATCTAGAGGAAGTTCTGGTCATAAATATTATTACAGAACAGCCAGCACAAGCAGCTCCATGAGTGTTTCCTTCCCTTGTTTCCTTCAAAATAAAATCGCTGCTGTGAATTAGACTCATGACGGCCCCACCAGCATAGTAATTTAGGGTTACGCTGTGTAATCTCTGTTTAATTGAAGTTGTAGATAACTGTATATATTCTACATTGAATAACATGTTTTTTGTTGCAAATTATCTTCAAAGTGTCTAAAGTACAAGCAACTTGTTAAAAAACACAGGCCGTGTTTTGTTTAGCTTTCCTCTTATGGTTAGCTTCTACAGATCGATACGTTAATGGTGACAGCGATCCAATAAGAGCTGTGCTGCTCCTGCAGGTTGTGGGCACAGGTATGCTCGTTCTCTGTATTCTTGCAATCATCGATGGTGGAAACATTGGAGCTCCGAAAGGCGTGGAGCCGCTGGCCATTGGCCTGATCATCATGGCCATTGGTGTGTCCATGGGACTGAACTGTGGCTACCCCCTTAACCCAGCCCGAGACCTAGGACCCCGACTGTTCACGGCGGTGGCCGGATGGGGGATGGAGGTCTTCAGGTATCACAGAAATTTGAACTGACCAATAAAATCGTGCAAAACATCTTAAACTTGAGATGAAACAATGGATTAATAATGAAATCAACCCTGACAGCTGTGTTATGTAATGTCACATGCCATGTGCAAATGTATGTGATGCTTTTGAATGATCCAGGGACGGCGACCTGCAGTGACCTCATCGACTCTTTGCTGTTTTTGTTCTCGCAGCACTGCAGACAACTGGTGGTGGATCCCAGTAGCAGGACCCATGGTGGGCGGCGTGGTCGCAGCCGTCATCTACTTCCTGCTCATTGAGCTGCACCACGTCCACAATGAGCCCGAGAAAGCTCATGAGGAGGACGAAGAGGAGGAGGAGGAGGAAGAGGACGAGGACATCAGTCTGAAGGACAAATATGAGATGATCACCATGAGTTAGAAAGAGACAGAGCATCACACCTGACTGGTTTTTACCTGATGAGGAACAGCCAGGAGAGTTCAGTAATAAATCCTCCAGGCCGCTTCATTCTCTCTAGAGATGCATTTTTCAAATCAGCACTGAAACCTCTAAAAGTGAAATTACCAAAGAAATACTGAATATTTTCCAGCTGAACAACCATGAACTGTTTTCAGTTTCAGTTTGAATTTCTGTTTTTATAAAGGTAGGAAAAATTCATTCCTGTTACATTTTAACCTAATTGTTATAAATAAGTCACTGTGTATGTAGAAGTCACTTTTACATACACAGTGTCACCCCTTGTGTTTTTATTACCAAATCATGTTCTATTTTTGTTTATATTCTCTTCACACCACAAGGATCTCTCCTTGATGTTGAGTTTTTGTTTTCAAGTATTTTACTCATTAAAATGTATATAAATATCATATTTTAAGAAATATTTCAGCTTATTTTCACATCTCACTTTTAGTTTGACATTTGAACATTTTACATACTTGATCTAATTGGTGTTACTGAGATAAACGGCTAATACAGACCCACATGTGCCCATGAGTGTGATCCGATAATGCTCAGACGTTTAGTTTCATCATGTTACAGCTGATCATGTGCAACAGTTTGCACCTGCAGTGGATAATTACTCACTTCAGTATTGTGTAAATAATCTCTAATATCTGCGTATCCATGGACGTAAATTTGGGGGGGGGGGGGGGGGCATGTCCCCCCCACCTTTTCCAAAGTCAAGTTTTGACCCCTGCACTTTTTACCATCTAAAAACAATATAAAGCTATATTAAATTGACACTGATTGAGCTCTAGGACCAAGTAGAAAACAACCGTTTGTGTTGAAGCCTGTTTCCCATTAGAGCATACTGTAAAGATTCAACCCCCCCCCCCCACCCACCCACCCCCACACACACACACACACACAAACACACACTTCTAAAGTGAAAATTACGTCCATGTGCGTATCTCTCAGAAATCACACAAAGCGACAGGAACGATGTTACTACCAAAATGAAAAATCAACAACAAATCAAAATCTGGAGCAAATGCGTGGCTCTAGAATGTGATTTGTTATAATTCTGTAGCTGTCACAACTTATTTACAATGCTTTAGGTATAAAACCAACCAGTGAAGAATAAAACAGGTGTTGCTTTCATTCATCAGAAGTCATAAAATAAGAATTGATATTTCAGAGTTCAGTTCTCTGCTGTGGGTGATGTTGAAGTGTGTTTTGTGACGTTAATGAAATAAAACACCAACCTACTTCAGAAGTTCCTGTTTAACACTTTCAATAAAGCCAGTGCTCCCTCTGCTGGTGATGGTCATGCACTGCATTCATCACTCATTCTGATGATGAAAAAATGAACATTTTACAGTTTCCTCCATCTATTTGGTGAGATAATCTGAACTGATTTTCATCCTTTCTTTTAAAATTCACGTTTCTGATGCAAGATTCAAGAGATTCAAAGACAGTTTATGAGAAATAAAAAGGGCATGATGCTATGAACTGAAATTAAATGCAAAATAATTAAGGACAAAAGAGAAATAAACTTCTTTGCTAAATTTAAACATTATCTGGTTTTCATCCATCTATTTTCCTCCACTCATCGGGGGTCGGGTCACCGGGGCAGCAGAGAGGCCCAGAATTCCCTCTCCAGCCACCTGAGCCAGTTCCTCTGGGAGTATCCTAAGGTGTTCGCAGGCCAGATGAGAAACATAGTTCCTCCAGCGTTTCCTGGTCTTCCTCTAGGTTTATTTATTTTAGGATGCAGAACTGCAACAAGGGTTTCAAGAACTCCATCAGCTGGACTTGATTCATTTTTCAATCTACATTTTTAATAAAAAATATGAATGTTGAGAGCCTAAAATGTGGATTTTTTGGGGGGCCAAACCACTTTAGGAATCACATTAAAAATTACTTCACAAGTTGAGATGCACTTGCTGACATCCCATAGTACAACCCCACAGTGTCTGATGCTCATCCTAACTGGATCCATCTTATTTCTCCATAGAAACCAGAGAACGCACACCTCAGACAGCAAAACCGTTCGGTTTGATTTTTGAATGAGTCTTTTAATTAATGCATTTCAAGTACTCCAAAAATTACATCTCTTTGCACAATACAATTTGAAACGTTTTTTAGTAAAAATGTTCAAAGTGAACAAAAAATTTCGAGTACTGTATAAAACACAGTGAACATTAAAATCAGACAGTAGTTTTTAACTTTTTAATCTTGTGTTCTTACGGCCTACATCACCTACAACATTTCAACTCAATTTGGACATGTTCAGTGCACGTTTACCTAAAAAAAAAGTTTTCTTTTTTTTTTACCAAGACCGTGAAATTAAAAAGAAAGTAAATTTACAGGCATTTTTCTTCTGCTCGTCTACCCAAACCATGCCACGGGATAAGAAAGACAGAAAAAATGAGGATGTAACATTAAATCCATCACACTGAATCAAACATTTTTCCCCATTGATGATGGAAGTGAAAATGAGCAAACTGCAGATCAATTAGCACATAGAACATAAATAACTTAGAGAGGGAACCCTGTCACGTATGAACAAGTTACTCTGAATTAGAAAAACAAACAGATGTATCAAAATGTAGTTTTTCAAATTAAATGAAATCTCTTTTCCAAGTACTGTACAAGTTTACAGGTAAAATTCTGACCTGGGAGATGGAATTGAAATAGATGTTTTGTACAGGCATGAGAATAACAGCATTCCCAAATCCACCTGCTGACTCCCCTCTAGAGCACGTGTGACTTAGACCTGTGTAACAAGCATGCATTTAAAAGTAAGTAGTGTCAGGATTAAATAAAGTCATAGCAAAGAAAACCTTCATCTGAAAAACATTTGATGCAAAACTGTTATTTCACTTTTTCCTCCTCGTCACAGTATGGCATCCTGCAGCTTATTGTACAAAACAACCATTTGTTGCAGTAAATGGTGACAGAAAACACCCGAGGTCTCATACACACACACACAAACTTCCCATTTGTTCACTTAAGACTTCAGAAACCTCCCAGGTACTTCCTGTGTCAGAAAACCTGCACACACACACACACACAGTCACATGGACGTAAAGTCATGAGCTCTTTAGGGGACTCGGTCTTCAGTGGGTGTGACAAGAGACGGCAGCAGGCGTTATAAAATCGTGACGTCACAAATCAAAGCAGCCTCTAGTAATCCTGCTGCTTATGAGATAAAAGTAAAAACTGCAGAGTGGATTACAAAGATCACAGACCTCAGTCCGTTTAGTAAATTTGTCCGCATGCCCACAATGAAAAGTTTTAATAAAATGACTTAGTCACAATTGTTTTGGTTTTTTTTGTTGTTATTTTTAAAATTCATCTCCACACTCATGTAAACCAACATAATACACTCTTGTTTCTACACTACTCCACATCAGCCTTCACTTTCTCTCGTCTCTGTGAGATTTTAGCTTCGGTTAGTGGTTACTCGTTCTTCATGATCCAAAACAAGTCGATACGAACGGCAAACCTGGCGATCCCACGTCTTCGCCTCCTTCGTTACACAACTTGATCAAAACATGATGTTAGTAAAACATCATAAAATAAAAAGATGAGAAAAGTCTTGAACAGAAGAGGCTTAAATGTGTTGATACGGTGGCCTTGAGCCTCAAAATCAAAACCTATCAGTCTAATAACAGGAAATGAAATCTATTCGACTAGAACTGCAGAAAGTCAAATCCTTAACATCACCGTCCAAGGAACTCCTTCATTTATGTGTTAGAAATCCTGAGAGCACTAACCGAAAAAATTTAAAATTAAATAAAATAAAGAAAAAAGTGAAGAATTACACATTTACAGTAGAAGAAATAGTTTGTTTTCACTTATGATACACTAAATATTTACAGTCACATGCAGAAAACTGTCTGCACGGGACACCAGAGCCTGTGTCTCTTGCCGTTTGACATGTGTACGTCATAAAAGTGCCGTGAATCCTCGCTGAGAGTCTCTCATTCTTGGCTAGGATGGCAAAAAATGATAGAAAGAAAAAAAGAAAAGCACAAAACAGCTCACCGGCAGCACCCACTCAAAGATGTTGAAACAGAACCAAAATCACATCACAGAATGTACTAAAAGCTACACATGATTCCTTCACTCCTTGGCACTCCTTAAAAAATAAAAGAACATAAAATACAAAGAAAGAAAGAAAGAAAGAAAGAAAGGACGATGGAAAACGGTGCTAGATCACACTGCATTGGAAATGGCTGATGGTCGAGTCCACTCCACAAAGAGCCGGTCCAGTTGCTAGACAGTGTTCACTCTTAGTCACGTCTAAGTTTTGTCTGCAGGTGGAGGATATGACGACGACTAACAACCATGTCAGGCGTTTCTTTGGATGGAGTGACGCTTTTGTTTCCCACTGTAGGCACAAGGAGGAGCCAAGGCATTAGGGAGGGTGGTGGGGTGGGGGGAGGCAGGATCTCAGCGTCTCATCTGGCCCATCTGATAGTTCTCTCTGGGCTGACGGTGGTGTCTCTGGGGCTGCGCCTGCCGCTGCGGCTGGCCCCGGGCTTGTCGCTGGCCGCCGTGGCCTCCGTGGGCATGCGGGTGCTGGGATTGGTGCTGCACCTGGGAGCTAGCATGCTGCTGCGCTCGTCGCCTCTTCAAAGTGCCTGTAATAAAAATGATGCTCAAGCTGAGACCTTTCAAAAACAGAAAATGGAGCTAAAAAGACTTGATGCAAATCAGAGGTGGGTGCACTAATATCTTATTACCATCTGTTCTAATTAATACTGTTGTACATGCACGCACAGTCACTCAAATGTGCTGCAGCTCAAAAAATAAATAAATGAACAGTTGTCATGCTGAGAGGATTTTCTCCTCTTTCATAATCAAGATGATTACAGTTTGTGTAATTAAAACTAGCTAATCTGATTAAAACGTAAAAGAGACAGCTACAGTGCTGAGAATTGTGTTTGCAAAAGTACATTTTTTTTGTACATCACTGTTCTCACCTGGAAGAGGTTTGGGAGGGGGGAGTTTAGGATTGCTGCTCGGTGTGTGCACACTGCAGATCTTAATGAAACCTGCCATGAGCATGATGAGGGCAATGCCCATCAGCAGCACGGCCCACCAATGAGCCTAGAAGAAGAATGGAGCACAAATCAAACACAATCGATGAAAAGCCTCCTCAGAAGGACACGCTGGTCAGGTAAGAGACGGGATACGCACCACTATCCACTCTGCAATGTTCTCATAGAGCTCTGGGTTGAAGATGGCCTTTTTTAGCCTGGCGAGCGGTCCGTCTGCATCCACCAGCCGGCACTTCATGAACACGTCACAGTAACCCTTGAAGTCGTTGCAGGGTGAGCCGGCTGGCAGAGTGGTGACTTTCTTATTGAAGAAGCGAGCCAGGCGCTCCGACCCAGTGCTGCTGCAGGTGTTTGGGTTCACTGTGGAGACAGGTATGCAGATCGTCAACATAAACCAAGTGAGGGTGAAACGTGATGTCCACGGTTGAAACACAAAGGTGGATGACTCACTCTTTTCCATGCAGCAAACATGGCAGAGCTCAGTCTCATCCTTTCCATCTTGGCTGGCACACGTGCACGCCTCTAGTCCGTACTTCTCACAGATGGAGCCGGAGCAGCCCTGTGGGGGAGGAGCATGAGGACAGGCGAGATCAAACACTGGTATGAAAATAGTGTTGCTATAACAACCGGCTCCCTCAGGTGTGAAGTCTCAGGTCGCTCACCCCGTTGAGACAGACTTGAGTTTCGCCGTGGCAGGCGGTGAAGTTGGCCTTGGGCTCAGACGTGGGGCACTGAGCGCTGACGCCATTACACATCCCCTGGTGAGCACACTCGGACTCGTCTCTGCACTTCTCGTTACGACCCTTATAAATGCACCCGCGGGTACAACAAGGACCCTGGCTGGGGCTGATGGGAAAAGAAACACAAGTGTGGAGTAAGGAGTAGCCACACATGAGCAGCGAGTTCTGACACAGGAAGTTAAAGGCAGCAGTTACCTGCAGACTTTGTTGGGCTTTAATTTACACTTCTTGTTGTCAGGCTGGTTGGCATCATAACAGCAGTCGTCTTTGCACTGATCGCTGTAGCCGCAGTCGCACTCTTCCCCAGGCTCCACCAGGCCGTTACCGCAGATGGGCTGACCGGACTCTGAGGGACAGAAAACAGAAGCAGAAGGTAAAAAAAAACCCCAAATAAAAACAATATCAGGGCTGTGTTGGCTTCTTGTCGTTTCCCCATTCAGGTCCAAATGAAACATACCAACAAAACAGTTGCCCCTCTTTTTCTCCAGCACCTGGCTGATATTGCGAATGCTACAGACGGAGAACTTATTGTTGTTGAGCTTGTCTCCTGATGTGGCTCTGGCATACATGATGTAATTGCCCTTCTCCTTCTTGTCTTGGCTCTTGGACTCTCCAGGGGTGCACTCGGATCCGGAGTCATGCTTTACCGTGAGAAGGAGCAAAGAAATCAAAGGTTAGAGGAGATAAAAGTTTATGGCTCACACATTCTTTTGTAACAAAGCACAAAAGTGCCACAACTTACCGGGGAGCCAAAGTTGTGTCCTACTTCGTGTGCAAAAGTGATATGAGAGACTTTTGGAGGTACGTGGGAGGCATAATTCTGCACAGTGATTATGCCCGTGTTGAGAGACTTCCTCTTTCCATCTGAATACAGCTTGCTCTTCTCACAGATTCCTCCAGAGCTCCCTGTGAAGGAGAAGTTGGAACAAAACCATCAAGAAGAACGGCTTCATAAGGAGGACTTTCCTAATTGAAGGCGGGAAACATGAATAAATTCATCACACGATAATGATATAATTCAAGAATGTGCATACATTGGTTTTTGAAGCTGCAGCTGAATTAGTCATCATTTGCAATTCTAAAATGAATCAGGACTTGTATTTATTCTGGCTGAATGTGGAGCTGAGGCGACGGGATCTTCGGTTACCTGAGGGGGCTCCCACCCAGGCCAGTCCCAGTACCCCATCATCAAAATCCCTGTCGGTGAAAACGTAAGCCAAGCAGTAGTCATCGTGGTTCTGCTCCGAGTTCAGCTCCAGGAACTTCTCCACCCCGATGTTTGCAAAGCGGAATGGGTTGGATCTGTCTTTCTCGTCATTGGTGGTGTTTATCTACGCAGCAGGACCATCAGGAGGTCAGACGAAGGACAGACGGAAGCAGCGACATCCTGTCAGTGAAACACTCACCCTGATCCTTTTCACCATGAAGCTGATGTTACGAATTCCTGTGAAGTCTGTGCCCTGATAGATTGCATCGATAGCTTTGACATGACTGGAGATCTAAAAGTAACAGAACAAAAATAAATAAATAAACAAGACATTTTCTTGTGGCCCCAAATGATGAACTTGTGTTTGTTTTATGAGAAAACTTCGATCTATTGATGTGGAAATCTTTCACCGGCCTCCGGTGGGGATCATCCTCACCAGTGCTAGTGATGCAACAGGACTCAATAAATTCATCAATAAGGCCGACAACTAGAACCTGGAGATGTTTGAGAAGGTCACTGAACAAACTGCTGTCCACCAGAGACGACCCCCCACCCCCACAGAGGAGCTCTGCAGCCATGAACAGCTTTTCAGGAAAACATTCACACTTCTCCATCTCTGAGTAGAAGGAGAATGTCGGATTTCTTCAACATGTCAATAATGCATAGTTTGTTTATTTTTTTCCATACTGTTTGTTCATGTTATTCTCCAAAGCACTACTTTTAGTTTCATTTTCCTGTATTTACTGCTGACAGACCCTGAGGTCTACTGTTGCCAATATCTGATTCCATGCATCCATCTAGAGTTAATGATTACACTAAAGATGATGTAGTTTAAATAACTACTATCATAAGCTCACTGAAGACACATTTAGCTGATAAATTGTAGTTGATTCATTGCCATCCAGCTCAATCTCGTATGTTTTTGTCTAGCTGGACAACTCCATTCACTGTATTTAAATTTCAAACATTTCTTAGAGAAAAGGAACTTATTTTTCTGCTTCTGACTGGAGACAAACTGAAATGACCTGCCATGTTGGAAACACAGAGATGCTCTGAGGTGATTTGGCCGGTATCACTACTGCCCTACGTTTTAGACTTCCAGAGAAATCACCTGCTCAGTAGAGCTAAAGCTGGGTGACACAGAGAAGCTGCTCTATTCTGACCACTGCAATATTTATCCATCATGATGACCAAACCTTTTCTGATACGCCTCCACCCAATCAAAAACCAGCCATTTACCACTTAAACCATCGTTATTGTTGTGAATTGCATAGTGTTAACACATTAAAGCTCAGAAAAAGAAATATGCACTAATAAATCCTATTGCCTTCAGTTGCAGGATTGATTAGAGTATAAATATATATATAGTCTTTTGTCTTAGTTCTAGCAGGAGTTCCTGGCCTGGTGCTTTTGTGTCTGTGTCCCCTTCCTGTCCTCTCACGTCTCAGCTGGTCAAGGCAGATGGCCTCCTTTCCTGTGTCTGGCTCAGCTGGAGGTGTTTTCCTGTTAAAGAGGAGTTCTTGCCTCTCTACTGAGGCCCGTCGCCCCATCGCTTAATAAAAATCTCAACTGAACTGAATGGCATTTAATGGAATTTGTTGGTGTTCTTACCCAACCTTTATAAACAGTGTTTCTTCTTGAAGGAACAAAAACGACAAGATAAAGATCAGCTGATGTCACACGAACATGTCCGATCTGCCGGCACTCAGATTATTTGATGGGGGTGACTCTTCGCTACGACAATACCAAATGTTATCCAAACATATGTAAAACTGACTGAGCTGTAGCCGTGTGTGTGTTTGCTGATGTAGAGCAGAGGAAGAAATCTTGGATGAAATTAACCTAAACGGATTTAAACGAACATGTAACACATTTTTTCCTAAGAGTTTAATTAAAATCTTCCGGGGTTTAGGAGATATGCTAGCTAGTGCTACAAACAAGCGCTCACAGGCGAAAAACATTCTCACACCATCTGCTTCTTAACACCAGGCAATAGCTGCTCTAAAACCACAGATATCTAATGAACTGGGCCAGAACTTCAGTTCCTGTACTAGAAATAACTGAACTCAACTTGACTGCATGGAGCTGCAATTGTATTCACTTCCTGAAGAGTAGAGCCCGATTTTTAGGGATGGGAAGAATGGGATTTTTAATGGCAGTCTGACTCTTTGGGCTCCACATGATTCAATTATAACTCAGAGGGTTGTGACATGACCATATAGTTCTCGATACATCTTTCCGGCTCACCACACCTCCTCTCTACAGTGACTCAGTAAAGTATTTTAATTACTCAAAATAAATTCACTTCCAAAAATTATGCAGACATTTTTTTCCACACAAACAGGTGATTTGGCCCGTATCAGGTAGTGAAATCCCAGCCTTCACCCAGAAATGCGTCAGGACTTCATCTCGTATTGAATAACGTGAACATTGAGGAATTCATTGAGGAATGAAAAAATGAAAAATCAGAGACCCTTACACTTTAGCAATAGTGAGATCTAAAATAATATGAAAATGCCTGAGACAAAAATTCAAACTATTGATGAATAAATAGGAAGTTGCGTCTTAAAAGGCAGAAATTCTCTTTTAGCCTTAAAGAGCCCAAACGTTAACCTAACTGTAATTATATGTATTATATTCATTACAGTTCAGTTTAATTCCAAATATAATCACAGCTAGTTTAACCAGAGCGTTGTTTAGGCCTCTATAATACCATCTACTGATAAAACACAGACTCTCTCTGAGAAAATGCTGATATCTAGGGAACAACTTCAGGAGTTAAAGAGAGAACAGCCGCTGTTAGAATCAGACTAATGTGTCTACTTAAACGCTACAATGACTCGATTATTCGAACTAAAGCAGCACAGAAACATCCAGGCTAAGAGCTCCCAACCAGGAGCAACACTTTGTGACCTTCACCCATCTCTGTTGTGTTTAAGTGTTTAATAGTCAGTCATGATTCCTCACCTATGCTTACTGCATACGAGCAGAGCGGGTGTCTCATGGGATGTGTGCCAGGGCCTTACCTGAGCTATAACAGCTTCTCTGGTCTTGTAGTATTTGAAGAAAAGGTGGTCGGTCTGAATGAAAAGTTGGCAGGTGTTTTTCTCCGCCTGGGCCATCCTCCTCTTCCTCAGCAGTACCGGGTCATTAGAGTCAGCATCGGCGTGCAGCTCCTGCTGTGAGCGGCATGTGTGAGTGAGAGTTAGACGTGCACAGTTGAATAAAACATATTTATAGCATTTTCCGCCAAAAGCTGGGTAAATAAGTAATGAGAGGTATTTTTAGACTGCCGTTGTGAAGCTGTACAGTGTTGGTGAACTGGATTTCTGCATGCTACTTTAAGGATTATAGCAGGAAAAAAGAAGTTAGCACTCATAAACTGTGCAAATGCAACAGGGACTTGTTCAGTGTGAAGATCTACTGAGAAGAAACGTCTTAAACTAGAGAGCTCAAATAACTGGCACAGCTGGAGGAATCATTGTAGTTGTGAACTAGTTAATAATATGATACAAAGAATATTATTGTGGCGCAAATTTTGACATGTTCTGAATGTTTTGGCTTTTACTTAGGTGTGGTGAATTCACCTTGGCTGGCTCCTCGGCAGCAGTGGCTTGATACTTCCTCATCTTTTCAAACACGGAGCTATCAGCACAGCCTCCCTCTGGGCCGTACTTGTGTGGGTAGTCTGAGTGACAGAGGCAGACACATGCACCGTTTGGATTATGGAGACGATGCTAGCTACTTAACCCCCTGAGTCATTCTATTCCGGTTGCTATTCATGATCAGCTAATGGAAGTACTTATACACCACTTGATACGCCTAGCTTTGCTGTGTGAGCTGCTACTTTCCTGTCGCGTTCATTAGCGACTCCTCTCACCACCCTGTTTAATTTGCCCCTCAGCTACTTGCTATGTGTTCACAGACTATTTGAAATTATGGAGTGCTGGTGTAGTGAAGTGTACTCTGTGCTCACGATTAGGACCAACATTGTGTAGACTGTTTAAATAAGCCTGAGAAAAGGTTGTGTTACTCAGCTAATGAGCACCTCGGGTATCTCTGATCAGCACCTCGGGTATCTCTGATCCCTCGGGGGGGCACTAGTCTGCCTTCATCAGCTCAGCGGTCCTAACCTTACACTTTCCCACTCACGCATTTACATAAGCATGCAACAAATTACACATTCAGGAAAACACCCTGTCAAGGTATTGGTGTGGGTGCAGACGTTGGAGACTCACGTATGTCATCCTCGTGGTACATGACAGAGTGGAAGGGCACGTCTTTGTCCTCCAGGTATCGCTCTGCAGGCTCCACGTAATAAGTGCCATGGTAGCTTTGTATAAAACCCTCGAACTTACCATCTACAATGGATCCGTGAGTCAGAGTACCTTTCTCACCTGGGAAATCAAAACCAGTTGCTTACTTTGTGTCAAGTCACCTGAATTATTCACTCAATCGGGTCATTAATGCAGCCCCACAGTGAGATATTAAAATAAGTCTGGTAAAACTGTTGTCTTACCATAGATTTCACCCGTGTAGATATGAGAGGTATCGTAAGGAACCTCTTCTCCTGAAACATCCACCCGTAAATCTGGGGCAAACAAGGACGTGTCCCTTTTCATTCGTAAATTGAAATGTCTGAGAAGAGAAAGCAACAATGTGAGCTATAAAGACAAGAAGTTTTCAGAGCATAAACCTACATTTATATATGGATATGCATTTGGCCTCAATAAAAAAAGAAACAGAAGAATGCAAATGAGAGGGGGAAGGATAGACGCCTACACACCCGCACATCACCACGAGTCTTTTTTTTAAACATCAAGCAGCTAATTACAATTAAATATATCAAAACCTGGAAAAGGTTATCACAGATTTAGTTTCTACTTTTAACAAGGATAATGTCCCATTCGTTTACGTGGAGGGGTCTAGTAACCGTTAATGCTCATGAAGAAGAGAAACTTAGCCTGCATTTGGTCAAAAAGCTAACTAGAAATTTGAACACCACACTCTCTCGTGTTATATTTTCTTGATTAAACAGCTGGTAAAGAAATTAATTTAGACTTTTAAGCAACATCAGCACAATTTTTTTTTAACTGAATTGTCTTGAGGTGTTTAATTAAAAAAGCAGGATTTAGGTAGTTATCCAAAGGGAATTTTCGGGGGACAAATGTGCATTACATTTAAATTGAGAAAGTATTTACCTGTAAGACCAACATCAGTAAAAATACTGTAAACATGGGAAAAACGTCACCTTTGACCACAGAAGTAATACAAACCTGTGGCTTTGTTCTGTTTCAGAGGATATTTCACCTCCATGTTTGGATAATGTTCCCATTCATAAGTAATAATCACTGTAGAAATAACATGGAACATTTAAAAGGTCTTTACTTTTCACTAAATTACGACCCTGATGGGTTTGACGTGAATCTTAACCAATCCCCATGAATCCATGTGTAAACACAAGACTCCAACCTCGTGTGTGTAAAAAGCTCGTTTTCTCCGAGTATTAATCTGAAACGCCAAGACTATTTTTATACGAATCACTTAAAAGGAATAGCAACAAAGCTGCAGAATGTGGAGTGTAGGCCCAACAAATGCTAGGGATTTCTTGGCATTTAACCAACTGATGAATCATTAAGTTTCTACTGAGCTAAATAAAACTAACAACAAACCAAAGAGACACAAATAAAGTCCAGATTTAAGTCAAAGTTAAACCACAATATCACTGACCACTTGAACAGACTTTCCACCTCAGTGGAGGTGCCTTCCTACCAGGAGTGTTTCAGATACAGCAGCTGCGAATGCGTTTCATACAGCTCATTTGGCAAGATAACGAAATCACAAGACCACCGCAAGATCTTGCGTGATTTTGCGAGTTCACGTGATAACACGCAAGGAGCAAGACTGCAGCATGCATCTAAAAGGTCTGGTTTATTTTCTGCTCTTTTCACCTCAGCTACTGAGGTGTCACAGGTGGTGACGCATTTTTAAATAGTTTTTAGTGTAAGAAACTTTCAAGTATCTTATTTAGAAATTTTTGAATGATTTACACTGCTCTCGTGTTCGACTTTGTTTCATGCTAGATCTAAACAGCTGAATTTTGATACGTTATGGAAGCGTAGCGTGTAAAAAATATACTTGAAGCGTAACTTTAGAGCCACGACCCAATGCTGAGATTCCCCTCTGAGCGCCCGGTAAAACCAACTCACTGAATATGGTGGATGTTAGCAGTGTTTTGCGCTTAGTGGACATCACGAGCTCTGTATGCATCCAGTGGAAAGTCGGGATAATAATTCCAATTATAAAGCTGATAAACAATATAAACAAATATGTCAGTTTGCAAACAATTAAGGATGAACAACATTGGTTCAATCACATTAGGTCAACATCTTTGGGAAAATGAAGCTGACAAACCTTCCATGAGCGTGAAAATCTAAGTGGATGAACTTGTCTTCGTGAATTAGCGCCCTTTTGGCTCTCTGATGTTTGGTGTGAACAAGCTCTGTGTTGTAGGACAAGCCTTCATAGTGTCGGATGTACTTGTTCAGGGGATTCCTATAGTGTCCTGTGTGAAGAGAGCAGAGGAAAGCCTTGTTTCTAAAATGAAGACAATGTTATGTTTGTTTTGCAAAAGCAACCCTTCCATAAGTAAAAGCAAAACAATGCAACAAAAGCAACCTTCTTTTTCATCTTTAGTAAAATCTTGTAACAAAAATACAAGCTTAGTAGATAAGGTCCTCAACTGCCACATTCCCATTTTCTTCCCAGGACTAAGACACCATTAAACATGCGAGAATCTCTCAAATAACAATCTTACAATCAGGAAAGACAGTGAAGCTCTTTGATGACCCACTAAAAGACGGATCAAATCACAAAAACCAAGCGCAGGTGATTAAAAATAAAAAAAACTTTACTGAAATTTCAGTTCTGTCAAAATGTGTTCAAACCCCAGTTTATGTCCTTTTTTTGTATTTTTTGTGAAAAGAAAACAACTTCATGCTGGGGATTTTTACTCGTACCCTAGCAAAATTACTGCTTGCTTGCAATAATTTAGGTATGTATTGCCCCCTATCGCCAGGGAAAATGCACAGTCACTTTAAAAAAATTCTAATTAGACGTTTTATAAAATTCTGGATTAACTGGAATCATTTTAATGGATCTAACTCTGTTTGCCAAATCAAAATGAGTATGCAGCAATCCGTTACAAAACTAAAACGGTTGTCTTCTTTTTAGAACACGATGTTCTGCTGAGGAAAATTAAGGGATTCCGACATTATCACTGAAAATATTTGCTTAATTCCTGACATTCCACAGCAGAACACCCTATGATGTAACAGGAAATATGACTCGATATGAAGTATTACGCCAGTATCACCTGACTTTCCTAGTACTCCGTGGTCATAAAGTTATGGGTGATTTGTGTGGAACAGCTACCGCCCTGCCATCCTGAATAAATAACTGATTCAATGAATATGTAAGAAGTGTCTGTTGGGATATTTTTGTAATGCAGCATTAAATAAACAAAAAAATTACAGAAAATATTTATGTTGAGTGTTTGAAGGCTGTAATGTATTCAGATCTAGTGAATGCCAGCTTTAAAGCTGCGCCCAACAACATCAGGAGCGTTACAACATAATAATTTCACTGCCAGAGGAGTAGGTGGTGGATTTGAAGGGGAACATATACTTAATGTAGACTGAATAACTGAATTTGAAACAAACATCCTGTCTTAGTTTAGGGAAACTATTCTGTGCAAAGGATAATCATGTTTTAATTAGAAATTGAGCATGAAAAGTTATTTTAAATATCATCTTCCAGTTTAAAAAGGGGTGATATGCACTTGCACCTGAATAATGAGGCTAAATTTAATGATTAAAGTAAATTTACGTATCAAAGAAAAAGGGCAGATTTCACCTACCTCACTGTTCATAAGCAGTATGAAATATTTAGGTGGTAACATTAAATTTTTCATTAAGATGACTGCGAGAAGTGAAGAAATTCATGGCTATAGCAGAGAACTTACTTAATCTGTTAAGCCTTAGAAAAAGTGACAACCAACGTGATTTTTAAACATAAATCAATGTTTTAAAATCACGTGATATTCAGTGCTTTGATTATTTGACAGCAGACCTTGAACTTTAATGAGATATTCATAAGAATAAGATTATTTATTTTCATTAAAAGAGCAACATATCTACCAGCTGCAGTAAAGGGCGATGCCATGATTAATACTTCATTTTACGTGTGATGTTGTTGTTTAAAACACTTTCACTGAACGTTATTTCTCTAATAACTCTTACAGTTAGTCAGACAACAGATGGAAACGTGAGATAGCATCGCTGACAGCAAAAAAGCATAATCTCTTCAAAAGTGAACACATACGTCCTTTAGTTGTAGTCCCCTTCGTAACAAAACTGTTCCCGTTAACTAGCACCGAGCTAACGGTCCGTTAACCCAGTCTCTGCATCTCCATCTCATAACAATGGCTGTCGGCGCTGTTCGCACGGTAACAACAAAACCGACCCAAAGCCCGATGATAAAAACGGTGACAACACACAAAAATAACTCACCACAGTCGCTTTATAACTATTAACTACGCCAATCTGGGTTAGCTTTAACACCACGTATCTTTTACTGGCTTGAAGTAATACAGTGAAAAGGGTGCAGTCCTCCTCACAACAAGCAGGCCCTGCTGATCCCTTTCCGTTAGCTAACGGGCTATCGGGATTTCTGCTCATCTCAGCCGCTGCTTCGTGCATTTATGGGACAACCCGCAAGGTTTTCCCTCAAAATGCCCCACTCACCTTGAGTGTAGTTTAGTAAATAAACGAAGAGGAAAACTTTAAGGGGTAGAATATGTGACAAATCCATTGTTAGAGCATTGAGACCGATTTCACTTTATTGTCCTATTTAGATAGGCGCAGACGCCCTGTGTGTTTATTGCAGCTTCCTCTCATCGCCTCCTCTCGATCCTGCGTCGTGACGTCAGACGCAGGGAAGCTGGGATCCCTTCCCCCAAAATCATGGAAGATCCCGTACTGGACACATAACTGTGATTGGCAGACCATTGTAAGATATAATCAAACCACAATTTTGTCTCTTAGTTATTGTTCCATTGTAAGATATAATCAAACCACAATTTTGTCTCTTAGTTATTGTTGCATCTTAAAATGATTTCACTAATCTATCTATCTATCTATCTATCTATCTATCTATGCACATTTCTGGACAGATGTCTGACGGTTTTCCTGGAATCTGCTTTAGCCACTCCTCCAGTTTCTCAAGTTCTTCTTTGAGGCCCCGGCACTTCTGTAGTTTCTCGTGCTCCTTTTTCCCGATGTTGCCATCACTTGGTATTGCCACATCAACAACAATGGCTGCCCTCTGTTGTTTGTCCACCACTACATCGGAGGGACCGGTGCCGCCTGTGCTCGGCAGCCTCGCCTCTGTCAGTGCGCCCCAGGGCAGCTGTGGCTACATTGTAGCTCATCACCATCAGTGTGTGAATGTGTGTGTGAATGGATGAATGATACACTGTAGTGTAAAGCGCTTTGGAGTCCTTACTCTGAGAGGCACTATACAAGTGCGGGTCATTTACAATGTCTGGTTGGTTCACCATCACCATTTCGTTGGTCTGGATCTGGAAGTCCCACAGGAGCTTGGCTCTCTTGTTCTCAAACACCTTAGGGGGTGTTTCCCACTTTGACCTTGGAGCTTCCAGTCCATACTCTGCACAGATGTTCCTGTACATGATGCTATATATTTATATAAGGTGAGCATTCTGGAAAAGTGGTGGCTGAGTGCCTGGACCTATAGTTTGCCAGAAAGAGACTAAAAGCCTCTTTGATCGTCATGACAAAAAAAAAAAAAAAACACATAGAGCTATCTACTTGGTACCATGAATACTGTTATGTAAAGTAAGCAATCAGAAAATGCAGATGAAAACAAAGCAAGACCATTAAATTACTTATGACAAAGTTCATGGTTTGGTGACTTCATTAGTCCATCTTTTTCTCAGAATCTCATCCTTAGATAACTTACAGTAAATACCATTCTCTTTTTGAGCTTATGAGCACTAATATATTTATTTAGCCCCAAAAGTACCCAGATTATAATTGGCTGAGAAATGCATGGTGGCTTCACAGTAACTGCCCCTTTGTCCACATTCAAGTTTATGCAATTTGCAACCCATTGTCTTTTTAAAACAGTGTAAATTCATTCTAAAATTTTATATTTTTAGTAAAACTGTTACTTGTATTCTAGACAAATGCCAATCTGAAAAGTTAAAATGTAATTTTTTTAAGTTGAGGATTACTTCAAGAAGAGTCAAGCTATTAAATTTATAAATTGGTTTGCCATACTTGCACGCCCATGCACTTCATTCTGCACAGTACTCATCAATAACTATGTTACAATATAATATAACAAATTCACCATTAAAGATACACCATAAAATAGAAAAATCAAAGTTGTATTTTAATATTTCAGTTACGCAAAACGTTTCTCCCAATATAACAACATTAAATCTGGTTCGACAACAGGTATTTGGTTTAAGACATTCTCTTGCACCGGAACACTTCACTGAAATTTAGTTTCCAATCAATATGATCACAAATTCGGAGAACAAAAAAAATTCTGAGTTCTACTTTCCTAAATGTGCCCATTAATGTGGTTTTCCTGATCAGCAATAGGAATTACAATAAACACTTTATCATTTTTATGATTTACTTCCACCCCTCCCACACACACAGTAAATAAAAGTGCAATTGGCACGTTCTGGTAAAACTGGTTCAGTGCCAACATTTGTATCATATTACTTTCTTTTGTTAACGTTCTCATTCATCGTGTCACAATGAAAATCCATAACAGGCCAAATGAGCCTCATTATTTCTTTCTTGGTTCCAGATGGGCATATTTATGGGGAATTAACACTGATTATTAATAGCATCAAAACAACTCGTAGAGCTGATGCTGCTTATAGGCAGCCAAGTAGACGTGAGTAGTGGTTGCTTGGTAACCCAGGACCATAAGGATATGGTGTTTAAAAAATAAAAGAAAACAGTATTAGATTTGTTTGGAAGTTGGAATCATTAGCTCCAATTATCTGTAATTAAATCTCAAATGAGTTTATCTGTTTAAACTGACATGTCTGTAGTAAATACAGGGCTTTATTGACCGTGATATGTGTCAAAGATGGATAATCATTTAAAAGATTTATGCATTTTAGCCCTTTTACTCACAGAAATTTGTTCCCTGATGCCACAGTTTTGACTGATTTATAAGCAGTAAAGTCTCATTTGACAGCCTGTTTCACTCCAAACGATCTCCTCTGGCTCCAGTAGCTGTCACGTGACACACCTCCACATCTGCCCCCAGTTTCTGCAGCTCATCCAACCATATCTGCTGCTTGTGGGACAGCCGATCATTAGGCCCTTTCACCTCCACCAGCTGTAAGGACATGACATTTGGAGTTCATATGGTCATAAAAACCTGCTTCCCACCTGTCCGGTTGATCTATGTTCAGATGATCTTACCTTGTAGCTGTTGTTTGAGGTGTTCCACACCACAAGATCAGGCAAACCTCCGCGGCAGTGTCTGTAGTCTTTGGCCATTTGGTCTATTATTCCACCAAGGAAGCCTCCACCAAGGCATGCAACAAGAGACTAAAGAAAATCAAAGCATAAACACAGCACTGATGAGTCGAGTGCAATCTACATTACTGGTCTAGGGATTTTATTCACGTTCAAGATGTGGGAGATCCCGGACAAGCCCCCATCTCATACTATGACTTAGGTTGTTGGGTCAACATTAGTTATAAACTGTGACTTTCACACTTTAGTAAGTAACAGAATATTCAAGCCAAGTACAGTGACTACCTGAGCCTGTTGGAGGGATGAGAAACGTTCCCAACTGACCAGAGAACACACTTTACCCTCCTGGGAATGCCACACATCTTCCAGCATGCTGCACAGTGTTCCTACTGTGGCTTCACTAAGTAACTGAATACGAGATGCAATCGCTTCCTTTCTATTCTCATAGAAACAGTCGGTGTAAAGATCCAAAGGACAGGCCTGTAAGAACAGAGAACCAGAGGAGATGGGCCTCTATAGATCCATGCAATAAAAAATAATAAATGAATTATCAAAGTTTTCTTTGCCTGGTATGGATTTCGGAAAACATCCGGAATACCATCCATAAAGACGATGTCCCACATCAGAAGAGCAAACAGGGTTGAGAAGGTTGAGCCTTCTCCATGGATCCCTGTCAAATACAAGACAAGTTTTTAATTTAAGAAGGTCCTTCAGTCATATTTTTAATACATTTGCAGTGGTCTATATTAGGGATGAATGCGGTTTTCTGGGGGGAAAAGCTCCAATTCGAATGTTTCGGCACAGAGAATTCCGCCAGAGTAGAAAGTAGCTTCAGACGACAGGATTTGGGGTCTTATTTCTTAATATTTGAAAATCTCGCCTCAGTTTGGCTAACAGCAACTCGACCCTACCACTGAGTCTGTTTCCTTTGCAACATTGATGTTTTCTCTTCACAAATAACACAAGCCTGAAAGAGTTCTGCTGTGTTGTGGAGTTGCTAATGCTAATGGTTAGCTTCTACTAGCCAAGACGTTCTCTGCTGTTTCCTGGACGCTAAACCAACAACAGCCTTCCCCGTTGTGAATCAAATTGGGTGAGTCTATGAACATTAATTGACAGTGTGGCGCAGATCAGTCAGGCTTTTTAAATCCTAAAATTTCATTGTCTATTTTCTATCAAAAACGAATGCAGAAAATAGGTGTAGTCTGCATGTTAAACTCAGAGTGACCAGTCATTTAAAAAAATATATATATATACGTATATGGTTTCTAAGTGAAGATCCACTTTAAAGAGCAAGTCACCCCCTACCAAAGTCTTCCTCCACTCCCCCTTCCTGTTTGAAAAGTGCAACAAATGCTGTTGTCTGGCAGACCGAGAGGGCAGACCCACTAACAAATACACCCACACTCACAATGACATTGTGACATCATAATGTACCAGCTAACGTCATTAGCCAATAGCGATGGCAGATTCTGAATCAAATGCGGTGCAGAGTTTACCTGAAGAGGGCGCAACACTGACATTTTTGGGCAGAAATTTAAAATTTTAACTAAGATGCACTAAAGTGCCAAATTATTGACTACAGGTGTCTACAGCACAATTAGAGATTCATTTATACAGTTAATCAGCAGTGATTTGCTCTTTAAAAAAGGTAAGCACTTTTCTTCAGATTAGAAGTTGCTTACCTTGATCGAAACCTTGTTTTCTGTAATGGGCTAAGCAAAGCTCCTCCACAGAGCAGATCACTATGGAACCACAGTCATCTTCCTCTTCGTTCGCTGGTAAAATGAATCTTGATTTCCCCATGCCGCCCTCATGAGGAAACAACTGTCCTCGAATGGTCACCTGTAAGCAAACTTGCTCACATAAACTAATAAGCACTCTCTTTTATCTTCAATCTTAAAATGTTTGACATCTTGTGCTAAACTGACATGTTTGACATCTCGGACTTGAAAAGTAGGAAGGTTTCTAAGTTGTAAGTGATACTTCTTGCAACTAGCAGCTTCTTTCATCCGGAGAGCTCTCTGCTGGAGGGAAAGTTTGTGTCCTGTACGCACCAGGGGATCCGACAGCCCATCTCTGATTGCACAGATGGCCTAAATCAGGACATAAAAAAGGAGAAAATACAGGAAAAATTAAAATCCTAAAATGTGGTTTGTTTCGGTAATTTTCCTGGTCAATGTTGTTTAAATGAAGGTATGTACTTTGATGTAAACATGAAACCGAGTGTGCTTGGAATCAACGCATTAAAACCTCTGAAGTTTATTGCAACCTCAGCATAGTCTGCTCTGCTCTGCTGCCTCCCCGGCTTGGTTCAGGTTGCTGTAGCCTGCAGATGTGCTAGTCTTTGTCCTGGATGCCTATTACTAATCCTGGTTAACCCATTGTTCAAAATCAGAGAGCAGATGCATCAAAGCCCATGTGTGGGCCATTTTACCACAATTATTATAGTTATTAACATAGCATTTATTGACTGTTGGGAAATGCAGACACTGATGCTCACCTGCTGAGGTTTTTTGAGGTGCTGGTGAAGGTTCAGTGCCAGTCTGTCCCACCATCGGCCGCGGCTGTCAGGACAGTAAACGGGTTGCTTCAGTAGGGACTGCAGCTCTTCTATAGCATCCTGTGATAAAAAAGAAAACCTTCCATTGGCTTTTGAGACTTTGGCTTCATAAACACACAGTAGACTGAGCGGGCGGGTCGGTAAACCTCGTAACGACGCAGCCTCTGCAAAATCTCTACTCCTCTGGAGAAGATGCGAGTGTAAGTCCATCCAGTGGTGAAGCTGCGGAGGAACACCGGCAGCTCTTCCTGGTGACTACGCATCAACGACAACACTGGAATTAAACAATCAGCGTAACGTAAAGACAACAACAAAAGGATGTGTCAGATTCTGACCTCAGGTCATGTTTTGAAGTCAGCTCACACCAGGCTCCTTTAGCAGCTGTGTAAAGCTCATGAGCCAGATCCCACTGGCCACTCTGCATCGCTGAGGTCACCTCCACGAGAGCTCGCATGGACGCATCATATCTGGTGCGTTGTATGAAGAGATGTGTATTATTTCCTGCTTATTATGAAGTGTATGTTTTGGTTGTTTTCTACCTGAGAAGATCCTCTCTGTCCTGAAACACCCTGGCTACTCGCTGCACCGTGTAGTCAGGGAAGGCCAGACGCCCTGAGTTTACCAACAGGATGGTAAAAAGTTGGTTCTGGCCCCCGGCCGCCATTTCCTCCTCATCCATGGTGTCTGTCAAAGAGAAGAGAAGAAGGATGCGAGAGAAGACAGCCCGCGGACCCCGAGACAGACGCACGCAGGAGCCAGCGAGCTGCTTCGCCCTGTAATAAAAAAAAAGGGATGAGGTCACTGGCGCCATGTTTGTGATGTTCATGAAAAGAGTTAAAGACCATCTCACCGCCTAAGGATAATGGTCCCGATGTTGCTCTCAGCAGAAGCCAGAGAAAATATAGACTTCTGCTTGCTTAGGCAGAGAAGACCTTCAACTATCTGCTGTTTCTGTGTCCCAGAACTGCCGAGGTGGAAAGACTTAGCAAGTGCCTTGAGTTCAGGAGCAGGAAGGAGATCCAGTGCCTCCCCGAGGTCCTCAAGATCCTTCTCTTTGAGAAACAACAACACAGGTAGACGAGAATCAAAAATAGGGTTTCCGTTCGTTAAAAAGTTCACCATGGCAGAACAGGGTTTAATCCAAAGTGTTGGGGATTATTTACCTGCCTGTAGAAAACCAGTCTGGACCAGTTCCTGTGCAACAGGACCCAGATTGCTGCAGATCTCCTCATAATCCAGTTTATGAACTTGGAGCCATTTCAGCTTCCTCTGAAAGAGTCTCACGTACAACTTCTGAGCCCTGACTACAAGACAGAAAAATACAAGTCATTCAAATGTGTATTTATTATTATCTATGGCTGAGGTGTCAACACATACCTGATAAACTCTCAAACGTGTGAACGACTGACATGTCATCCTGGTTGAACAGGGCTTTGTCATCTTCGTTCTCCAGCACAGCGTGTAGAATGGTCCGGAAGTTTCGGAGGTAGTAGGGAAGTGGTGAGATGTTCAGGTCGATCTCAGAACCAGACTCTAGAAGACTCACAGGTGGGTCACTCGTGAAAGACAATTTCTCAGTTTGATGCTGATCCATGTTAGTCGACGGACCCTCATCAGGTTCTCTGCTGCTCTCATATTTAGCCTTCTTCAGGAAACTAGACTCTCTGTTGTTGGAGGAACTTTCCTTTTTCCTCTTTAACAGTTTAGTGGGAGAGGATGGTTGGATTATATCTGATGTAAAAGCTTTAGGTTGTGTTTCTGGACATGCTGGATCGTCTGCTGCTGGAGTGTGTACACTAGGGGTCAGGTCCATAACACGATCCGTTTGACCCTCTAAACCCTGGATCAAAATATTTTCCTTCTGGGAGCTACGGAGGCTCTCACTGGGGAAGACGTCCTCTTCTGTGTGTTTCTTCTCAAGTGTTTTATATTTTCTGGATAACTTGGAGGACAGAGTACCTAAATCTACAGCCCTGACCACAGTCTTACTGTTTACCTCCCGTGGTGTCTGCTGACAGTTTTTCTTTTTGAAATATGGACTTGTTGCAGTTTCTTGGTCTCTTTCCTCCTCTTTCAGATGCGGCTCTGGAGATTTAGGGGGGCTGTTTTTACTGCTTCCATGATCAACATCGCAGTCTCTCTCAAAGTTCAGACATTGTGAATCAATGTGGTCATTGATGCTGAATCTTGGGACCAGCAGGCCACACAGGGGGCAGGCCAGCTTCGATGGAGGCTGGTTTCTGAAGAAGGATGTGATCGGAGTGTTGCTGGCAGCTTTACCATCTTTCTTCTTGCTCTTGGACAGCGATAACCTCCTCTTAACATTTTCTCCCTTCACACTTTCTGTCATGTTGAACGCGGTTTACGTTATCCAAACTACGCTCATACTTAACGAAGGCGAAAAAAGTTATGGAAAAATTAAGGGAGCTACAACCCCAATCATGCTAGTCGCTGGTGCTACCATAACAACAATCCCGCTTCTCAGGCGTAATTAGCAGAGCCCAGAACGTGTCGATCGCACTGCAGCAGCTGTATTATAATATACCCGGTACACGAGGGCTAATAAACACAGGTCCTGCAATAATTTAAAACAACTTTTCAGCACATATTGTAAAAGTGAATACAAAAAAATCTAATGCTACATTTGTTTCCTGGTAATGTTAAATTTATTAAAAAAAAGAATAACATTTGAAAAAAGATTATGCAAAGCAAAATAAAACATCAGGGTAGCAATAACTGATTTTATTATAAGCCAGAGTGAAAGATGAGTACATCTTGGGTCTCTTTTTAAAACATCAGCATCAGCCTCGATCGGGCAGGCTGTTACAGGAAGGGTCTCACCATGGTTTTGATTTTATAGAGGGATGTGCACATGGTTTGCACATGTACAGGAGAAATTAGAAAAATCAGAATATCATAAAAACGTTTATTTATGTCAGTAGAACAACTTCAAATGTGAAGATTGACCCTCTCATTACATGCTGCAGGGTTAGCATATGTTTGTATTTTGGGTGCTTTTGAAGCTCAATATACTACACTACATTTGACCAATAAGATGTGAATTTCTATATAATTATGGAAATCCTGTCTGATTGGTCTTTGAATGTTTAACCAGAAGAATTAGAATTATTTGTTTATTCAGGGATCATAAGACACTTCTTGTTAATTCAGAGAAAGTCAAGTTTATAAAAGGTAAGGAATTTATTTTCTAAACAATTAAAAACATGACAACTAGGAAACACATCATGCAATGAATGAATCTAAGTGGATGGAATGTGAGGTGTGATGATGTGTGAATGTGATGTTATCAGAACCTTCGTATCTGGAGAAACTGAGTTCTGAGTGGGAGTGAATTTGGTCTGCTATAAACTATAAGTGATGGTTTATAAAACCACATCAGAAGCAATCTGTCGAGTCTACATACCCTTCAAAGGCCCCCGTGGTAGATACGGAATGTGTGGAGGTCTGTGGACCCCAAAGGCACCGAAGTCCGTAGAAGAAACCTCAGTGCCACTAGACCAGTCTTGAGATGTTTCCAGGTCACGACAGGTAGTTATTTGCGTCTATGGAGGACTCTTAAGGAGTCTGAGCTGTTCAGCTTTATTCTGAAGGAACCGTTTGCGGTCAGCTGTAGCGCGCAACAGGTTTTGACAGCTTGTCAAAAGATACGATGGGAGCTGAGGCTTCCTCCGATGGCCAATCAGAGTAAGGCTCAATAATGGCCATATTTCGGTTTACTGACAAATCAGAACTTGCCATGAAAAGGGGGTTTTGCCAACAAACCTCAGATACACACCTCCCTCAGATACGACAATGCTGATTTTGTGGATGAGACAAGATCTACAGTATGTGCAGTGACGTTAACTTTAACTTGCGTCATGGAGATATAGTGAGTGTGTCTTGTCCAGTCACGTGCGCTGATTAAATATATGGGTCATATATTTCATTTCATCCTCATTAATCTAAGCACAGACTAATCAAAACATTTCATTTAACCATATTGTTCATTCATTATATCAGGGGTGCCCAGTCCTGGTCCTCGAGGGCCGGTATCCAGCATGTTTTAATTTTAACTCTGCTTCAGCACACCTGATTTCAATCAGCAGGTGATTAACAGGCTTCTGCAGAGCCTGATGAGATGCTGCACAGGTGATTCAACCAGTTAATCAAGTGTGTTGGAGCAGAAAAACCACAAAACCTGCATGATACCGGCCCTCCAGGACCAGGATTTGGCACCCCTGCATTATATGATGTATCCCTTTAGTCCTACTGCATATGCAAACTCAAGGTCCTTTTGTGGAATACCCACCTGTAAACCATTTGTACTGCTTAGCAAAAAGGCTAGAGACCAGTCTGACTACATTAGTAAGACAAATATAAAATGCATTTCTCTGAGTGGATTCAGTTTGTCAGTAAACAGAACTGTGTTATAAGTAGTTTTCTAGAAACAAAATGGCAAACAGTTTAGCTTTCACCATCATGGGAGAAACAGCAATGTGGTACTGGCTTTCCAAGCCAGAATCCTGACATCAGCTGGCAATCCAGTTGTGTTTATTTCCATCTTGGGACTCAGATGTTGGTCACCATACTCATTTGACTACTTTGTGCAGAGGCTCTGCTTACTTATAAAACCCTGCCACCAACCATTTATTATTGGAAGAATAAACACAACTGATGTGAATCAGCAATACATACAGTACAGACCAAAAGTTTGGACATTTCATTCAATGTGTTTTCCTTATTTTCATGACCATGACCATTTACAAAGGAGCCAACAAGTGCTAAAAACCTCTGGCCTTCAAGACTGTTGGAAAACCATTTCAGGTGACTACCTCTTGAAGCTCATCGAGACCATGCCAAGAGTGTGCAAAGCAGTAATCAGAGCAAAGGGTGGCTATTTTGAAGAAAATAGAATATAAAACATTTTTTCAGTTATTTCACCTTTTTTGGTTAAGTACATACTCCACATGTGTTCATTCATAGTTTTGATGCCTTTAGTGAGAACCTCCCAATGTAAATGGTCAGGAAAATAAAGACAACACGTTGGATGAGACAGGTGTGTCCAAACTTTTGGCCTGTACTGTATCTAACGCTTTACTGACAAGCTGCAAAAATATTATTACATAAAATCATTTGTGCTACAGATATTTGGATGTTTAAAATCAAATTCCATCGAGAATAGCCAGTTGAGGTGGCTCGGGCATCTGGTAAGGATTCCTCTTGGACGCCTTCCTGGAGAAGGCCGACCTGTCATGTTCCTGAGCTGAGGTGAGCACTCTCTCGTTACTAACCATCTCTGAGGCAATCTTCCACAGGTGACACAGGAGACACCCCACTACACCGGATGATTGCACCTGTTAGGTAGCCCCAGCCTCTTAACATTGCTTGCTCGTTTTTGCTCGTTAGAATTTGACATTGGATTTTTTGGCTCTGAACCTTGGATTGTTTATCTGGATTACGCTTTGTGGATTCTCCTCTGAACCCTGCTTGTTTATTCTGTTCAGGATACTTCACTCTACACACTACTCTCGCCGCTCGAACCCCGGATTTCCAGAACCACGTCCCATCCTCCTCTACAACGCCTGCTGTTTTATCTCTGCTGCCTCACCCGCCTCAGCCCGCTGAGCCACCACCCACACTCACCTTGGCTACCCACCTTTCCGCACATCTTGGACTATTATATGGACTAAAGCCGAACGGCACATCCTCACTGGACTTACCAGTGCGCTTTTTGTTCCTGTTTTAAAATAAAAGAACTTTTCTTTACTCGCCCATTGAAGTCGTGTTGATTCTGCATGTCTGGGTTAAACACCTCCCTCGAGTCATGACACGACCAGGAGAAGGCCTAAAGGAAGACGCAGGCACGCAGGAGAGACTGTCTCACGGCTGGTCAGGGAACACCTTAGGATTCCCCCGGAGGAGCTGGTCCAAGTGGCTAGGGAGAGGGAAGTCTGGGCCTCCCTGATTCGGCTACTGCCCTCACGACCCAACCCTGGATAAGCGGCCGAAAATGGATTAATCTGATTCAAAAATGCTTTAATTATCCCAACTACCCCATCTATGTCTATGATCCCAGTCGGAAGTTAGACCAATAAATAATTTATATTATGAGTTAATTTAGTACAGTAGGAGGCTCCACAGTGGCGTATTTGGAAGCTCTAGAGCACAGCTGTAAAATGGTTGCAGGACTGAATTCGAAGCTTTTCCGTACAGAGATTGCATGTTGTCCTCATGCATGCATTAGTTTTCAACAGATTCCTGTTTCCTCCTAGTCTGGCAAGCCAGACTAAATAAATATATTATTTACAAACTTTGCAAAGCAAGAATTTGGTCTAGTTCACTAGGCTAGTTTCCTCCCACAAACCAAGACATTCTTGCTTAGGTTAGGTTAGTGTGTGTGTGTGTGTGTGTGTGTGTGTGTGTGTGTGTGTGTGTGTGTGTGTGTGTGTGTGTGTGTGTGTGTGTGTGTGTGTGTGTGTGTGTGTGTGTGTGTGAAAATGGAATTCAGCACTAAGTATGATTGCAAACCCGAGTTACAGCTTCAAATGAGACAGGTGCATAAAACATCCCTGTTAATTAAAGAAGATGGGATCTTTCAAACTAAAAATATAAATTCTTCAATCCTGTCCATTTGGTTCTTCTATAGGTTTGTGGCTCAAAATAAAAACATAGCAATAATAACCGCAGCAGGAGATCAGTTTGAGCCAAAAGATGCTGATGCCTGAAAAGAGACATTCCACCCCCAATGCGTTTCAGGTGGTCACAATCGATCCCAGAGAAACGGATGTTTTCTTAAAGCTGTGCGGAGATTAAACGCACAGAATTCCTAAGCATACATTAAAGTACAATTTTAGAAATTCACATCATCTTTATGGAGACAAGCAAAAGACTAACAAATAATTTTCTATATGACAACTCAGACCAAAATGAATGATACAACATTGAAACGCATCGGTTGTTTGCGGTGATTATTTGTAGGGGTGTTTTATGTTTGGAGCAGACCTGAGAGCACATGATGATGAGGATAATGATGATGATGATGATGATGACGATGACGATGGGGGGTGTATTATTTTCTACACAGGTTCCCGGGCTGCGGCAACCCCCATCATTCCAGGGAGCAGTCTCTTCTGATCAACACGTACGGGCGTTTTCACAAAGAGGGCCGCCCACAGGACCGATGTCGGTAAGTGGAACAAAAATGAAACGATACAGAGATGCATGTGGAAGCTTGAGCTGGTGATGACCGAGCTGACTACAAACAGTCTCGATGCTTCAGATCAAGGTCGATGTGAAACGCAGCAGCGGTGGAATAAAGGATGCTCCCATGGGAAAACTGGTGGAGTCAGCTCCATCTTCATTACATGAACGGAAAACTGTATATCTGATATTTGTATCGACGTGATGTTGGCTGGAGAAAATGTGGCTGCAGCCACAACAAGCAGCCCTGCAGGCTGCGGTAGAAGTTCGTTGTAATGGCTTGAAAACACACCATCAAAACCACGTCAAGGGCAGTGCAGATGCAGGAAAACTGCACCAAAGAGCCCCATCTGGACCCCATAATCACCCCATTTTTTAAAATACCTGTTCAGCACCACAGAGGGGTCCTGAAGTGTGTGCATGGATTTAAGGATTTAAATTTCTCATTATGATCTGATCAACACGACTGATGTGGTTATGAACTATTTTTGTAAGAACTCAGCTCTCACAACTTGTGTGTGTTTTTTTAAAGCTGAGAATCTTGACATCAGGATGAGGGTGTGACATGTTTATTTCTGACGTAGCACAGTGTGTTAGCTTCAGCACGCTGTGTGCTGGACAGTTGACTTCATCACGCATCAGATTGTCTCTTCACAGTAATGATCCATTATCACATTTAAACACACACAGTAAGACACCAGATTCCAGATGTTTTCTGAAATCCATACTAGGCAAAGAAAGCTCAGACATACCCTAAGTACATAAAAGTAACAGTGCGTGTGAGCATAAGGATCACAGTGTAGGGAGACAGTTCATCAACACAGCTATTTAAAGAACCAATGATGCAAATGAACAGCATTTCAATCGGTGTTAGTAAGGCCCGTTTATGGTAGTTTTATTGAATCGTCACGGTTTGCATGTGTCTCCATTTCCCAGGCCGGCCCTAAAGGGCCCACTTTCTGGGCCATTTTAGGGACCTGCCTTAAATAGCCCTAGAGCTGCGGTACTAATTCCTGGTCCTGGAGAGCCGGTATCCAGCTTGTTTTAGTTTTAACTCTGCTTCAACACACATGATTTCAATCTGCAGGTGATTAGCAGGCTGCAGGCCTGATGAGCTGCTGAACAGGCGATTGAACCACTGAATTAGGTATGTTGTAGTAGAGAAACAACAAAAACATGCTGGATACTGTCTCTCCAGGACCAGGAGTGAGTACCACTGCCCCAGAGCCCTAGAGTCGCTGGGCGGGACTTGTGGTTAACTCATGCTGAATGGTTGTATCAGCAGGCCTCGCCAACAAACCACCATTCGTAATACTGGAAGAGTTGCTAGTGAGGCAGAATGGAAGGAAAAGGAAATTTACAATCACGTTTCTAAACTCCCTTTGCTATAATTTAACGCTTCTTCTGATAATTACACAGATGCTCTCCCTGTCCCCTGCATGGTATTAAATACAGCGTACATAGACAGAAAAAAATACCTTTATTCTAGCACTGAAAAACAAAGCATCCTCAAACCAGAAAAACACACCCAGTCTGGGTGGTTCAGATCAAACATCCACAATAAAAAAAACATGCAAAGAAAATGACTCATAGTTTGAAAATCCTCAGAAAAAAGAAGTCTTGGGTCATAAATGCAATAACGAGCATCTGCTGTATTCAGGTTCAGGGCTAAGTTTGAAAAGGCAAAAGAAAAAAGAACCATCACTGGTGGGTTTCACTTAACGTCATTTTTCTGCAGGACACCAGACATACCAGAGGCTCTCAGATGAAACAGGATAGGACTTTTCATTTTGTAGAATATGTGCTTGAAAACTCTTTAGAGAATGAAGAGGAAGCAAAGTAGATAAATGCTTTCTTTATTTGGCCTAGTGATGAAATGTGAACTATTCTAAAACTAATTACAGTGAAGTGTAAATATTTGTCATGTTCACAGGGTTTAGGGTAGTGGACATCACGAGCCAGTTATGGCTCATGGGAAACAGCCAGGATCCGTTGGTACAATGTTGGCTCCCAGCCCTCCATCCTGTCCTGGTGTGGGAATCACCAATCCAGCAGAGCAGCAAGGCTCCGTTAAAAATGCTGCTCAGCGATCAGCCTGCTCCTTGAAGGATGACAACAATGACCAGGTGACTCCCCCCGTTTCTGTAAAGCGTTACTACACGAGCTGCGACCCGAGTCCAGACGACATGGAGGATGCCGGCTCCGAGTACGACAACGTCAGCTCAGACGTGGAGCGGGACTACGATGAGGTGCTGCATTTGAACGCAGGTTTTTACAAACAACGCTGTCTTGGGGACGTAAAGCACACAGAAGGTGATGTTACTACAGAGAGCTCTCCTGCTACCACAGACCAAATCCCCCCCGGATCTCGTCACAGCACCAAAAAATGCGAGGGACCACAATCAGATGCTAAACCTTACAAGGTGGGTCATCGCTTCATGTCACATTGTGCTCCGATCGCAGGCGACAAAGCAGAGGTGGGAGTGAAAAAGGTCCAGGGGGACACGTTCTTCCTCAGCGATGGAGATGAGTTTGAAGAGGTGCTGGATGGAGCCAGATTTGTCAAGGGTTTAGATGAGTCAGAGAATAACATCCACAGGCCTGTCAGCATTTATCAGGGCAGCGAGAATGGAAAAATCAGAAAGGGGAGTCAGGAAAGAAAAAGAGAAAACAACGCTCATGTCACAAGAAACCATAATAATCCAAGAGCCAGTAAGAAGTGTGAGTCATCCCACGTGGGTCCAAAGGAGAAGGAGCATCAGGGTAAAGGACAAGGCTGGAGAGAAGCAGGAGGAGATACTGAGCACACTGTTTCTGGTATCAAAGGATGTGTGACCTACAGCACAGAGCAGCGTCCAAAGACTACATCCAAGGACTGCAAACGGTCTGCAGTCAGGTCCAAGGATAGGCCTGGTTCCAGTAAGCACCATCATCATCCTCCACCACCATCCCGCCATCCTCATCCTCGATCTCCTCCAGACGCCCAGAAGGCCCTGCATCACAAGACCAGTCCTGTTGCTGCCAAGAGCCAGGAACCCGAGTCCAGGGTGATGAAAGCAGCTCTGGCTGCTCATCAGATGACAGAACAACAGGAGTTCCCCGAGGAGCAGCAGAGGGAGCCAGAGAAACCCGAGCAGGTAAAGCAAAGTCTTTTATTAGATCTCACCTTCTCTAGATTCTGCCTGTTAATACCTAATCAATGATCCCTGAGCTGCAGAATGAATCGATGCATTCTTTGTTTGTGGCCTTTTTCCTGAAGGTTTTTATCATCTCAAAGATTCATTTGAAACCAATCCCTAAATCTGATGTTTGTGTCTGTCAGGGTGAAGAGCCGAGCACAGCCACGATGCCAGCGGAGGTGCCAGGAGAGGTGCCTGAGGAGGTACCAGAGCAGCTGAGGAGGCCTCAGTATCCACAGTTTGTCCCTGAAGAAGAAAGCAACTCCCCCAAGGTGGAGATTGATTTTACTTCTAAATAGGTCAAAGATGAGATCCAGCAGCTTTTAATATTTTACAAAGGAGCTATTTCTGCTCTGTAATCTGTTTTTGACTGTTTTCATAATGTAGGTCACATATGGACTCCCAATAACAACATACATGGCTTCTTATTTTGTCTCCACTGAATATTTTTCTTCAACCTTATTAACTAACCCAGTGTTTTAAAATGATTCCTACAGAAATCACAGGAAGCTGCTTCTTTTCCCTGCTTTGAAGATGGTAAATATCTTGGAGCATTCTTAAATTTGATGCATTTTTATAATAATCCATGCAGCAAGTTCAAAATATTTCATTTCTGGTGCCCAGTGCCAGGTCCCTGCGAGCCGGAGGATCTGATAGATGGGATCATCTTTGCTGCTAACTACCTTGGATGCACTCAGGTGTTGTCTGATAAAAATCCGTCCAAGTCCGTTCGAATGTCGCAGGCACACGAAGCAGTCAGTCACATCAAGGTAACCTGCCCTCAGACACGTTAGCCTCCACGGATTTGCTGGATTTTGAAGAATCAATTAAATGAAAATGTTTATTTAGCTGAATTTTGGGGATAATAAAAATGATCTTTTGGGGGTTTAAAGTAGGCTTATTACTTAATTTTAAATCAGATTAATAATGTTTATGATACTTATACAGCATCTTCTGGTATGTCCACATCCTACTGGAATCACATGCAAATGTCCCCCAGGGGGTCCTGACTGGGGTAATGGCAGTGGGTGCGTTAGGGGCCCTCTGTGGGGCACATCACTAAATTTGGGGTCTGACTTGATCCTTGGAAATAAAATTCAACAGAAAAATAAACCCTAAAAGAATAATTTGACTAAAATTGCTGCAAATATTAAACAGCAATCTCCCCAAAATGGCTGTAATTCCTAAACTATGAGTCAAGGATGTAAGTGATGTTGTTCTGTTCTGCCTTGTTTAGCTTCATTGGCAAGCGTTGTTTACATATTATTGCTCAATCAGCCATTTTTGGGGTTTAATGATGTATTTTTATGGGTCAGGAGTTAAAAAAGGGTTTAAGTTTGCATCTCGGGGAGGTTTCAGTGATGTATACAGCTTTTATAAAAGTCTGCAGTCTCTGTTAGGTTTGGGTTAGGATAACGAGTCGATGTCTGGATTAAACAAACAAAGTTGTTTACATATATTTATTTACTGATTAGTGGAGCAGTTGGACAGCGATTTGAAACCTCCTGAACAGGATCACCTCTGATTCAAATATTTCTTTCAAAGAGCCAAGATGAAGACTGTCAGATGATGACAGAAGTGGACCTGTTCATCTCCACTAAAGCGGTCAAAGTGCTGAATGCTGACACGCAGGTCAGTGACTCGGCATAGAGGCTTCTTCATGTCTGTTTTAATGTTTTTACACATAATAACTTTCACCCATCTCCAGGAGACGATGATGGACAGTGCCTTGCGGACCATCTCCTACATCGCAGACATCGGCAGCATCGTGGTTCTGATGGCACGCAGACGCATGTCTCAGGCCTCTTCGGAGGACTTCTCTGACTCGTACGACTCCGGCAGTGAAGGGAAGAGTCAGTACAGAATGATCTGCTACGTCTTTGAGTCGGATGATGTGAGTGTTTGCTGCTTCGCTGCAGACTGTGTCACACACTGATAAGTGTTGTGGTGTTTCTTGCTTCTTTGTTGTCGTCAACTTGTATAGTTTATTTTCCTGCTGAGTTGTTTCTCCTCAACGCTCCTGCTCCCACAGGCACAGCTGATTGCACAGTCTATTGGTCAGGCATTTAGTGTGGCCTACAGAGAGTTCCTGCGAGCAAACGGCATCAACCCGACCGACCTGAGCCACAAACAGTATAGCGACATCATCAACTCCCAGGAAATGTACCACGATGACCTCGTTCATTTCTCAAACTCAGAGAACTGCAAAGAGGTGAGAGGGTTTCGTTTTAGTTCTTTAAGGCGTGGATGGATTTGCTGCTATCAGACGCGTTAGCTGTTGGTCTGTGTTGCAGCTGGTTGTGGAGAAGCAGAAAGGCGAAAGCCTTGGTGTGGTGATTGTGGAGTCGGGTTGGGGCTCCATCCTGCCCACCGTCATCCTCGCCAGCATGCAGAACAGCGGCCCTGCGGCTCGTTCGGGAAAACTCAGTGTCGGAGACCAGATCATGTCCATCAACGACACGAGTCTGGTGGGTCTGCCGTTGGCCACCTGTCAGGGCATCATCAAGGTATGTTTCTGTGATTGTCTTAGGAGCGCACAGGAATCCGACACAGTCTGCAGAGCCAAGCAAGAACTGAATCAGTCTGATTTTAGTGAGCTGCATAAATGAGAATTACTAAATGCAAGTTTAAACATGAATCCACAGCATATTTTACTTCAGAGCTTAATTCTGCAAAAATAAAACAATTCAAGTTCCTTTTTAGTTAAATCTAATTATAAATTAGACAAATTGATTTCAGGGTTTAAAGAATCAGGTGAAGGTAAAGCTGAGCATCGTGAGCTGCCCTCCTGTCACCACCGTCCTCATCAAGAGACCCGACCTCAAGTTTCAGCTGGGCTTCAGTGTCCAGAACGGCATCGTGAGTCCAGTCTCAGTGAGAGGTTTCCCGAATCCTGAGAATAGTGGTGTAAAGCTTTACCTGTTTGGTTTGTTCCAGATCTGCAGTTTGATGCGAGGTGGCATCGCAGAGCGAGGCGGGGTTCGTGTCGGACACCGAATTATTGAAATAAACGGTCAAAGTGTTGTTGCCATGGCACATGAGAAGATCGTTCAAACCCTGTCTGTCTCTGTGGGTGAGGTAAGAACTCTTTATGCCTTAAAGATGGACAATTTCACTTTTTCCTGCACCACACTAATGCACTGCCGTGGAGACTGGTGGTGTGTAAGGGCTGAGATGTGTTTAATCTAAGAAAGTTATACAACATTTATTTAACCAAGAAACAACATATATTACAGTTGAAAAGGTCATTGTAGTTCAAAAACTAAAATTACTCCTATAAGAGGTGCAGAGGGCATTGGCAGAATAAAGGGGACTCAGTTAGAAGTGCCTTCATTTATTTTAATTAGTGTTAATTTTCATGCCAAGTTTCTTAAATGTAATGCCACAATAATGGATGGAGTCTGAGCTGTGGTGAGAATTATTATTTTTATTTGATGCCTGATTGTAAAAAAAAAAAAAAAGACTAAAGCAAACCTCGGGTCAAATCCCAGCATTTAGGTTGTAACTGAAAATGTCGCCCCCTAGTGTCCTTATTGTGGTATAACAATCTAAACTATGGCATTACATCTTGCACCAACCACCAACACATCACAAAAATTGATACTATTTTGATATTAGTGAAAATAACACAAATAACATGGTAGTGTTCATGCATGCGCGCGTGTGTGTAATTATCTGTAGTTTTAGTAAATTATCTGATGAACCACTGGGCAGATTTTAATGAAACTTGCTGAAAATAATCACTGAACGTCCGTTTATAATTGACTCCTTTTTAAAGTCTACTTCATGTGTTCCTCTCACCTCCTCCCTGGCTCCAGATCAACATGAAGACGATGCCTGCAGTGATGTTCAGGCTGCTGACGGGACAGGAAACACCTATCTACATCTAAAAACCCAGCACAGATCGGACCGCTGCCATTCTGCTGCCCTGGGCGGCTCAGTGGGACGAGGACAATTTATTTTTCTATCATTTGGGTTTTGTTGCCTCTTGTTGCAATGCTGTAAAAGAACATCTGGTTCTCATTTTCAGGTTTTATCTTGAATTGCATTGTCATAATGGCCTTAACGTGAATACTGTCTGTAGTTCTGTACCTGAAGTTATTGGTGTCAAAGAGAAGTAGCTTTATGGCCATGATTATTTTCTTATGAAGAGATAAATTAGCACATTTATTTTTCATTTAGTCATTTTTTATATAAAGTGGATGGGGCTTAAAACTGTACTAATACTGTAAATACTTTGAATTACACAAAGACCTGATTGGAAAGGCCATATTACTTCTGCAAAATACAGTATGCATGTGATTGTTAAGTACAATAACAGACCAGAGACTCATTCTCAATCCAACATAGTAATCTATTACATAAAGTATTACAGTAACAGACGTACAAAAAGCACTGAACTCTGTTTTACGATGACACTGAAGGCCAAAGACACACCTTTTTTTTTGAAGACAAACACCATGAGTGATTATTACCTTTATCAGAGCATTCAAGATTGTATCAATAAGCATCACAGGATGAATGTAACGATAGTGAAAAACTCGAAATTACAATTTCATTGCTGAACTCATTCATTTTTGTTTTATTGATTTATTTCTGCAAAAAATATACTCAAAGCCTCAATATATACAATGTCTGGTCAGATTAATGGGATTTAACCTTTTACCCATCTCTTTGCTCAAGTTTTGTTAATGTAAAATGGCTAGTTAGGTCTCTGAAAGAAATCCTGATGAAATGATGCAACTCTAATTCATAATGGAGTTGAATAAAGGCTATTACATGCATTAACATGTGAATCATTGTTCATACATACACACATTTTGTATCGAACCCATACGAAATGTATATTTTGTTTTTAACTACAGCACCCTGGAATTTTACCAAGTAAAACAGTTATTTACAGTTAACACATAACACTTACAGGCTCACAAAAAAATCAAAACAGTGTGAATTCAAGCGGTCAATGTGTGGCACATTCAGGTGAAATGTTTTCAAGTATGAGCTGAAATTTTCCTGAGCTTCGTGGACCGCCTCATATCTAATCCTGGAAAACAGAAAAACAATTGTTGGCGTTAAATCCACATTGGCTTAGAATAATCAGATAAAAAAACTGTCTTACATCTAGATTGCGGTAAAAAAGTATTTACCTCTTTAAAGATTTCTTCAGCTTTAGCTTTTTTTGTCACATTCCACAAATAAATCTCCACTTTAAAAAAACTCAAGTAAATAGAAGGAATCATTTCAGTTATGAAGGAAAAAAAGCTAACCAAGCCTTAAGCAGCTCCAGACCATCACACTACCACCACCATGCTTGTTTGTCTGATGGTATGATGTTACTGTGCTGAAGCGTGTTGTGCCTACCACTGGGGGGCAGTTGAGGATAAGAAAAGTAGGTGGAGGAGAGGAAGTGCTTGAGTGAGACGTTAAGATGGATGCCTGATTCTGCTACATGTGACGCAGGTTTATAATAAAGCTTGGAAAAGAAATTCCGGCCTATTCGTGATAGTTTCTGATACAACTATGAAACATAACAAAGGGTTGTGTTCGTTTTACACCAGATGTAATTGAGACAACCCCCCCCCCCCCCCCCAAATAAAATTTATAAATAATAATACTTTTCTCTCTTCACAAATATATTCCCAAAATCCTTTTGGGTTAATGCGAGATGGACGTTTGCATACTTCCGCATCACCATTTTTGCACCATCTCCTTTATTGACTCATGAACTTTGACCTTAATCTGAACCATCTGAGACCAGATGTTAGATGTGGCTCTGGGTTTTTATATGCTTAAACATCTTTAAAACATATGCTGCTTTTTGAGATCTTTTCCTCTGACTTGAGAGAAGAGTGAAAGCAAAAGAAATCTGTATGGGTGTAAATATGTTTTCATTGCGCTGTAGTTTACAACAATGAATGCTTTACTGATGGCGTTGCGGCCGATGTGATTGACTTACAGCTGTCGTTTTTGTTGTTAAAGGCAAAATCATCGATCCATCCATGAAAACTGAATTCAGATAACCTTCCCCACAAGAATCCTCCTCATCTTCACAACTGTCGACACCAACGCTGAAAGCTGCTTTCATCTTCTCAGGCATCAGAAAGTTGAACGTCACCACAAGGATCCCAATGATGGTGCAGAGCACACCTGGAAATTGTCTCCTTCAGTAAAATTTACAACATTTCCTTGTGGTTTCATGTAAAAAAAAAACAAAAAGCCTAAATGTACATTTTAGAGCATTTACCTGTAGCCAGAGCCAGCCAAAAGGACTGGCTGTACTCTGTTACAAAGGAATCAGTTCCAATGGAGAAAACACAATGAGGAACATTCATGATGGTGGAGAAGGAGACCATGGAGAAGAAGATGAAGGCAGCGGTGGTCATCATCATGTAGCCGGCATACAGAATGACTGGCATTGAGAAGAGGATATTGGTGAGCATCCAGCAGCAAAATGCTGTCCTGCAAAACAATTCAAGTAGAGCTGATTAAACATCTGTTTTAGACACAACTGAACTAAACTGACATCATGCCATGTGATAATAAAGCTACAAGTGGTTAAGAATCACCAGAGGGTTGCAGAAGCGAATCGTCCAGAGTGTCTGTACTGATAGATCAAACCACACGGGCTGCTCAGGGTGAATTTTTCAACAATGTACAGGATTGGGTTGGGTAGACCTTTCTCAAGAGCCTTCTCGTATTCTTCTTCAATGGTGCTGTGCCAGCTGAACATCTCATTATAATCAATGGTTTCATTGAATTGTACGATGGGATTCCCTGAGAGGGAAAAAAAGATAATTTATTAACAAAAAGTCCTGACAGTCATCTGCTCTGCAGTGTTCATCTTGGAGACTGAATCCTTGTTTTTCATCTGTGACTGAGACGGTTATGATGTCATTAAAACACCTGGACTTCACCTTTCTGCATTTATAAATGGTAAATAGCCTGTATTTGTATAGCGACTTCTTAGGGTTCTACAACCCCCCCAAGATGCTTCACAACACAATCAGTCATTCACCCATTCACACGCTAGTGGGGATGAGCGATGGAGCCACAGCTACCCTGGGGCGCTCTGATAGAGGTGAGGCTGTCCAACACTTGCGCCACCAGTCCCTCCAACCACCACCAGCAGACAAGGTGGGTTGTGTCTTGCCCGAGGACACTTCAGAGCTGGGATCGAACCTGCAACCTACCGATAACTAGACAACCTGCTCTACCTCCTGAGCTACTGCTGTCCCAAAAGATTAATAAGGGTCTGTAGAAAATAGGTAAAACACCTGCTAATTTTCTCAGAGGGAATATAAAGGTCAGGGAAACTTTACATCTCCAAAACAGCTCGAACTCTGACATCATACGTTTGTAAGTCAAAGGTTGAAGTTCATCATTTTGGAAAGACTGCAGGAAAAAGTCCCTTTAAAACTTAGTTGGCAGCACTCAATTTTTCCAACTGAACAAGACTTCCGGAGCAATGTCTTCTGGTCAAATGCAACCAAAGTAGAGATGTTCACCCATAATGCATTGCACTATGTTCTCCCAAAACAAATCCCTGGCATGTAAGCACTAAAACGTGGTGAAATGCTTGCATTAATGTAGCAGAATCTGGACACCTAGCAGTCATGGATTCAGCCATGAACTCCTTTGCATACTGATATTTTCTATAAGTCCAGCTGTAGGTTGGACCAAAGTGGGTCATAAAAACAGGATAATGATCCCAAACCCAGTAGTGGACCTCTAACAGAATGGCTGAAACACGATGGTGGAGTAGTCCAGTCCTGACAGCAACCTGAAATGAAATCCTGCAGCAGGACGAAAATCAAAGAACTAAAGCAACTTTTAAAGGAAAAGTGGGCTAAAGCTCCTCCATAACAACGTAAGACCATGGACGTAATTTTCACTTTAGAAGTGGGGGGGACACGGGGGGGGGGGGGGGGGGGGGGATCTTTACAGTATGCTCTAATGGGAAACAGGCTTCAACACAAACGGTTGTTTTCTGCTTGGTCCTAGAGCTCAACTAGTGTCAATTTAATATAGCGTAATATTGTTTTTGGATGGTAAAAAGTGCAGGGGTCAAAACTTGACTTTGGAAAAAGTGGGGGGGACATGTCCCCCCTGTCCCCCCCCAAAATTACGTCCATGCGTAAGACACACATAAACTCATAACTGAAGATAATTTAAAGTCATTGTCACAAGTTTTTTAATGAACAAGTTCAAACATCAAACATTTTTGTTTTTCAAGTCGTTTCTGCATTTCAGCAGTTAAATAAATAACAACAGTGTTGTGGTGTGTTTTTGAAGCCATTAGGCTGCATTTGTCTAAGTTTAGAACCAGGCAATCACCAGATTATAATGTTTTTAAATCTCAAAGATTAAAAACAAAGATTTGCTCAATCCTTTGAGGCTGCACCTGAGGAGCAGCAGTGACTCACCTCTCAGAGTCACGTTGATGCCGTACAGTCCGACATGCAGGCCCACTTCAGCGTTAATTACTGCGTTGCTGAAAGACTTGTAGGTAGCGTTTGTGGTCATTCTTGCTTCAGCCCAGCTGTTAGTGTAGTTGAGAACTGGCCGAATAGAACAAAGACGTAAATATCGATGGTTCATGAAGGAAAATCTGTGGTTTATTTTGCAGCTTTTCCAAGAATGCAAAACTCACCGACTAAAACCACACCAATGAACAAGCTGGTAATTATCCTGAACAGCCAAAACAGACGCTGATGGAGACAAAAGCAAATGTGTTAAGTAACAAAATTACAGCAAATTCTGCTACCGTCCTCATGAACAAAAAGGGGCTGAAAAAAGATTAAAGGCTGTTTGCAGTGACCTACGGGTTATCTGATGGATCACACTCACCGTCCTTCCTCGTATTCCTGGCAGAATGAGAAGAAGACTGACCGCTAGCACAAGGAAGACCAGAATAATGGTGAGCAACCGGCCGCTGAAGCTGAAGGAAGTCCTTTGTAGAGGGTAGAATGGGTAAATGTCGTCGTAGAAAGTCATCTTAGTGCCTGATCTAAGGATACCGCAGAAACTAGGCAGCGCAACAGAGAAGGCAGTGTTAGAAGCAGAGTACTCGGTTTCCTCCAGATGCAGAGATAGAACTTCATGCAGCTTTAAACCGATAAGGAAACTTGCAATGATCATGTCTGGAAAAAGCATCTAACTGTATTTGTCCAATTTGGTCTTAGCTCATTTGAAACACACATTTGCAGAATTACAAGTCTGTCGTGAACGTTGATGTGATTGCTTTATTCAGGTAATCAGCTTGCTTGAAAGGTACATTTATCCATTTTAATTAAATAGATTTAATCTAAGCAGAAATTAAAAGTAGTGAAAAAGTGTAGAATTTAAGAAAAGTCTCTTACCTGCAATTTACAGGACAAGGATGGAGGAAGAGGAGCGTGAGGTCTGATTGTTGAAGGACCATACACTTCTTTTATACCTGTGGTCCCCCTTCATGTCATAGAGGAGGAGGAGGAGGAGGGTGTTTTCACTGGAATGTTGTGAAAAAGAGGTGTGATCCAGACTTCAAGGCCATTCCCATTTAAGAAATAGGTCACACTTAGTTTAGTGATAAGCTGAGCAACACATGTTGGCTCTAGTGTTGTAGCTTCCCTCAGATGCATCAGCTTTCCTGTGGAACATCTCTGCCTCTGCACTGGGTGAGATTACTTTCCTTTTGTTATTCAAAAATAAAAGATTAATGAATGATTATATCGATTTAGTGTAATTCTAATTTAATTAATTTATGGTGGTAATTTTTGTGCACTTTTAGTATTTTTTATATTTTCTGCTAAACTGGATAACTATGCATTATGTCAAAGTATTTTAAAAGCAAATGTCAGTTACCTGAAGTTTGTCTTCACTTTCCAAAAGTCCTTAACGCCCCTTGGCTTATGAGACTGAGCCGAGAAGCATCCTTCGCTTCAATGGATTTGCGTAAATGGGCTTGGAGTGTGTGCGCAGTGGCTGGCTTGCTGCTCACGCTGACTGAACGTAAGTCAACAACAGAATAAAAGTCAGAGTAACTTTAAAGAATAATGTTTAGTTTCATTTAAATAATCACCAGATTCTAGGAGTGAAATGACCTGGGAGGCGCCTCGCTTCGACGGCTGGTACAACAGTTTGGGTTATCCCAGACGAGGAGCTGTTGGTAAGTCACACAGCAGCAGGGGGTTAAGGTCACGCGCTAGGCAGGAACACAACTGGTCACCTCTCCTTGTGTTCGTGCTCGCGCAGGTTCTCACCTGGTGCGCCTCGTGCCCGCGCACTACTGGGACGGAGTTTACCGAGCTGTCCACGAGCCGCTGCAGCCGAACCCCCGCCGGCTGAGTAGGGTTCTGGCTGCAGGACACTCCGGTCTGCCCTCAGCGCGCAACCAGACCGTCCTCTCTCTCGTCTTTGGTAAATATCTGACCACGTGACACACTTAGAAAACAACGTTTAACCTGTTTAGGTAGAACGCCTCTGTGGTTGGTCTTAATAATATTTATAAGCTGTATCATCAGGGGTTATCCTCTCAATATGTTCCTCGTACAGTTTTATACCCAAAACTTTGCTGCCAGAGTTGTTATGAGGCCGAGGGGGGTCACACTTGTCCAGTTTTATCATTGGCTCACTGGAAAATCCAGAATTTATTGTATTTATAATACGGAGGCTCAAGCTCCACCTGTTTATAAACCGTCCTTCAGATGTTCCCACAGTCAGCTCTCTGGCTGCTTCCAGTTTTCATCTGGTGCTAGCCTGGCTCGTCCCTTTAGTTATGCAGCTATATAGTCTCTGACTCCAAGCCTTGTTCTGTTGGAAGTGTCATTCCTCCCCACTGTCACCCATTGCCCAGCACTTGCTTAAAGGTTTCAGTGAAGTAAAGAAAATAAACACATTTAGTTTTCTTCAAAATTGAAACATAATGGCTCTAATTTATTTCCACTAATTTACAGCTTTTTAAATATCCAAACAAGTCAGAACATGTCAATTTTGACCTGCATGTCCAGCTGTATGCCGAATAAATGATTCGCTATGATTGCATTGATTTGAGCCCAGAAGCAGGATGTTTTTCTCCCACCTTAAATGCTGTTGTACTGTAACCCTTTAGAAATGTAGAAAAACTGGTGAAAATTTTAATTTGATAATTTTTCTGATCAACATCTCAGGTTATCACCTTACATTTGAAATTGTCGACTCAAGACATCCTGGTTGTCCACCTGAGTTCATGAATATCCAAGTCCCAAAAGGAGATCCTGTCTTTGATCCCACTGGCACCGGGAAAGTCCTGCTGCCTTTCCAGAGAGGACAATGGGACAAAGAATCTGGGCAGAGTCCCAGCAACCCTCGCACACAGGTGATGCTCACTGATACCTGTTGGAGTGTAATGAGTGCTGCACTTTCATGCCTTAGAGCAGCTTTCAGGAGAAGACGTGAGTCAGACAGTTTTTATTGTCTTAGACATTAAAGCGGTTTGAGTGTAATCCCTGCAGGTGAACTCTGTGACGGCATGGATTGATGGGAGCTCCATCTATGGTCCATCTTCTTCTTGGTCAGACTCCCTGAGGAACTTCTCTGGAGGACTCTTGTCTTCAGGGTCTGAGTGGAACATGCCTAATCAGGGAGGGGGCCGTAATTTCATGTGGAGTGCTGCTGATCCATCCACAGGAGAACATGGACCACAAGGCCTTTATGGTGACACTTTTTTATTTGACTAAAGAGACACTTCACAAAGAACTCATCAGATGTATTCTTAGACATCCGGAACTTCATCTTGTCCAAACTGGACTTCAAAATGTGTTACAATAATCGCCCCCTTGATACAGAATGCCAAATAAACCGGCAAACAAAGAAAACTGTTTGCAATCATTATTTCACCTCTAGATCCGGGTTGCAGCCAAAGCCTGAGTCAAAAGAGGCCCGGCCTGACGTGACTCTAATTATTGTGTAAATGCCGTGTCGTGCTGACCCGAGTAAATCCTTCTTTCAATAGCAGAGATGAAGCCACGGATGTGTCATTAAACCAGTGTTTTGTTGCATGTGTTATGAAAGTTGCATAGTTATTATCTGCAGCAGAGAGTGGGGATCTTCTAATGTCCTTGCACTGCTGACACGTTTCTGGCAAAAATCTAATTTATTTCCCCATTTATGGTTACAGATATTTTTACAGGACTCCGCTCAAAACACTTAGTATGCAAGATGAAAGATTTGAAGATATTTTTAGAGACAAAACAAGCCTTTCCTACAGTTTGACTATTTTGTATTGTGTTTTTGGCTGCAGTGATAACCAACCTGATGAAAAAGCAAAACTTCCTTGTTTGTTTCCATCCTCTGTTTCCAGAGTTGGGAAACGCCTGGGCCAATGAGAACATGTTCACGGCAGCAGAGGGAATTATCTGGTTTCGCTACCACAATTATGTTGCCTCCAAACTACACAAGGAACACCCAGAGTGGTCAGATGAGAAGCTGTTTCAACATGCCAGGAAGACCGTTGTGGCTACGTTCCAGGTAGAGGGAAAAGATTCCATGTAATCCTCTCGCTGCACAGACGCTGATTTAATTTGCACTCTGGAAAGATGGAGGTTGCATCAGAGACAGGTGGTCGTTAAAGACCTGTACGTCATCTCCTACACCTCCTGTCCCCTGCACGTACCATCCTGAACAGCAGTGCATTCTCATACATTTAAGGTCAACAGGGTCATGAAAAGGGAAGTCTGAAGGTTTAGTTGAGACATCTAATGAATACATTAAGGAAACTGCACTCACTCTTACTTTTCCCATATTTCCATACAGAATATTGCCCTTTATGAATGGTTGCCAGGTTACCTCAGAGGGAAAAAACTTCCTCCATACCCGGGTAAGATTCACTTTCTTCATCCGGGGAATGTGTGTGTACAGGTGAAGGGGCGCGGGTGACCACAGTTCATGGTAATGTGAGCTTTTGGTGGTGTTGTTGGACAAATATTTGCTCCGTCAGCAAAAGCATCACCCTGAATCCCTCTTTTACTGCTGAATAAGCAGCCGTGGCTAAAGAAAGTTAAAGAACAATGGTCAGACGGGCTTACTCGCTCTGGGTATTTGGATGAATCTGGAGATTTTTTGTCTGCTTCTGTTATGTTGTGTTGTTATGTTTTTTCCCCCCAGGCTACCAGAAGTTTGTTGATCCAGGGATCTCACCTGAGTTTCAGGCTGCAGCCATAAGATTTGGTGTCACCATGGCCCCCCCTGGTGTTTACATGAGGTAACGACACGCATTCAGACTATTCAAACCCAATAGTTTATGTTCTGTAATAAATAAACAGTGTTTTGTGTTGAACTGTGGTTGGTCATAACACACTCTGAATTGTTAACAAATCACATGAGAATCTGTGAGGTGACAGGAGATGTGCATTCCTTTATAAACCTTTATTTGACTCTTTTTTCTCTACAGAAACAAAACATGCCATTTTCAGACGATTATGAACATGGATGGAAGTACATCACCAGCCCTGCGCCTTTGTAACAGTTTCTGGAAGCGGCAGGTAAAATGAATGTGTTTAGTTTAAGTGAAAGAGCATCTGACAACAAAATGACAGCTATGTGCATTAGATACTTTACATCCCTCTCCTTCATTCATTCCTCCAAACTGTTTTTCCTCAGTAGGGTCACAGTTGCTGCTTTTCCTTAGTAGGGTCTTGGGGAGTTGGTGTCTAACTCCAGCAGTCATCGTGTGAGAAGCAGGGGACACCCTGGACAGGTCCCAGTCCATCACAGGGAGACACACACATAGAGAGCAAAGTACAGAAGATGTGGACATCGATCATAGATTTAGCTTTAAATACAAATCTCTTTTCATGAGTTCTGACTAGTTTTAATTATTCTAAAATGTCAAATCAAGTTTAAATAATGACTTTGCTCTTTGATAAATCCGTAGTCAACATGCGTTAAATGTTTCATTAAAGCCCACAGAGAATTTTGAGTTCTGCTGAATACAGATGATTTAAAGGCTCTTCAAAGATAAAGAAAGAAAGAGCTCAGAGTGAAGCGTTAGCATTTAGCTAATTTTGGGCTAAAACACCAACTCTGTGTAGGCAGAAAGAGACCTAATATATACCCTTGGATGATGCTAAAATATCATAGGAATAGTATTTTTTTGCTGTTTCACAATTAAAGTTTTTTTTAGTAAAGAGCTGTAAAATCTGAGATGAATTACCTCAAACTAAAGTTAAGATTTACAGTTATTGTTCATAAACAGCTAATTATCAGTGCTGCTGTTCTGATATTACTAATTTTATATCATACTGACATTAATTGATTTGATGAAAAAAAAGTAAATTGTGTTTGGTGATTTTTGTAGTTAGTCTTAGATATAATAAATCTGTTTTTTCCAGAGCAACAATGTGAAAACAAGCCAGGATGTGGATAATCTCTTGATGGGCATGGCATCTCAGATTGCAGAGAGAGAAGACAATATCGTTGTGGAGGACCTGAGAGGTTTGTCTTATTCATTCCTGTTTTTTATGTGTTGCATTTATTACATTTTAGTAATATTCACTGTTTTGAGTTGATTCAGATTTCATGTATGGGCCGCAAAGATTCACCCGCACAGACCTGGTGGCTCTGACCATCCAGAGAGGGCGTGACTTTGGTCTGCAGAGTTACATCCACGTGAGAAACGCTCTGGATTTGCCTCCTGTAAAGACATTTGAAGAAATCAACCCAGAACTCAACAGAAACAACCCACAGGTTTAAGGCTAACCACTCCCAAGCAAACATCACGGAGGAGCTCAATCCTGTCAACAAAACTTTATTTTTGTCTTTTTCTATGTCAGTTGCTCCTTGATGTTGCAGAGCTGTATGACAGAGACATCTCTAAACTGGAGCTGTTCCCAGGAGGACTGCTGGAGTCCACAGATGGTCCAGGTCCAGTTTTCTCTGCCATAATCCTGGACCAGTTTGAACGCATCAGAAACGGAGACCGCTTCTGGTTTGAGAACAAACAGAATGGGTAATCTCAGACTGGAGATGATTCACTCTTGACACACAGCTGGTATCCTTCAGGTCTGACTTTGACGTCCTTTTCAGTTTGTTCACAGACGAGGAGATCCAGATGATCCGTAGAGTCACTTATCACGATGTTCTGATCGCAGTCACAGCTGCAGAGGCCACGGATATTCAAAAAAATGTTTTCTTTTGGAGGGATGGTAATACAACAAATCTTTGTGCCAGATGTGTATTTTTTTAATATTGTTTAACATAATGAACTCTTCTCTTTGCCCAGGTGACCCCTGTCCTCAGCCCACACAGCTGACTACATCTGTGCTGCAGCCCTGCACCAACGCCACTAAACTTAATTACTTTAATGGGAGCCAAGCTGCATTTGGGATATTTATCACAGCCATGATGCTCTTTCCTCTCGGTCAGTACATTGCTTCTTAAGTTTGCACATTATTAATGCTGAGATCTTGTTAAATGTCTAATTATTTAACCATGTCAGTGAGTTATCTGGTGGCCTGTATGGTGGCGTATCTGAGGAAGTACAGGTACAGGAAGTTCCAGAGAAGAAAAGGAAAAGCTGCTGGCAGAGCAGAGGAACCGGCTGTGGGAATTACCGGTAGGAAATTTGTAGGATTCTTGTTTTGTTGTTGTTGTTGTTGTTAGTTTCTTTTTTTTGATAAAAAACTTTTTAGATTTTATTGTACCTCAATGTCTGCTTTAACTGGTGGCTGGGCGTTACCTGGAAAGTATCCATCCATTCTCATCAGTACCATTTATCCCTCAGATGGACCGCAGGGAGCTGCTGCCTCATTCCAGCAGTCATTAGATGAGAGACAGGGTACATATTTGACCGGTTCCCAGTCCAAATGAGGGAAACGCAGACAAACCAAAGATTAGATCAACATATCGGAACGAGGGAAAAATGTTACCAAAGATGCTAAATATTTTTCAAAAACCAACACAAAGTTCCAAAAGAATGTGAAGTGCTCAAAAGGAGTCAAGAAGATGCACAAATAAAAATTTACATGAAACTTTTGCAATATTTTATTTTTAGTTTTGCACGTCTAAAGGTTCCTCCACTATAGACGGGGATTTACTGCACCGCTGGTTTTTATGAGCAGGATCTCTCACAAATATAAAGCTGATAAGAGACGGATTGATTACGGCTAAAATGCTTTAATATAATCCTTGTATTTCTTGATATTTAACTTTTGTTCCACTGCAGCGTATGAGTGGCAAGGCCATAAAAAACAGCTTCTCCCAGTGAGCGTGGAGGTCAAAAAGAAGCAGCTGCAGGTTTTTGACAGATCTGGGTCTTCTCACCGCATCCTCAATCTGGGTAACCAGGACTACCTCGATGTCCTTCTCTCCAATGACTGTCATCATAAAGCTCTGATACTAAAAGTGCCAAAAGAGTACGACCTGGTGAGTGTAGCTGCTGGAAGATTTAAAACTCTGACGCCTCTGCAGACAGATTTCCTTGTCCAGATTTCTCCCCGACAAAGCCGAATCTAATGTTTTTTACCCCTCTGATGTAAGCATGACTCTGCAGATAAATCCGGTCTCCATCACTTTTATCTTCCTCCAGCCTCGCTTATCTTTTCCCGTTTACACATCCAGGTGCTGCTTTTTGATGACGAGAGCAAACGCACAGAATTTGTCGGGTGCTTACGCCTGGAGGTGGCAGACATCAGGCAGGAGATTAGAGTGAAGGAGATGAGTGAGAAGACGCTGCTGAAGGAGGCTCTAACCAAGGAGGAAAGAGCTCAGATTGTGGAAACGTTCATTCGACACGCTTTCTCTAAGGTACAATCACCCTCTCGGTGTTTACCTCATCCGCCCCTCTGTCACAGCAGGAGCTGCCTCACACTTGGCCACAAAACGTCCATAATTCTTGTTTGAGGTCAAGTTAGGTTTGACCCCAAGCCAGAAGAACTAATTGTTGGTTGGTTTTGACAGTGATTTCATGCATGACGATACCTCCAGCTGACGTCAGAAGCATCGTTTAATGGTAGCAAATTATAACGCCATCCCTCACCATCCATTTGGTTCGCAGGTGTTGGAGATAGAGAAGTGTGACGCTGGCGATATGGGTGGCATTTCTCGTAAGCGAGCCAGAGAGGTTCTGCAGTGCGAGCTGACAGCATCAGAGTTCGCTGACGCACTCGGCCTCAAGCCCGACTCCTTATTTGTGGACTCCATGTTCACCCTGGCTGATAAAGATGGGAACGGTTACCTCTCCTTTCAAGAGTTTCTTGACGTTATAGTAATCTTCATGAAAGGTAAAACACATGAATGGAACACTCTAAAAGGACAATTTTCTAAATGTGTGAATTATTATAGAAAATTGATGAAATAAAGATGAAAATACTAATGCACAGATGCTTGGAGCTGTAGATGTGTGACACTTTTATAATGTCAGTGAAGGTGTGTGTATGAATCCAGGGTCTTCTGAGGAAAAATCCCAGCTGATGTTCTCCATGAATGACATTGGTGGAACTGGTTATTTATCAAAAGAAGAGTTTGCCAGGATGCTCAGGTTCCAGCTACACCTTCCTTTCTTTGTGTCTAATAGGTTTCTCTTTTGACTTTCTGATCATCATCTCTGCTTTCTAAAAATGCAGGTCTTTTATTGAAATCTCCAACGGCGCGCTGTCAAAGAAGCAGGCAGAGGACGGCATCAAGGCCATGATGGAGGCTGCAGGCTTCAACAACAAGGAGAAAGTCTCATGGGCCGACTTTCACTTCCTCCTGAAGGACCACGAGAAGGAGTTGCAGTTCGCTCAGCTGAATGTTAAAGGTTGGAGAAGTTTGGTTTCAGACGTTTGTCTTTTTGCTTCCTGGTGCATCTGTGTGTCCGATGGGTTCAGGGATGGAGAAGCAGGAGAAGAGACGTCTGAATCGAGACCAGCGGGTGTCCTTCATCTGTCCAGCAAGCAGGCAAGAAAACATCATTTTTACACAAAGTATAAAAAGTTGACGAAGCTTGTTTCAAAGGAAGATTTTCATTTGATGACAGATCTGAATGATTTATGTTTGCAGCACAAACAAAACAGAAGGACCCGAGTTACGAAGGAGGAAAAAGTACGCTTGATTGTTGATTTTATTCTTGTTTCTATAAATGTTTCTGAATTTAAAAAAGGAATAATTAAAATAAATAATGCTGCACAACTTTAACCATATGAGTAGAGGTTTATAATTACCATAGCATCGGAAATTTGATTCATTAACATGTTTTCTTAATTAAATTGAACAAATTCATGGATGTAATCAGTTTTGTCTCGAAGAGCCAGTGTTTTGATTTCTGTGATGTTAGGCTGATGGAAACCAAGACTCCAAATGTCTACGTGAAGCCTAAACGTGAGCGGTACATCAGGAACCCATTACAGCAGAAAATCCAGCAGTTCAAACGCTTTGTTGAGAACTACCGCCGCCACATCATGTGTTTGATGGTCGTGTACGGCATCACAGCCGGTGTGATAACTGAGAGATGTTACTGTGAGTGGACAACGTTTTCACCTACTGACCGGTCCTCGTTTATTATCAGCTTCACGTGTTTGTCTGGTCTGTTTAGACTATGCTGTGCAAGCTAAAGCCACAGGGATGCCTGAGACATCAGCAGTGGGAATCATCTTTGCTCGTGGCTCGGCGGCCGGCGTCTCCTTCCTGTTTCCCTACATGCTTCTCACCGTGTGCCGTAACCTCATCACGCTGTGTCGAGAGACGTTCCTCAGCCGGTACATCCCCTTTGATGCTGCCATCGACTGCCACCGCTTCATGGCCATGACTGCCATCATCCTCTCAGGTCGGTCTGCAGCATCTCAAATAGAGATAGCCCGATCTATCGGTCGACCAATTTATTAGGCCGATATTTACCTTTTTTTTAATATCTGCATGAGTTGATATACCTCTTTTGTAGAGCCGATTAGCAATATATATATATATATATGTTGCAAAATTTAAATGTATATTTAGGCTCCTGAATATCGTCTGATTAATAAGTGCTGTAAAACATTATTGTCAATTGACATTTATCTTTATTCACCTGTTTTTGTATATTTAATACTTGATCAGTTCACTGTTTTGTTGATTAACTTTGGTTAAACGTCTGGTGAGTTGCTTCAGACACGTTGAGTTTCCACTGTTGTTATCATCAGTAACACTTTAACACGCAGATAAGGTGGAAAATGTCTAGATATTAACCATGAAAATCACCCCCAAAAAAATCAACATCACATATCGGCACAGGAAATAGAAAAAAAACACATCGATCCATTTCTAACTTCAAAGAGAAATTGTATCACTTTTTTGTGCTAAAAGTTTTAATAAATGTTCCTCAAAAAAGGACAAGATGAATATAAAATGGTGATTTTGAAAATTAGGACTATAAAAGCAGCTGAAGACGTTTGTTTTGTGTTTTGAGTCTTTGGGTCATTCTGTTGATGTTGTTTGTTGCAGTTGTCCACACTTTGGCCCATGTAGTAAACATCTACATATTTTCCATCAGCGACCTCAACATTCTCTCCTGTCTGTTTCCCAAAATCTTACCTAACAATGGGTAATAGTTCTCACTTGACTTTGAAATGTTTTAATGTTTAATCAGTTGATTTAATAGTAATTGCTTCTTTTAGGTCTGAAGTTCCTCCCAGGTGGTACTGGTGGTTCTTCCAGACGGTTCCAGGTACAACATAAAAGACTTTTTTTTTTATTTTATTTAAACCATTTGTTGAACTCTGTTGCCATTTATGTGTCATTTGCTTTTTTTAGGAACCACTGGTGTCTTTCTCCTCTTTACATTTGCATTCATGTATGTTTTTGCCTCTCGGTATTTCCGTCACATCAGTTTTCGTGGGTTTTGGATCACTCATTACCTCTATGTTGTTGTCTACATTCTGGTAAGTACTGCCTGCCTTTAGTGTGCACTCACTGAAGCTGTAGGTTGGTGGTTTAACGTTAGCTTTGTGTTTATTTAACAGATAGTTATACATGGCAGCTTTGCTCTGCTCCAAGAACCTCGTTTCCACATCTACCTGATCCCTCCTGCTCTGATCTTCCTGCTGGATAAACTGATCAGCCTGAGCAGGAAGAACGTGGAAATCCCTGTTGTCAGAGCTGAGCTTCTTCCTTCTGGTGATCAGAAGACATAAGCTTTCTTGGTCATGGTTTTAGATCGTTTCTTCTATTGCCGTTTTTGCTTCCTCTGGCTGTCGTCCCTGTAGGTGTTACACATCTGGAATTCAAGCGACCTCAGGGTTTCATGTACCGTTCGGGTCAGTGGGTTCGGGTAGCGTGCCTGATGCTGGGAACAGATGAGTACCATCCATTCACACTAACATCAGCACCTCATGAAGAGACCCTCAGCCTGCACATTCGAGCTGTAGGACCCTGGACCAGTCAACTCAGAGAACTTTACACTGAAGAAAACCTTCTTGAGCTTGGAGCTTATCCAAAGGTAAGCTAAGGCTTCATCTGTTGTTATTTTTTTTTAAATTTTGCCCTTGAATGACCATTTCTTTTAATCGTAAGCTTTACCTGGATGGGCCGTTTGGTGAGGGCCATCAGGAGTGGATCGACTATGAGGTGTCCGTTCTGGTCGGGGGAGGAATAGGCGTCACACCGTTCACTTCCATCCTCAAAGACCTGGTGTTCAAATCCTCCATCAAATCCAAGATTATGTGTAAAAAAGTGTGTCTTTAAAATCCAATAACACACACCTGGTTTGGCCCTGAAGTCTTGTAGCTAACAGTCAGGTTTGGTTTGAAGGTATATTTCATCTGGGTGACTCGGACACAGCGTCAGTTTGAGTGGGTTTCAGACATCCTCAGGGAGGTGGAGGAGATGGACACTCAGGAACTGGTCTCGGTTCACACTTACATCACTCAGGTGGCTGAAAAGTTTGACCTGCGCACAACCATGCTGGTGAGGCTGATTCATTACAAGATGTTGCTTCCACTCAGATCATAAAACTAATCGTTCCTTTATGCTGTGAACCTAGTACGTGTGTGAGCGCCACTTTCAGAAGGTGTGGAGCCGCAGCCTCTTCACTGGCCTGCGATCCGTCACTCATTTTGGCAGACCGCCCTTCGTTTCCTTTTTTAGTTCTCTGCAGGAGGTTCACACGGAGGTCAGACTTTCATCCACCTCTATCAACCAGTTCATCAGCCAAGCTCCATCCTTATAACTTTAAAATGTTTTTTATGTTGTTTTTTTAATGCAGGTTGGGAAAATTGGTGTTTTCAGCTGTGGACCACCTGGACTGACCAAGAACGTGGAGAAAGCTTGTCAGCACATGAATAAAAGGGACCAGGCTCGTTTTATACATCACTATGAGAATTTCTGACCTTTTCTAAACTTTACAGCAAAGCTACATGTAGTGAGAACAAAATCATGGAGCCAGTTTAGCAGGGTTAGTTTTTTTAGGTTATTTTTTCTTAGTTGCTGACATAATTGTTACTTTGATTGAATAAACACACTTGACACTTTAATCTGGTAAACCTGTAGTTACAATGAATAGTTGGTCACAGATTAAGTCAGAAAAAAGTCAAGTATAAGTTTATAATTTAGTTTATGAATTCATAATTTCAGTGGGCTTGATGTGCATGTGTTTAAATATGCACTCAATTAAATGTTAATCTTTGTCACTCGAGTGAGTAAATCTAAATGTAGCTACGCTTTTGTTTTTAGGACATTTGATTGTGAAGTTTTCTGAATAATTCTCCAGATGCTGCTCATATTTGGACTAAAATGACTTTAAATCTTCTAAACTTGTCGAAATTTCAGCTCAAATCAAATATGGACTTTTATTTTGTTTGATTTTGTCTTTTTTTCTTTATGTGTTATTTTAGTTTGCTAATGATATGAAGGCTTTGCAGTCTTCATCCATCCTTTTCAAAGCGTTATTTACATGAATGTGTTATTAAAAGTTTGCCTAAAGTAAAATCTCCTCTGACAACTTAGTTTGCTTATTAAATGAATGTCAGATTAATAAAGGTGGGTGTATTTATTCGCATTTGAATAAATTAACCAGGAAGTCACAACCAAAATGAAAACTGTAAAACAAATTAAATAAAGAAGTTATAAAGAAAGATGATCTAATTTTGTTTTTCACAGGATTGTCGTGTCTGTACTACATGAGCCTGCAACTCACAGAACCCCATAAAAAATAAAGACACAAGTGCTTTTGCACATAAAAGTAAATACTGGCGACTGTTTAATCCTTGAGCAGCTGATTAGGGGAACTTGTTGGTGCCCCCGCTATTTGATTTAAGTGCAAGGTTTTGGTTTAAACTCCCTTATTGCTCCTCAAAAAATCCTTAAAATTCATGCAAGATGATCTGTGATCACGAGCATCCATGTTCCTTAATAGCAGAAAGGGAGATCAACAAGTTCAAACCATAATCTGTAAGTAAATCACTCAAAGAAAAAGGGGATTCAGCAAAAGTTGACTTACCCATCGCCTGCTCACTAAAATAAACTCCTCTCCGGCGCACAAATCTGTAGTATAATTATCACCACACCACGTGACCCCAGGCTACGACTGTCTAGTACGTTCACACGGTTCACACCTTCCAATACTGAAAGCACATAAACTAGTTACAATTAAACTATTATTCAGTTGTTGTTTTTTTCTCTTCTGACTTCTGCAAGAAAAACAAACCTGCCAAATAATAAAATATATAAAATAATATATTTCCCCATCATGTACCAAAATGACTTCAACATCCACCCTGTGGTCCAGAACCTTCATGATGAAACATGTAGATCCCAACCATCTCTGCCATGTGTTTTTGAACACCTTGGTCATGACTCTGTTACAACAACTGATAAAGTAAGTTACATTGAATTCCTAGGGTTAGGGTTAATTTGAGAATTATTGTTTAAACATGGCCCAAATCCATATTTACATAATGACCAACAGAGTGTAATCCAGTGCTTTTTTGCCTGTTTCATTTTTAAAAAGCTAGCATATTTTCACACACACACAAAAAAAAATCTCACTTATCTGGGCCAAACCCTGAATTTTTTTCTATCCTAAATCCTGATCATATCCATCCTGGTCAATCCCAAAGAAAATGTCAACATCTAGAGTTCTGCCTCCTTTCTTTCTCTCATGGACACTTTCTCTAAACAACTATGCTGCTCCCTCTACAGTCTTGTGCACCTTTCCTTTCATTCTTGCATTCACTAGACAACTGACCTCTGTAGTCGGCTTTAGGATGAAGTCTTATTTAAATGAATGGTTTGCAACAACCGATAAAGAAAATGACATTTAATTCCTAGCTCATGGCCTGTTTGACTTATAGTATCACTGTTTGACACTTTGGGACTTAACTGATAAAAACTGGTCAAAATAACACAAATATTTGCCTTAGATGAGGTTCTATTGCTTGGGCTCTAAATTATTGGCCTCTGTGACTAATTACTCAGTTTAAATTTACCAAACAAAGAGTAAATTCACCACTAACTAATTACAATGTTGGTTAAAATGCACTCAAATGGAATTTAAAGTCAGTTAACATCAAGGATCCATTCTACCAAACCGACTGAGGCAAAGAGTAATGTTGTAAAAGTAAAATACTACAGTCATGACAAAGCTTGATCCCTGCTTTCTGCAGTGAATCTTCTTGGTCAAAAGTGGGTTTGGAAAACCATTTCACGCTCTTCTAATCTCCCTGATTTCGCTCAGAAAAAGACATTTTAATCTGCACTTGCTACTAGCTCATTTTGTTAGCTAAACATGTGTTATAGAGCAAGGATCAGAGTAGTATACTATTTCAGATTCAGCCCACACAATAATTATAAGGCAGTAATTTTCTATGTTGATTCATTTTTCTTACTGTCTTTTACTATTTCAAGCAGGGTTTGAATTACGGGGGAGCTAAGGGGAGTCCGGCTACCCCCAAAGGAAGATGGGCTCCCCTAGAAGCCCTCATCTTACACACCCAGGGGGAGCTTGAAAAAAAAGAGTTTCAAGTCCAGCTTCAGCTTATATTACATTATTTAAATGGACTTTCAGTGTACTTGTCAGAACCAGAACCTGGAGTGAATCGGACCCAAGAATTCATCCAACACCAGAATGAAGCAGTAATAGTTTTTTTATTGGTGAGGATTTATTGCTCTGTTCCAGATGCCGAGCACAGGAACTGTTTGCTGGACTGCCAAGAGTTCCCTGACAAGCAGCACTGGAACATAAACAGCAGATGGTTAGCAATCTCTCACCATGGGGGGGCAACCCGGGGGGGCATGGTCATGAGTACAGTCCAGGTGGGTACACGGGGGTCAGATATCAGGAAGGCACCAAGGTCCAGGAGGCAGAGAGGTATCAGAGAGGAGGCAGGGGTCGATAGCCGGGAGATCCAGGTCTGTGAGGTTTAGCAGGCAAGGGCAGGAGTCCTGGGAGCAGAAACAGGGTAAAAAAAACGTAGAAAGGATTGGATTGGATTGGCTTGGCTTGGCTTGGCTTGGCTTGGTAAAGGCTGGATTTCGTCTGCAAGAGCTTCAGATAATCTGGTGCAGTTCTAAGTCCCACCACAAAAAGAAATTGATTAACATGCAATCGTTCATAATAAAAAAAAGAGCCCCCCAGGAATCATCCACTTATAAATTGGTGCTGCACAGCAGATGGACACGAGAATAAAAAAACTGGAAGACTGGAGCACTCGGGTGAGCCAAGGTTAATTAAGTGCGAATAAAACAAAGGAAAAGCAACGTTTCAACATTAGATGCGTCTTTGTCAGAGTTACATCTGAACAACAAGGCAGCTTCATTATGTACAGATTTATTTATTTAGAACAGTGCATGTTAACATCAGTCATGCTAAAACATGCCAGAGTTAACCATAGGCTAGTTTACATCTGTAGTCCTGTGCCAGTTGTACAGTTGACATCCTAGGGAGGACATAAAACACACATGCAAACTATAAAAAGGCTACTATAGAAGAGGTAGAGTAGTCCAGTACAGAACTGAGTAGCATATTAATCCTTTCATCGACTGCCTGGTGGCACAGATGTCAGCACTGTTGCCTCACAGGTCACAGGTTTGAAACTTGGCTGTGGTCTTTCTGCGTGGAGCTGCATGTGTGGGTTTCCTCTGGGTAAAAAGTGGACTTTTTATTATATTGTATTTTCCTCATATGGCATTTGTTCATTTTGATGTGACTCACATATAAGAGCAGGTTAACAAGCTCATCATCTTTAAATTATAGGAGTAAAGATAATTTCATCTACATTCATGCCATTTTGTTACAGAAAATCCTGGTTTTATTAAAGTTTTAACAGTAATTGGGAAAAGAAGCTGATGCAGAGCAGAGGAGAGGAGACAGTTTATCCCATGCAACATTAGTAAAAACTGTCATAAACTGTGTGCCAACCTGCAGCTGGTCAAACTCATGTGTTGTGTTACTCCCATCACTGTTAGTGTAAAATTAAAGAAACTGTTTTATTTATTTAGTCCACATAATTATTTACTCTTAAATGCAACCAAATGGTGATTTAATACATTTTCTGCAGAAAATGTTAGACTACTACTCATAAACCAAAAAGCATCCAGCAGAAATAATCATAATAAACACCAGTTTTATTAGTCAACTTATGTATTTTGTTTGTCTCATTGATCAAAGGACGCCCTCTTCTGGTGGGGATCAGGACACCCTCCTCACTCATGCATCAGATGAAATGGGAATCAAGGTCAAATTTGTCTGTGCTACATTTTTTGTTTCTTATGGATTTTTAGCACAATATACCAAACTCTCCTTTGAACGTCCTTGCGCCATCTTAATATGTGTGGACGCTTGTCTTCACCTGAACTCAATGGGTCAGCTCACATTATGAAAACCTTTTAATCTGGCTTTAATCAGGATTCACATTTGCAGCAATAAAAGGCAGGTGAGCTATTGGATCAATGGCCTGATGAATTTCACCGCTTTCACATTCAGGAGGCTTTTAACCGCTTGTCTCTTTCATTTTACACCAAATTTCCTCCGTGAACGGAGACTTTCAGACTTGATTTGAAACACCCTGTTGGTTTCTGGGCTGGTCAGCAGTCCTTGAAACAACTGTATGTAATTGCTCTAAGTTATCCTCCAAGAAGTTTCTGAGTAGGAAAAAAAGTTTGCTAACTGCTTCAGAGAATGTTTGATCTTCCAACAAGATAACACAAGACATAGGGATGTCTGAGAAGTGGTGAACAGTGTACACCAGTACACTTAAGGAGCCGATAATCTTCTTAGAGTAGCTAAGTACCCAGCTAGAAATCAGCTCCTGTCCAGATTGTCTCTTCCTGCCCCAGATAAACGACTCAGACAACAACAAAGAGAGGCTCAAAAAATATGCGGCATAGTCTATTCTCTGGCGTGAAATATGCACCTCCTCTCCTTTGGGAACTGTGCTGACAGAGCGGTGGAAGAAGTTCTGGTGGGTTTCTTTGACTTGAAGATGTTCGGCAGTGGCCCTAAGAAGTGGTTTGTGATGAAGCAAAAGAGGCAGCAGCAAAGGTCTGGCAGGAAGCCATGCACCAGGAAGAAGAAGAGATGGGCAGCTAAGATCCTCAAAGAGCACAGGCAGCAGATCCTCTGTGAGCTGGACGTCAACGCAGTGCTTCCCTTTCTGGTGTACGACAAGGTCTTCTCACTGGTGGAGTACAAGGACATCCTGGGACAGGAGTCCAGCAGGAGACGGACAGAGGTGTTCCTGGACCACCTGAGCTCAAAGGGGCCTGCAGCTTTCAGCTCATTCTGCTCTGTTTTGGAGGAGGTGTGTCCCCACCTGCTAACCTGCTTCCTGTTGGATGGAGAAGGTACATTCATCCACTAATTACAAACACAAAAACACCTGCTGTGTTCTCTGTGAAGGAAATATTTAATTCTTTCTCTTCATTTTAGGTTGCATTTAGTGAAATATAAAACCAGCAAGAATACGAACAATTAAAACAGAAAACTACTTATCAGTGAGCCAGAGCTGCAGAATAAGAGCCTGCAAAAAATAGCCTCTTAAATCTGGCTGGCTGAGGGGATTACTGAGCTGCCAGATTCTTTAACTATCCTCTGA